GATTCAAATAAAAATGGTACCTAAATGTACTGGGATGATAACTCTATCAAGATCTATCATGAAACCCATGAATAAATATTCATACTTCAAACAATACAACTTTTAAAAAGTGGGACATTTTTTCTGACTCGCTCTGTAGTTCAGTGCACCGCACGTCACACGGCCGGGCGCCTTGAGGACCCCGGCCGGGCCCTGGCAGGGCACCTTCCGGGAGCCATCGGTACACCTGCTCATCGGACGGAGCCGGTAAGGTTACCGGTCGGCACTCGACCGGCGCCCTGCCGGCACCCTGCCGGCACCCTTACGGGCGCCTTGCATTTCACTCGACCAATTTTCTCCGGGCACCTCCCGGGCGCCGCAGAATATGTGACCACACATGCCGTAGAAATGTAAAATCGGACGGTTCCCGTACGGTTTCTAGATCCACGGCAAGCTACCGGGTAGGGAAAACCGGTTTATATGTGACCTAGGCATTAGACAGATTTGGTCTAATGACTATCTACCATGGATATTTACTTGTTTATTCAAGTGTTTTTGTTTGATTTATATTTTATTTAGATCCGATATTGGAAAGTGAAATAAAACTAATGTTTGTGTAATTCTTACAAACTTAAGGAATGTGTATTAATATCAAAGTTCTTCAGTCTGAAGGGATCTTAGAAGCCAAAGTCTAAAAATACTACTGTGCACTGGGCACATTACACTGTAAACTAATCAAATTATGTTTGGATATTTTTGCCAAATAAAGTTGTGTGCAAACGTTGTTTGCAATATTTCCATGAGGAAACCTAAAGCTATGGTCACAACCCCAAATTTTTAGCCTGCTGAATTTTTAGCTCGGCGCCTGCTCACTTTTATTCGCCGCCCAAAATACGTTCGGTGTCCGGGCAGCGTCATTTTTTTCTGCGGCATAGATTGGAGCTTTTTTTTTCAAAAGAGGTCTTGATTTAACCCTAACCCTAACCCTAACCCTAAACTTTCCCATAGGCTCAACACGCACCTAACCCAAATCTGTGCCGCCGAAAAAATAACGCGCCCGGGCACCGTCCTTTTTTTTCCGCCTGGCTCCTTACAATCCCCCCCCCCCCCCCGTGGGTACCAATAAAATGCTAGGCCTACGCCCAAAGCGCGCCCCACCCCTCCCCGCGCCCACATTCTCCACTTTCTCATTGCGGAGCTTGAGACTAAGGAGAGAGAGAGAGAGAGAGAGGGTTAAACAAATTGTAATCCAACATTGTAGGGAGGGAGAGAGAGAGAGGGGGGGGGGTGAGAGAGATTGTTATTAGGCCTATTAGCACTAATTGTTGTTGTTATCATCACTATTCCCTGTAGGAGAAATCAAAACAGTGAACATTTTCAAGATAAATCTCAGAATTTGGGGCATCCATGCAGGAGATGAATTTGACCCCAATGAATTACTCAACTGTTCATGTTCTTCAACAGCTAGCCTTTCATATATAGATACAACATAATTCATCTTCATGGTTGCAGAGGGACAAATAAGTTCTGTATACAGTTATGGCCGCTTTCAAGGTATAAAAATTAATATAACTTCTAATATACCAGCAAGACTACGATTACCACTGGCGGTTACCCCCCCCCCCCCCCCCCCCAAAAAAAAAAAAAAAAAAAAAAAAACAATAAATAAATAAAAAAAATAAAATAAAAAAAAAATAATAATAATAATAATAATAATGATAATAATAATAATCAATTGAACGTGGTATTAGGCCTATCTCTAATTCGCTACCACTTACCAGTGCTTTACAAATGTTGCTGAAATGACATGATTTTCCACGGTTTTTTCTCCCCCCCCCCTAAAGTTGTTGCTAATTACGCCACTGACTATTACTAATATACTATAGTACTACATGTACATGTACTTCTACTATACTTCTACTTTTACTCACTAAACTTTTAGTTCTACTACAGGCCTACTAATAAATGATAATACTGCAGTCAGGCACGTACGCGGGATTTTTTCAAGGGGGGGGGGGGTTAACATTTATAAATCGGGTCGAAAGCAACGACTCAGCCAGCCGCTGAATAAGCGGAGGGGGGGGGGGTAAGAGGACACTCTTTTTTCTTTTCTTTTTAGGTCTCGAAATTTGAAAATTTGACATTTGGCTCCGTTGGAGGGGGGGGGAGATCACCTTTTTAGGTCAGCCATGCATGGGAATTTTTTAAAAAAAATAATTTTTAAACAAAATAATAAAATAAAATCCAAAGGGGGGTGATGGGGGGTGATGGGGGGGGGGTTACACACATAAAAATACCAAAGAGGGCGGTTTATCCCCCCCCCCCCCTGTGTACGCGCCTGACTGCAGCTACTGCTACTAGCGGTATACTACTACTACTGGATGTTAGCAAGCTTCATTAATGACCCCCCCCCCCCCGTGGGTACCAATAAAATGCTAGGCCTACGCCCAAAGCGCGCCCCACCCCTCCCCGCGCCCACATTCTCCACTTTCTCATTGCGGAGCTTGAGACTAAGGAGAGAGAGAGAGAGAGAGAGGGTTAAACAAATTGTAATCCAACATTGTAGGGAGGGAGAGAGAGAGAGGGGGGGGGGGGGGTGAGAGAGATTGTTATTAGGCCTATTAGCACTAATTGTTGTTGTTATCATCACTATTCCCTGTAGGAGAAATCAAAACAGTGAACATTTTCAAGATAAATCTCAGAATTTGGGGCATCCATGCAGGAGATGAATTTGACCCCAATGAATTACTCAACTGTTCATGTTCTTCAACAGCTAGCCTTTCATATATAGATACAACATAATTCATCTTCATGGTTGCAGAGGGACAAATAAGTTCTGTATACAGTTATGGCCGCTTTCAAGGTATAAAAATTAATATAACTTCTAATATACCAGCAAGACTACGATTACCACTGGCGGTTACCCCCCCCCCCCCCCCCCCCAAAAAAAAAAAAAAAAAAAAAAAACCAATAAATAAATTAAAAAAAATAAATAAAAAAAAAATAATAATAATAATAATAATAATGATAATAATAATAATCAATTGAACGTGGTATTAGGCCTATCTCTAATTCGCTACCACTTACCAGTGCTTTACAAATGTTGCTGAAATGACATGATTTTCCACGGTTTTTTCTCCCCCCCCCCTAAAGTTGTTGCTAATTACGCCACTGACTATTACTAATATACTATAGTACTACATGTACATGTACTTCTACTATACTTCTACTTTTACTCACTAAACTTTTAGTTCTACTACAGGCCTACTAATAAATGATAATACTGCAGTCAGGCACGTACGCGGGATTTTTTCAAGGGGGGGGGGGGGGGTTAACATTTATAAATCGGGTCGAAAGCAACGACTCAGCCAGCCGCTGAATAAGCGGAGGGGGGGGGGGGGGGGGGGGTAAGAGGACACTCTTTTTTCTTTTCTTTTTAGGTCTCGAAATTTGAAAATTTGACATTTGGCTCCGTTGGGGGGGGGGTGAGGTCACCTTTTTAGGTCAGCCATGCATGGGAATTTTTAAAAAAAAAAAATTTTTAAACAAAATAATAAAATAAAATCCAAAGGGGGGTGATGGGGGGTGATGGGGGGGGGGGGGGTTACACACATAAAAATACCAAAGAGGGCGGTTTATCCCCCCCCCCCCTGTGTACGCGCCTGACTGCAGCTACTGCTACTAGCGGTATACTACTACTACTGGATGTTAGCAAGCTTCATTAATGACCCCCCCCCCCCCGGCCCCCCTCCCTCGTTTTAAATATTCTGAAAATGTTGTATCATACTTTAATAACACCATATTTCAATTACTGTATAGTTGCATGGGCAAATTTAATAAAAATGATATGTTACTTAAGCTTCAAAAGAAAGCAATATACGCATTATAACTCACTCCCAATATTATGCTCACTGTAATCCTTTATTTTGTAAACTTGGAATTTTGAATGTAATCGATATGCATAATTTTTATATTGCAGTTTTCATGTTTTAATGGCAATATGCCTACTTTTTTTATCAACATGTTTTAACTTGAATTATGATGTGCATAATTCTAATACTAGAAATGCCCTTACTTCAACTCCCCAAGATTAGAACGACTTGTATGAAAAAATCACTATTTTTTAATGGAATAGTATACCTCAGGAAATTAAAAAATGCAAAACTCTCAATCTTTTTAAAATCAGATATAAACAATTTCTGTTAAATAAGTATAATACTCAGTATTAATAGCATGGGCAAATTTTGACACTTTTTTTTACTCTGATCATGCATGATAGTAAGTTTTAGTATGTTCTTTGTTTTTTGTTCTGTTCTTTTGTTCTCGTTTTCCTGTATGTGTGTTTTTAGGAGTAGGCTTTTATAAAAGGAATCCCTCCTTTCTGTCTATCCCAAATGCTCTCATAAATTGTCATTGTATTTCTTGTTTTTTTTATTACTCCATTCTGTATCGTATGTTTTAAATGTTTTTATGAAGAGTGTTGAATAAACTATGAATTGAATTTAAAGTTTTCTAAAATCCTTAATCTTAGAACATATTTTCCATTTCAACAAAATAAATAAAACTTAAAGAGAAGGTTGAGTTCTGGGAAAAGGTGAAAAATAATTTGTGAGCATTACTCATTCTTATTATGCAAGTGTGGAAGAACATCAGTTAAGACATGTTTCCTGAAAAGCATGGCTCTTCAAATGCCTTCATATTCTAAATATGCATGTAACATCGTAAAAATCGGGGGGCCGGCTTTTTACGCCACATGTTCGTCTAGTCCCATATACATCTTTCTGTGCAAGTGTTTGTAACTTTACCAAGGCTTGGCCAAATTTCTTATCATTTTGATGATTCCAGAACCTTGCAATACACACACATTCTTATATGCTAGATGATCAACCTTTTCTGGTCGGTTCCACACCGTTTCTTTCACAATGCAATCGCATGACCATAGGAATTCGAAATACAAGCGGATTGGGCATACGAGCTAGCTTACGGTGGTCTGAACTGCGCATGTCGATTGAACTTTGTACCGGTAGTGCACGGAGTCACGTAAGTTTTATTTCAGATTGAAATTAGTCTGTTAAATTACCTATTTACATAATGGCGTAAGCGGTAAGTGTATATTTCCAGGATATTTTACCTATTCTATGGTCCGTATTGAAGTATACATACAATATGATTACTTAATTGAACTGAAATTTGTTTGAAGGTGACTCTGTCCTGTGTATGATTACCGTGCAATGAATGAAATTGTGGTAGTGCTCGCGATGCGATGGCAGTGTAGTGGGCATGGCTAAGCGGTCGGTGAATTCCCACCGCACCGGGACCGTCGCCGTGCACTGGTACTGTAGACAAGAACTCTGCCCACGTCTGCGGCGCACTGGTGTAATCCAGAAACTTTCACGTAGTCTGCATCAAAATATCGCGAACTTTGTAGCAGTTACGATTTTCACAATTTTCATATGAAAATGAATAAGATTACAGAAAGTGTAGATGAGCATATCTTTCTTAGAATGTTAACATTTTTTTCAGAATATCAGAAACAAGACGGGACAGTTTTGTCTTTTTGACACGGTGACGGTCTGTCGTAAAGATATTGTTACACATTCATGTTATCATTAGGGGCGCTGGTACGAGAATAAGGATAGTCTGTTTTTGCCTTAAACGAGGATCATCTTTGTAAACGCGTACAGATGCTTCCTGTAAAATAGGTTCGTCCGCACGATTCTTTTTTTCCGATCCGCACATTGGCGATGCAAAACGGATTACACGATGCCGCTCCTTGATGCATTTCACATTGACTTTGTACAGATACTTTTAGGTTATGTGCAATAAATCCTCCGGAAGACAGACAACCCATAAAAGTAGACAGTGAACTGGGGGTATTTTATTAAGCGGAATCCCTTTTTCGCATTACCAGCACGCGGATCAGGAACCCTCTTCCCCCCGGAGCACAACAACAACAAAACGGATGATACTTAACTTATTTTTAGGGATGCGATTTGTCCGCTTTTACGAGAATATCCTAATTTAAGCGAACGATCCTCATTCTCGGACTATAGCGCCCCTACTGAAGCTGATACTACTTAATCATGTGGTGGAGCTGTCTTACAGTTCTCTCGTTATATTGTAGACAATTTAGAAATTAGAATTTGAGATCCTCTGGGAAATCTCTCATTCATTAAATGACGCATGGGCACCCAAAATTTTTGCCCACCTCCAAAAAGGTTTGTCTAGAACCCTGTGGTAATCATAGAGAAAATGCTCCTCCAAAGTTGTTAAACATTCTTTACAATGGTTTTCATTCCAGGTCATTTAAGGAAATGAAATGTCCAACCCCACAAAGTGGGACAAATGGACTTTAAACGCTGATGATGATAATGTCATGTGTATTACCATCTGTATTGAGCAGTTGTCAAACATCCTTGTAAGAGCTCTGTGATGATCACAGAAAAAATGTTCCTCCAAACTTGTTAAATATTCTTTACAATGGTTTTCATTGCAGGTCATGTGTATTACCATCTGTATTGAGCAGTTGTCAAACATCCTTGTAAGTAGTTGAGAGTGAGACCCACCATGTATGGCAGACGAGATGTACGCATTCTTCTCTTAGGAGATGGTAAGTCAAACAAAGTGATATTACAAATCACCAGAAATATTTTGCTCTGTAATGAGGTGCCTCTTATACAATATTCAAAACATGAACTTCAAATATTATTTCTATAAAGAGATAATGCAAGTTTGAATGCATTGTCAACGAATGCAAAAGTGACTTGTCAGTAGATGCCTCCATACATGTTCGCTTAGAATATGCATGAGACATTTTTGGCAAAAAATAGGTCTAGATTGTTATTTAAGTGCAAAGAAAAGTGCTTGTCTCACCTTTAGGAATGTTATCATCACAATAATTCTTATGGTTATCTACCTGTACATGTATACATGTAATTGGGAATATTTGATCAGGGATCAGGCTCGAGTAGAAGTAAAGGGTTTTCTGTCATGAATTTACATCGTAGTGATAAGGATTTACAAAAGGGCAGACCATTGGCTATGATTGATCATGCAAAGGTGAATTCTGTTGATTGCTGCTGATTACATTCATTTATTTTTGATGTTATTTTGTTAACCTTGTAGCTGGTGTTGGAAAGACATCTCTGATTTTGACGCTCGTCAGCGATGAGTTCCCAGAAGAAGAGGTCAGTGCATACATTTTATATAAAATTAATTATTGATGTTTTCCTTGTTTTAAAAGGAAGAATCCAGTTTGATGTCTCGCAAGGGTTTTTTTTTTAAGGGGGGATGCATAGCCATAGCATCTCTGCTTTAGGTAATGTGGAGGTTCAAATGTCTAGTTAATACAATTTATACTTGACTTACCACAGAACCTAAATTGTGGTGTCAAAGCAACATGGTCAATTAAAAGATTACTATAAAGTGTTTCTGTTCATTTTGATTTAGATATTCATGAATTTTTGTGGTGCACATCACTTTTTTCATAATCAAACTAGTTTACAAATTACTTTCCTCATCACAAGAGCTCACTGGAGTGATTTTGATCATCATTTATTGAGTTAAATCATCGTCAGTTACCATGTGAACTCTGTTGTGACTGAACTAGACTGTCTAGATGGGTTCTACATTGAGCAGCCATTGGCAAGGTTGTATGAATAGAAACCTTACCTGTATTATCTTTATGATGTTGCTTACAGGTCCCAGCGAGAGCAGAAGAGATCACAATACCACCCGATGTCACCCCAGAGAAAGTCCCTACCCACATAGTAGATTTCTCAGGTAGGAGGCTCATTTAATTTACTTTAAGTCTCTCTACATCGGCTAATAAGTGATGCCTACCATAATAATAAATAATGATATTCGGTTCTTGTGTGTATTGGGATTTTACAGATGTGTATCAATCAGATTTGATTATTTACGTCTGGGGACCTACCTTTAAACGTCACCATTCAAAAGACGTGACTCAGTTTCGAACCTCCGTCCTCGGCTGAATCAGTTTGTAATTCCATTGTTAATTGGATTACAGGCGCACGCCACAACGCCTAGTTCTTGTATAGTTCGGTTCTTGTATAGCACATGTCACATTTTATATAACGTCCCTATGCGTTTCCAAAGAGTTTTGGAAATTATTACCTTAGCAAGCTCTGGCAGCTGTTATTAGCGCACAGTGCATTTCAAGGAATAATCCGACCAGGTGCCCATTTACCTCACCTGGGTCGAGTGTAGAAAATGTAGATTATAGTCTTGCCAAAGGACACAAGTGCCGCAGCGGGACTCGAACCGCCGACCTTGTGATCCACAGTCCAGTGACATATCCACTCAACCAGGACACCTCTACCATGTGACATAGATGCATACACCTCATCTTGCTAATGTTAATAGCATCTTGGAATAAAAAGAAATGTAAAAAAGTAAATCAGGAATTTAATTTTCTTTTCCCAGATTTGTAGTCATACCTTAGAGATCTGGGGGGTGTTTCACAAAGATCCTAAGTTGAACTTATCTCTAAGTTGGACTTAAAAAATATGGAAAGCCATTAGCATCTTTGAAAATATTTTGTAAAAGTTATTTTGAAAGGCATTCATTGTTTATTGAAATCATTCATATTTTCTATCATCAAGGAGATTTCATGTTCTGGATGTGGAATTAATAAAAAGTCTAAAATACTTGAATTTCTGCTTTTGAATATATTTCATTTAAAGACTCCAATGGCTGTCCATAATTTTTAAGTCCAACTTAGAGTTAAGTTCTACTTAGGATCTTTGTGAAACACCCCCCTGAAATCTTAGCAGTCTAATGATAAACTGATTTATTTTCCAAGTTTAATACTTATTTTTCGAATATACTTCTTGCTTTACTGTAGCTCGAGAGCAGAGTGATGAGATTCTCCTAGAAGAAATAGAAAGGGTAAGTTGGAAAAATGCTCTTCTAGGCATTTCATTTCAAATATTGTATCATCTGTATGATATTGTCATAATGTTGTGATGAGGAAGTGGTATACATGTATGGTCCTACTCTAACACTACATGTTTAGATACCTTCCAGAAAGATATTTTTTTTAGATCCACAAAATGACAGGACTTTCAGACATTTATAAACAAAAAGATTGTCTATCATTCTGTAAATAGTTGACAACATAGTTAGGACCTATGTAATTTATATCTTAAATCAAATCATTTAAAGTTAGTCTGTACCCATATTTCTAAATGTGTAGGAAAAAACTGACATACTTTTACATACAAAATAATTCTTTTTGCAAAATGAATTGTTATTATGAAAATGTTTTAATATAGAATATACATGTATATTATGTGAAGCTGCACAACAACAACTGAAAATGAATTAAAAGATAACGGCTAAATATTGCACCTCATGTAGTCGTAGTAGTAGTAGTAGTAGTAGTAGTAGTAGTAGTAGTAGTAGTAGTAGAATGGTTTTATTAGAACAACTGCGAAATGGTAGCCAGAGAGCTCAATTACATTGCAAGTTTTACAAGCTCAGTTTTAAAAAGCATTTCAACAAGACTTATATGTATAAACAAGTACAAATAATACACAGTAAAAATAGATAACAACTTATTACATATTCCATACTTGCAAACAAATTGATGATACAAATAGAATAGAATAGATTCAATAGATTATGATTGTTCTACCATTTGTTGCCACCAGGCTGATGTGATATGTGTGGTGTACGCAGTGAACACCAAGGAGACGATAGACAGCATTACAGACTACTGGTTACCGCTGATACGGAACACCTTAGGCTCAGATCACCTGACACCTGTCATCATCGTAGGTAACAAGTCTGATCAAGCTGATGCTAATAGCTTGGAGACGGTCGTACCGATCATGAATGACTATGCAGAGATTGAAACCTGTGTAGAGGTGAGGAGCAATGTGGACATTACAATTATAGTTTATTTTGTTAGATACTTGCAAAAGAGCTCTAGTTATTGTGCCTGTAACTTTAATTACCTTTTCAGTTTAAAATAGTAGCTTTATTGGACACCTATTATGGATATTTTGCCAGCTTTTATATCATTGAGAGGGGGGGGGGCTGTAGTGAAGGGGAGAACCACTGGTCAATGCATTTCTCAAAGTAGATTGAATTAAGGACATAAACATTTACAATGTTTCCAAAAGTACATAAAGTACAACTGAGACAAAATTTTACTAAACAAATAGTATGTAATTAAAAATGTGAGAAGGTCAATTGAGTCGCTGTTCCATCACCATTCTCTTCACCCAACCAAACCTGTTATTAATGCCTATTAATAGCTACTGAAATGTGTTTGTAAAGGGGCAGGAAAGGACAATATTTATAATCAGTCTTCTGTAATAAAACTTCTCTTGTTTGCTTTATCAGTGTTCGGCCAAGAATCTGAAGAACATCTCTGAAGTGTTCTACTACGCACAGAAAGCAGTCCTTCACCCTACAGGTCCATTGTATTCAGCAGAAGATAAAGAACTCAAACCAGAATGTAAGAGGGCGCTTTGTAGAATATTCAACATCTGCGACCTGGACAATGACGGCATTCTCAATGACTATGAACTCAACTTGTTTCAGGTAGGCTGGGTTTTGTTTATCGCAATGAAAATTCATTTATGGGAAAATAAGCATGAAAATACAGAATCAGGGGAGAAAAAAATAGGGAGATTCATCTTTAAGCAACCCAAGATATCTCTTTGAATGAAATAGATTTAAATGGGATCCCTATTGTTTAATCCACTACTTTACATGTCACTGCTACACTATTGCATCTCTTGTATGTCTGTAGTGTAACTTCATTCTTCTAACGTAATAATGTTACATTGTAATACATGTACAGTATATCAAAAGGCCTGAAGCACTATCCAGTCCTCCACACTGAATATGATTTGCTGCTATTCCATTCTGGTGTATGATAATAATTTGTGGATAGTAAGGGAATTTACATCTATTCCGCTCCAGATGGTGATCCGTCGGACTGTTCGCTAAAACAAGTCTCTCTCTCTTTGCTTTTATTTCCTAGTCCTTTGTTCAGGACTTCACCCACACACAAAGGAATACCCCTTTATGAATTTTTCTACTTCTCTTCCAAAAGTCTCAAGTAGTGCTTCAATAGGATGAAATACGAAAGGATATTTCACCCTTTATCTCTCTCTTAATTTTCTATCCCTTTTCAAACCCACATTTTGAAACTGTAAACCTAATAAGTGACATCTATTCCACCGGACTTGTTTTTCTTTTCTTTTTATTTCAAGTGAGAATTCACTCCATATGGAATCAGACCAGTGCTCAGATCTTTGAGATAATGTGTTGTAATCTCACAGCAGTTAGTGAATTTCAATACTCTTTTCCTATCTTATTGTGATTGGTTATTGGTTGTTTTTTTATTGTCCCACAGAGGAGATGTTTCAACGCACCACTCCAGCCTCAGGCCTTAGATGATGTGAAAGCAGTAGTTAGGAAAAATATACCAGAAGGTGTAATGAACAATGGACTCACTCAAATAGGTAGGTCAACATAATACATGTATCCACAATAAACCAGTTCATAGTTACAGTCTGAGCATGAGCAGATAAAGGTCATTGCCGACCAAATTGTGAAATACACTGAGACAAAATACTGGATACGTGCTCATGAAAGTTATGTAATCATTATTCATTTATGCACACGCAGTGCATTCCATGATACACAGGCTATTATGTAGTACCTCCTTTGCTGTAGGAGTGATCATTTCAAAATGTACAAAGTGGGACCTCTTCATGTTTTGAAGATCTGTGGATATTCGGGGTCATTTGGGACATGTGCTAACCGTGAACTGGTCTATTGTTGTGACTAACCCTTTCTGTGCTACTGATTACATGTAATCGTTATAATCAAACTTTCATGAGAGAAATGTTGATCAATAATATTTGGTTTCATTGTTAAACTTTGCTCAAATGTTAATTCCTGGGGCTGATTTGTGACCCATAGCATGGCAAGGGGGAAAGAAAGGGAACATTTTAGCTTGCAAAGTTTTTTTTTTTAAAGAGTCATAACCCTGTTTAGATTGAAGGCATGTTAATATAAAGTGTTGACTGTGAAAGTACTAGGTAGTTAAAAGTCAGCATCCTGCTTTTCATACACAAATAATTGGATGATAATGATAACTTCCTGTGAATTCAAACTTAAAGGGAAAAAAAGGAAAACATCAACTCCTGTCCAAGATCAGCTTCCAACAGGTAGTAGTAGACTTTATTGGATAATTGTTTAACGCATGGCTTAGCTGCCATGAGGTCCATATGTTTGCCTAAAATGTAGTAAAGGTTGTCCTACTATAATATAATACTGATTAGTCATGACAGATCATGTATAATATTATCGTCTTAAATCATGGATACTTTAAGTGTACCAGTCACCAATTCTATATATGTTAGGGGTTCCATGTTGCTATACCATACTCCAAATCAGAACTTCAAATATTACTTCTATACAGAGATATTGCATGTTTAAATACACTATTGAGTACCGAAAAAATGGCGCTGGCTGAGAATAGGGCCCACATGGAAACCAAGTCCAATTAGGGTTCCATGAGCGGTGTTTAATGTTACTCTTTATTTTCTTCATATGCCCTAAATGTTAGCCAATAGAAAGACAAGCAATGTATTTTGGAGGTATATTTATACTGTATACAGTGTGTAGCTGTATACATATTACTATTTTAGATTATTTTGGGCGATTAACTTGGCATGTTTAAAGGCACACTGTCCTACTTGTAGCTACTTGCTCCCTCTATATAGAAAACTTCCCTAATCGGTGCCTGTTGGTCCCCCATGATCCTCTTTTTCTTATGTTAAATGAGAGCTGAGTTAATGAGATAGCCACCTGTCACAGTGACCTCGCTGGCTCGCTGGATGGTCTAATCCCTTCTAGCTGAAGTAGTAAAGCCTGCCTTTAAAATATATTGCTGTTCTATCAATGATGAGGAGTGACGGGTGATTGTCCACCTTCTGCTTTTAACTTACCATTTGAAGTCAGGAAATCACCATCTGTGAATATCTTTAAATCAAAATTAAAAACACATCTTTTCAATTAACTGTAAATCTAAGCACATCAGGAGCTCTTGTAGCGCAGTAGAATATATACTTAATGTTGGATAGTTTCTGCGCTCTATAAATGTATTATTATTATTATTATTATCATTATTATTCTTAATATTATTATTATTAATATTATTATTATTATTATTATTATTATTATTATTATTATTTTCAGGTTTTCTCTTCCTGCATACGTTGTTCATTCAGCGAGGGAGGCATGAAACAACATGGACGGTCCTTAGGAAGTTTGGCTACAGTGATTCACTCAAACTCAACTCAGATTACTTACAACCAAAGTAAGTCCACTTCTCCATATCCCTCAATAATCTTCTCATAAAGTAAAGTTTAAAAAGGTTATTAAAAAAAAAAATTAAGGATATTCATACTAAAAAAAGGAGAGTGTGCACTAGGTGTGAGAACAAGTGTATGAAACATGGTAGGATATATTCCAATTAGTTAAAGAAAGATGTTGCTACCTTATTTCTTGTTTTGCTGTATAAATATAATACCATTATCTTTCAAGCAACCTGATATGAATATACTGTATAACAAAGACCATAGAAATCATTCTATATGTTCTTTGGTTGTTGAATAGGAAGGAGGAAATGAATATTGTTGAATTCTTGCAATAACCTTATGTTCTATGTGGCTCACTGAATGAATTGTTATTATCATTATTTATTACAACCAAAGAAAATCATACCTTCCAGTTTAATTTGATGAAGACTTGTATTAATTCCGAGAAACATGTCGGAGGAATCAGTTGTATAATTTCACCATCTTGGGATAGCTTCAAGGTGCTGCTGATTGGATGACAGACCCTTGATAGTGCACACAGCACGATACAGAGTAACTAAGTGGGATTCTGTGAGAATCTTATTTTTCATCCTTGCAGCTTTCAAGGTTTTATATCCTGTTGTGAATACCTTGCAATTGGGGGATCAAGCTGACTAATTCTGAAAGAAAAATACCATCTCCATAAATATGATCTTCTTTGTGTTTTCTCAGGTTGAGAGTAGGTAGAGGGTGCTCTACTGAGTTGAGTCATTTAGGCTACCAGTTCCTCACATCTCATTTTGAGAAATATGACAAGGTAAGAACTCACGTTTTACTTTTTCTTTACATCATTTTTTTAAAGAGGTCATCTTTGTAAGCTTGAGTCCATTTTACTTGTAAGAATACACACAGACGAATTGGATACCTATTTCATCAATTCTCTGAGTGAACAAAACAAGCTGTTGTGCGATCCCTCCCCCAAAACCATTTTGGGGGAGAGGATGGATTGGACTTTAGTAACCTATTAGAAACTGTCATTGGAGCCATTTCAGCTCCCAGTTCTGAAAACCAGTGGCATTTCTCTTGTGTTACTCAATAACTTTGTTATCATCTGTTCACAAACATGCAAATCCATTGAAATGATGTCAGTTTACATATACAGAGTTATGAAAGCTTTAAATTACATTTAGTTCGTTTAATGATATTTTTGAGCAAGTAAGTCTTAAGTCTGTCTGCACTAGTTTTGCCAGGAGGGATAAGATCACCCAGCGTGGTCAGTGGCAGGTGGTTATCTCATCAAATCAGCTTTCAATTAACATAAGAAAAAGGGGATCATGGGGGACTAGCGGTCACCAATTATGCATTCTTTGCTATATAGAGGGCACAAGTAGCTATAAGTAGTACAGTAGGGCTTTAATGTTTGAAACTTTTCAACCACTTGTTTGTTATTGTCTTAGGATCGTGATGGTGCCTTATCACCAGCGGAGTTACAGACTCTGTTCCAGACATGTCCCATGATGCCTTGGGGTCCTGACGTCAACATGACAGTATGCACCAATGAGAAGGGTTGGATCACGTTACATGGTTACCTATCACAATGGACGTAAGTGCACTCATGGCTTGAAAATATAAGGCAATATAAGCTTTTCTTCTCGTTAAAGTGACTCGGTAACACTGCCTCAGATTCTGAAGAAAAAAAATCCTGGATTTAGCTCATGCTGCAATCATAATTACATACCTTTAGGTCAATCAGGAATCCCATGACTTTTACAATCCGATCGCCTGTCTGATTATCAAGATATTTATAATTGGAAATCAAAATTTCATTTTTCATTTTCCTAACGTTTTTAAAACACTAAAGTCTATTGGGGGAAATGAGTATGGTAAAACCGGTCACTCAAAGTTTTTTACTTCTTTGAAGCACTTCACGATCATTTTGAAGCACAATTTTTTTTTAGGGCTTCAATATTATATATATCATATCACAGTTTTACCATTGTTAAAAAATGCCTTTAATGCAAAACTTCATTTTGAATTGTATGGGTATTCTCCTTACACTACTGAGAATATATAGACTGAACCAGAATTTACATAAGATTGAAGTTGATCCTTATTTAATGAGTCAAGAATTTATGTGTCTTGTCTCTCCCTCTCATTGCTTGAGGCATGAAATTACTTTTTTTAGGATTACTTTATCAAATGTTTTCGCAAGAAATATCATGACCACTCCACCATAGAAAGCTACAATTGTGAAATAAGAATTATATCTCTTCCTCTCACCATAGATTAACTGGACATTCAGAAAATATTGGACTTTTTACCATACTTTGCAATGTATATCTAACCACCGATTATTATTTTAAAGGGTGAGTGGAAAGATGTGAAGTTCTAACTGTAATATGGATTGTTGTCTCTTCTTTTGACTCTAGTTTGACCACATTACTGGACATTCAGAGAACATCAGACTTTTTACCATACTTTGCAATATATATATTTTAAGGGTGGGTGGAAACGCGTGCAGTCCTAACTGTATAATATGAATTCATTTCTTTTCTTTTGACTCTAGTTTGACCACATTACTGGACATTCAGAGAACGCTGGAATTCTTAGCATACTTTGGCTACAGATATGTAATGGCAGATCATGAGAATCAGCTCTCAGCAATCATCGGTAAGGAACACATTACAAATCAGTATTTGTATTAAAGATAAACTTGAGTTCTGGTTTAAAAAAAAATGAATTCTCACAGAATCAAACGAAACTTACACTGAATGTTCAAGATTACAAATAAATGTCCTTTGCCAAACAATTTTTGGTAGAAAATGTATACTGGCTGAGTAATGAGCATAGAAAGATAAGGAAATCAAGGTAAGTAACCCCTGACACCATTTCTGTAGTCCCATATACATCTTTCTGTGTACAGAGCTTGTAACTTGACCAAGACTGGGCCAAATTTCTTATCATTTTGATGATTCCAGAACCTTGCAGTACACACCAATACTTATATGCTAGATGATCAACCTTTTCTGATAGATTCCGCAACGTTTCTTTCACAATGCAATGGCATGACCAGAACTGGTCTTTAATTTTAAGTTTCAAGCCACAAAATAGTAGGCACATATTGAATCACAACATGACATGATATATTCTCAACATGCAAAAGTTTCTTGCTACAAAAATAGCTATCCTAAAAATGTCATGAAGTTTCATTTAATTAATAATACATCTTTGTTGATACAAAACCTACAAAGTGGGAGTTAAAAAGAATATTGAGAGAACTCTGTTTGTGTACAGCAAGTCTTTTCCAAAGTTGCACACTATTTGTTTGGGCTTAAACTGCTCCCAAAAGGATTGCTACATGTACCAGTACAATGCATCCTTATCTTTATGACCAATGGAAGAAATTTCTTTTCATGGATTGATGAACCAATAAGTTAATTGGAATCAAAGAATGAAGCCGAAAAAACAAATTAATGAGGTGAAATCTTCCATGTTAATTCTAAAAACCTGTCTAAACTTAGTGTCACTTCAAGGGTTCAGTGACACAAAGACGTAACTCCATATTTTGCTCAAATGAGTATTTGATATCAAAATGTTCAGATAAATGTGTACTTTCCAGGAAACACAATGACTCAACCCTATCCAACACCCCATTGTAGTCAATGGCTAGTGAAACATAGAATTAAGGCTCAAGTGCTCAGTGACACATATACCACCTTTTCTCAAAAGAGCCAAAATGGAGTTACGTGACACTTCTCTTCTATGTTGTTTTTAGTCACGAGAGACAAGAAGGTGGATCTTCAGAAGCGTCAAACATCTCGTAATGTCTTCCGTTGTAATGTGATTGGTCCACGAGGAGCAGGCAAGTCAGCGTTTCTTCAGGGTCTCACGGAACGTAGTCTGGATTCACCTGTTATCATGAGGGATAACCTGTCAGCGTATGCCATTAACACTATACAGGTCTATGGACAGGAGAAATATCTTCTGGTAAGTTATCACATGTCATTAACATTGTACGAGGGGAGTGCTTCACAAAGACTAAAATCGGCTTTAAGTTTGACTTAGCTATGGCAGGCCATTCATGCCACTGGTTGCTCTCACTATTGGTCTCTCAATTATGAAATTTAGATAATATTTTTTCTGTCAATAATGAACTATCAAAAAAATGTTAATTCTGTAGATTTGTGACCATGATTTGTACGTCCCTTAAGAGACCAATGCCAGTAAACGGTGAGAGCAAACAGTGGCATGAATGGCCTGCCACAGTTAAGTCCTACTTAAAGTCGATCTTAGTCTTTGTGAAACACTCCTTAGCTCTATCAAGGGCCCTGGATTGACACTACCCCCTCAATGATAAAGCCTACTGCCATAGTTTAGATCACATCTTGCACAGATTGTGATGCCCATTTAGTTGTATAAAATCTGACAATCACGATACACATATAATATGAAGTGATGTATTGTCAGATCTCTTCCATAAAACAATCAATGTTGATATTATCTTAGACATCAAAACAAGAAGAATACACATTTGTTTAAAAAAATGTCCTTCCATCCTGCTCACTAATAGCACCCAAACTTTTGTTGATCTATTTAGAAATCATATAAAAAATGAGCAGGAGAAGGAAAACATGAAAAGTCACATTAAATTTTTTTCATATTCTTTTAATTCACTCTTGTACTTCATAATACTAAACATATCATGATCATGCTATGTTGCATTCTAATAATAATTTTCTTTCTCCTCCTAGCTCCGTGAGATTGATGTTGGTCTATCCGATGAGCTATCTTCAGAAGAGCTCGAATGTGACGTGGCTTGCTTGATGTATGATATCTCTGATCCAAGAACCTTTGAATACTGTGCTAAGATTTACAAGGTAAGACCTCAGTTATGCCCCACCATGCAGCAATTATAATCAGAGGATATTTCAAATGTACTTTGAAATAAAACCACACAAAATATATTGTAACATGAGGAGACATTACACATTTTAAATGATTGTCAATTTAGAAGCAAAAGTCCAGTGTTATATCAGATGTTGTTGGTGAAATTGAATTTATTTCTCCATGATAAAACTATAATCAGTTGGGGAGGCTGCTTTTCAGCAAGTCCGTAATTAGTGTAGCATGTGTTGTACACAAATCATATTGAATGTAAAGATACTTCACAACAAAAAGAGAAACATAATAACATGATATGAGTATGACAACATCAGAACAATTACTCCATTGCCTGAAAACTTCATGAAATTCAATCACTTGTGAAAGCTGAGATGCGAAGTGGGTTTAATTCCAAGCACAGCACTTATAACCTTAAGCAAGGCATTTTATCTGCATCGCTTCTATCCACCCAGGTGTTAATTGTGAACACTTTAAATGAGTGCATTGTGATATTTATCTGACCTGTAATGCATTTTGTTTGTAACGATTGTTTGTCCGTAGCAACACTTTGAGAGGAACAGTGTTCCATGTTTACTGGTAGCTGGTAAGAGCGATAAGCATCCCGCTAGACAGGACTACCCTCTTCAGCCGGCTCAGTTCTGCACCCATTACGGACTCCCTCCACCGCAGACATTCAGCAGTGTAGGAAGACCTAACAAGGATATCTATGTCAAGCTGGCTACCCTAGCTGCTTACCCGTAAGTATACCCCTCCCCATCTCTCTCTCTCTCTATCTCTCTCTCTCTCTCTCTCTCTCTCTCTCTCTCTATGTCTCTCTTTCTCCCTCTCTCTCTCTCTACAATGGGAGGTAAAACAAAATCACAGAAAAGGCCCCTTTTGTTGAATTCTGTAGTACCTTCTCTCGCAGTGCATTCGTCTTTCTTTTCCTCTCTTAATAAATTGCAAAAAAAGTAGTATGAGAGATTTTCTTCCTTTTTCTCTTTTTGTCTCTTTTTCAAATTCATTAAAACGTGTGAGAAAGCTCAAGGTATTGCCTTAATCTCTGCCTCCCTCTCTCTCTCTCTCTCTCTCTCTCTTACTCACTCGCCCAAACGCGCAAAGCACATGACATGTTCTGTGAATGCTCAGTAGATACCTGAATATGCTTGCGTTTAGACTGTGTTTTAGAATTTCACCATCCTTTGTGAATTTTGGTCTGAGAGTTTGTAGACATAAAGGCCCGAATTCACAAAGGAGGTTTGTCGACAAACCTTGGTTTTCGTACGTCATATGACGCGTTTTACGAGTTTTTTACAAACCTGGTTTGTAAAGAACAAAAGGAGGTTTGGCGAAACAAAAGGTGGTTTGAGCTCAAACCCTGCTTTGTGAATTCGGGCCAATTAGTCTGTTTGAAGGCATGTGAGCCAGCATTCTAATTGGATTTTGTTAGTTTATCTGCATGTAAGTACTTTACCTTTGTATTCTTCTCTGCTAAGAGCAGCAAACAAAAATACTATCTCCCCCGAGAGCTATCAGAACTGACAAGACCCTGGTTGAGATAACCACACTTATTACATTGTCCCATATGTTTCTTTTTACGTTGGCTCTTCAGAGTGTTTGTGGTTTTCAGCAAGGCCCATGACAAACTCTTTAGCAAAGCCTCTAACACAGTTTCTCATGAAATAGGCTCATAATTTCATTATCAAAATTAATCATTTCGAACACACTTTCAAGCATTTGAACCCAGGACTTTCAGTTCTTCAGGAGCCATTATAATAATGATAATATGTTGCTTATATAGCGCTTAATACATTGGCATTGTCCGAGTTTCTAAGCACTTTACATGGAGGGGAGGGAGGAAGGCAGAGGGGGAATGTGAAGCAATGGAGAGAGGTAGCAGGGGACATTACGTTTGTCGGGCATTTTCCTTAGTAAATAATGTCCTACATTTAAGTTTATTCTCTTTTCCATTCAAATAAATATTCATTTTTTGTTATCATTATTCATTTCTATTGCCTTTTGCAACATCTTGACTCTATACAATGCATCATGCTGATATTCTAAAGTTACATTTCCGGAATCCAAGCTCACTGTAAATTGCATGTGCTTGGTTGCAGTAAGATTCCATACACTTCCTTTGCATCATTCTCTCACTCTCTACATTTAGAATCGTGAAAGAATTTGTGAATAAGAATGAATTGTCTTTTTAAAAAATTGTATTTATTCAGTATAATCATAAACATGAAGCTTCATTGCAGCTGCTCTCCTTTATATTGTGATAAAGTAAATAGTCTAGCAGGACTGTCATGTCTTTAAAATTGATCAAGGTAAAATCCATCTAGGCCTATGATTAACATAATTATCTGTATTCTTTCTTTCATTTTCTCCACCCTATTCTCATCTCTCTCCCATCTCTCTCCCCCTGGACAATTCAATTCATACCCATACTTGTCAATCTTGCTTCACACAACTTCCTTCATTTTTTCTTTAACTTAATTTTTCTGACACTCTTCATCTTTGGTCTCCGCCTCTCTCTACCCTTCCTTCCTCTCTCTCATCTCACTCTGTCTATATTTTGTTATTTTTATTGTTTCACCTTTCTCTGTCACATTTTTACCTTCTCCCCATCTATGTTTATCAATCCCTCTATCTCTCTCGCATTATTTATTTCCCCTCCCTCCCCCATTCTTCTCCATCTCTACCTCTCTCCCCTTTCTGTCTTCCTCTCTTTGTCTCCTCTTCCTCCCTCTCTTTCTCTCTCTCTCTCTCTCTCTATCTCTTTCTTTCTCCCTCCCCCTCCCCCTCTTTCTCTCTGCATCTCGCTTCTTCTCTACCTCTCTCCCCTGTTTCCTCTATTCCTGTCTTTCTCTCTTCCTCTCATTTGTCTCCACTTGTCCCTCCTCTCTCCCTCCTCTCCTTTACTACCTCTCTTCCTCTCACCCTCTCCCTCACTCCCTCTCTCCTTCTGTCCCCTGCTACTTCTCTCCTTCTCTTCCTCTCTCCATTGCTTCACATCCCCCTCTGCCTTCCTCCCCCTCTCACCCTCTTCCTTTCTCTCCCTCTTCCTTTCTCTCTCCTCTCCCTCTCTCCCCTGCTTCCTCTCTTTCTCTCTCCATTGCTTCACATTCTCCCTCTGCCTTCCTCCCCCTCTCTCTCCCCTGCTTCCTCTCTCTCTCTCCCTCTTCCTTTCTCCCCTGCTTCCTCTCTTTCTCTCTCCATTGCTTCACATTCTCCCTCTGCCTTCCTCCCCCTCTCTCTCCCCTGCTTCCTCTCTCTCTCTCCATTGCTTCACATTCTCCCTCTGCCTTCCTCCCCCTCTCACCCTCATCCTTTCATTCCCTCTCCCTCTCTCCCCTGCTTCCTCTCTTTCTCTCTCCATGGCTTCACATTCTCCCTCTGCCTTCCTCCCCCTCTCACCCTCATCCTTTCATTCCCTCTCCCTCTCTCCCCTGCTTCCTCTCTTTCTCTCTCCATGGCTTCACATTCTCCCTCTGCCTTCACCCCCACCCCTCACTCTCTTCCTTTCTTTCCTCTTCCTTTTTCTCTCTCCCTCCCTTCATGTCCTCTCCAACCCTTTCCGCTATTCTCTTCCACCCTTATCATCCCCTGTGACTTACCAGTGTGGTGAAGGGGATGTCCGTTCTAGTCGACCACCCAGCCATATTCTGGGTGCGAGAGAAATTCTGGGGCTCCAGTGCGACTTTCAGGTTATCTTGCCTTGCCTGTCTGTCCTAGTTTGTCATGCTGTCATGTTTTTTTGGTCTTGCCCCCTCTAGTGCTTTGTCTTGGACATGCCATGTGATCTCATGTTTATCCACCATTATAGCTGCTGGTCTTGCCTTTTATCATTTGTGTTCACATGATTTATTTTTGTTGCCATTTCTATTGTTTGTAACTATCATAGTTTCATTTTGATCGGTTGCTTAGCTCCAGCTGTGTCATAACATATGAAGGTTTTATTTGCTTTATTTTCTTAGCTTTCAAACATGAATGTAATATCATACTAGCTGGTCAACATTTTATTTTATTTCTCTTGTAATAATTTCCTATTGTTCAGTACCCCTGTGCTAGCCGTCATTAATATTTAAGGGGACAAGAAAAAAATGTTAAACATAACATTGAAGTGTACTAATTATCTACAAGTATGCAATTAAATTGGATAATTAAAAATACTAAAATTCAATTCAAATTCAAATTCAATTCAAAAAGACTTTATTTCCGTTAAAAAACATACAAATATATACATGTGATAAAGTACAAACAGTTTAAAATATACAAATCATGAGCATTAAATTAAATTAATTTAAACAAACTGTGAAAATGAGTAAAAGGAAAAGGGAGCACCTGTAGGAAGCTTATGTTAGCTTGTTGATTCAGGCGTCCAAATGAAAATCAGAATACATGATCACAACTTATTGAATGAACAACTTCAGTTTACAAAATATACCCCCTAAAAGCAACAACAACAAAAAAGAAAAGAAATTTTTGAAGTCGCCTAGTTAAAGAAAAAGAATTGCTGATGATAAAGACAGAAGAATATATATTTCCACTCCAATTGTACAAACTACAAAGCCCTCTGTATGACCTATGAAAATCAAAGATTAAAGTACTTTTTAAACATTTTGCACAAACAGATAGAAAGACGGGTAATCAGTTCTTTGTTGTGCCATTTTCGCTACAAAATTCTCTGGCTGGGGGAAGGGGGGCACAAGGGCATTCTACTGACATACAGTGTATCCTTTTAGCCCATAATCAATCTGCATGATTATTGTATGTTGTCTTGAAATTATATTCTTTGCTACTTGGCTGATATTTATTATTGATAACTTGAGTCTGAAAACATCATTTCAGTTCAAAACCATAATGTGCATGTAAAATTAAAGTCACCCAATATCTTGATTTATTTGCAATCAACCCCATACATGTACATGAGCATAGAGCATGGACTAACTACATGTATATAAGAGCCGTCTTTGTTCCCGTATTTTGATTTTCCTTATAGTGATCCCACAAATCATTAATATATGATTTATTTATCATCTATTAGTTATCATCTATTCTGGAAATAGAATGAGGAAAGTCAAATTGATGCAGTGTATACTGTATAGATGTTTCCAAGATGATTTTGTCTTCATGTTTTATGACTGCCAATGTTTCTCCCTGCCAGCCTGAAATGTTTGATGTCATAGTATTGCATGGTTTGATTCTGACTATCCTTTTGAGTACAGTGGTTCAGTAAGCCAGGAGGCATATGATATCTCTTTGTGAATTGTGTGAGTCTTTGCGTTCATGTATGATATTCCCAGGCCTTCTCCCACCCAGAGAATGCAAATGGAAACATTCTTGTAGGCTTTCTTTCATTTGTTAGTCCTTGAATATATGTTAGAACAAACTTGAGAGCCTTCCTTTCTAAGTATTTATTCCACTGTTTATAATGATATACTTGTCAACTCCACCATATCATCAACCTGTATTGAAATAAGTTATATGGATTTTAGGCTGGCATAATGTCAAATTATGAACTTTGATTTACTTTTCTGTGCAACAAATACGTTTGAATATGATTTTTTATCTGCTCTCAAAACTATATAATCCCCTGACAAAAAAAGCAATGATATAGAGAGTTCATATTAAATGGTATGGACATTTACAGTGATATGCAGATAAAATTATAGAAGTATACATTTATTTTTATCGTCATTGGGTTTTTCTTTGGGGGGGGGGGGGGGGGGGGGAGTCAAATGATAAAATCTTGGTGTACTGCCATCTTTAAGTGTGGTTTTCTTTCAGAACATTATTCATTGCTAATATGAACCATTTACATCATGGGGAACCTTTCCATCATACATGAATTGACAAGATGATATTGTTTTTTTGTTTTTTGGCTGACAGGCATCTGAAAGGGATCCAAGAAGAGGGAACTCGTCGCTGGATCAAGGTTGGTCTAGGTCTAGGAGCTTTTGCAGCCAGTCTCTTTCTTGTCTACAGATTCATCAGAATCCAGAGATCATAACCCTCACCCTAGCCATCTATCCATCATAGCTCTATAGGTTTGAGTATTAAACATGCAGTATCTCACAATGAATATAAATATTATGACATTTGAATGAATTGTGGTATTATATTCAATACTACCCCAAGAAGAAGCTAGCTGCAAGTTACATTTTACCCCCAGCCCAGCCTTCCACCATGTGAGAGCTAACTAAGAGGACTTCTTTATTCCTCTTTGATTTGCTCCTTTGTCAATACCATAGGTGAGAATATAAAGTTTCCTGTGGGATGCATTCATGGGCAGGTCATGAGCAGAGTGTTCATTTTACAGGGGAAACTCGATATAACGAGGTCAGCCATAACGAGGTATAGGTTGTAACAAGGATATTCTCACAGGCCCAAATCAATTTACGTGTAATTCTATGGTGATATGAACCTCTTATAACGAGATCTGCTATAACGAGATATCGGCTAAAACAAGGAAAATCAATGGGTCCTGGCGGTCTCGTTATACAAAGTTTCCCCTGTACACATATTCCTACTTGTTTCATTAATAGGAACCTTTCTTTTGTTCTGGATCAGTGGTCGTGCGTAATGTTTTTATTTCTCTGATCTTGTATCAGATTGAAGAACGTATAGTGATAAGCAAGATGAAAATAAAGCTGCAATGTAAACCAAAACTGATAGCTCTTTCAAGCCTTCTTGCACTTCTTTCAAGAAAAGAAACAACAAGAATACTGACTAGTTTCATGCACTGTAAACATCAATTTAGAGATCAGTATGACACTGTGTTTGGGACCAATTTTTACAAGCCTACTATAAGTGTCAATTCTGTAGTAGGGACCTACTAAACAATTTCAATGTAGGATGACACTACTGTTGTTTGCGTCTCAATTGACAATAAATTTTAACTTCAAGTGCTTGCCATTTGTCTTTTGGTAAATTATAGGATTATACTACCTTTATCGCTAAGGTGAAAATGGTACGATGATGCCTGACATGTTATAATGTGATTTAAGAAATAAAATCACATGGTGGGAAAAGAGACGAGGTCATTATTGACATGTTCTGTGCTTGCTTTTGGAATGTCTCAATCTGTCATCGGCCTATTGAAATATACTGATAAGGTTGAAATATGCGACTCAAATACGTCTTTTGTATTTTTCATACGATGGTAATTAATCATAGATACAGGAGACTGTTTGTGAAAGCCACAATATGGTATTTGAGAGTCTTCTGATGATAGAACACTATGCTATTGGCTTTCTTTTTACAAAGTTAAAAGCTATCAGATGATAAAATAATACAAACTTGTAAATTGGAGTTTAATGATGAGGATTAGACACTAATGCTGGCTGGGTCCATTACATAATCTGTTAAAGTTGTTCCATTTTCTATTTCTGCTTTTGATGCACAGCCGTAGACATGTGATCTGAGTAGCTGTGTATGTATTGGCAACTATTGGCAGGGAAGGGAGGAGTGGTATTTGACATTTCAGATTCATTTTTTTTCAAACCAATCTACAGAAATGTGGATGTTCATCCCATGTATTGCAATATTTGAAGAACTACAAATCAAATTTGATTAAAATCTTTTTAGAAATGTCACTAGACAAGGGCTGGGGTACAATGAATTATCAAAGTGTCAAAGAGATAAAATGTTTGATGAAATGAGTTGAAGTATATTCCATAGTATTTACCTCTAAGGGAAAATGAATGTGTCTGGTGATAGGAGATTCAGGAAAGGAAGTTACTATGACAACTATGAAATTTGTGTAGAAGCAGAAAGGGACTGTTAATGTGTACCAGTCACCTAAAAATATTTTGTGTACAGCTAGAATGTATAATATCACCCACAAAACAAAATTTCAATTGGCTGTCTATTAGCTTTATAATGTCAAATGAAGAAAATAAAGAATAACATAAAACTGCACCCACTGTTGCATGGAACGGGTATGGGTGCATCAAACGGTCAGAAGTCACTTATGTGTTTTATGAGTGTGTATTAAAACAGGCAAATATCTTTACAGAAGCAATATATGAAGCTCATATCTTGAATGTAGTATAACAACATGGAATTACATATATACAAAACCAAATATATTTTGGTGATTGGTATACTTTAAAGAGATATTATATGCCCTGGTTGCCCTCCTGGTCCTTCGCAGATGATGTATTGAAAGAAAGAAGATAATCATGTAGTCCTTGTAATGTTTTTATTTGTTTGTTAAACATTTCATAAGCTTTATTTCTCAAATAAGATAATTGAATGTATTGATGAATGCATTTGAGGGATGATGGTTGAGTTGGATCTGTATGTATTCATAGTAGCTTATGTTACCGTCCTGTGCTTTTTAGGATAAGAAATAACTCTAGCCCTTCTGGAAAGCTTTTTGCAATGATATTTGTGAATTGAGGCATGAGCATGTATATGTCGCACAGATGATAATAATAATAATAAATATTTATGAAGCGCACTTTTCTAATTACTTACTCAATGCGTTGTACAAAACAAAATACACAAATATGTCTCCAGAATTTTAATAACATAATATCATTTCATTTGTAACTCTGAGCAAAGAAAACCGTTTTAACATGCTTCGGAAAGGTTTCGAGACATTGAATGTTTCTAATGGCACTAAAAAGTTGAATCAACCGTCATGGTTTTTTCATTGTCTTGTTATGAAGAATTATATAAGAAGGTTATCAGTAACATAGAAACTTTCTGTTCCTAAGATGTGTGCTGGTACTCTTACATCAAAACTATGTTTTATTCAAAAGGTTTAATAGCCTCGGTGTACAGGACTACTCTGGAAGTTGAATAAGAGATCTCTAGTCTGTATACCGGTATGACAAATAGGACAGACTTCTTGCATGGATCACAGTTTCATACAAACTGAAGCTCAATTTTGAAATATAAACATCTGGGCCCTGTTTCGTGAAACTTGTTGTCAATACCGAGGTACAATAATTATCATAAGCTACTGAAATCCAGACATTTGATTGCTAGGCTCAGATTTGTCATAGATCTGTGGCAGTTGTTATTGATAACAAGTTTTATGAAACCGGTCCCAAATCTTTTATCTATGAAAACTGCACAAATTGCCAAGGGCTTCACAAATTGGACAGATTCAGTGTTGTGTTTATATTATTGCATTCAGCTTACTGGATTTACAGCCAATAACTAGCTCTTTATGGTGTTGATTTGCCTGATATATGATATGATGTATTAGCCTGCTTCACAAGCTTGTCCTTAGTGACAAATGACAGCTTTTGTTATAAGGTAGTGAAATCCTTGCTTCTGATCGGTTATCAGCAGATTTGTCACTGATTTTTTTTTTCATTCATTTGTCGTTGAAAAAAGGCATTGTGAAATGGGTCCCTGAATATCATCCTTTGGGGTCAGAAGGGCATGAACTCATATACTTTAACACAGAGTTAATGCCTTTTTGGCTCTGAACAGACATTAGCATGATTACTAGCACAAACAGATTTCATTGCCTTACAATTAATTCCATGCTAGTCTTGCAAACAATGAAGTAAAATGTGACCAACCTTTTAATGCTTACTTGAAAACATTGTTTTGTTTTCACATGATCAAAATTGTAATTTTCTCCCAATAATAGGCTTTATTGCCCTTTTAGTGTGTAGGAGTGTATTATTCCTCAGTCCACAATAGTTTGTTAAATATATACATGTATTGACAATGCACTTGATAAGATAAAGGCACAACACACTTATCACAATATACTTTGATTTATAATTCATTCCAATTCAAGAAATTGTAAATGCAATATCAATTACACATGACATAGTGATTTGCCGATGTCGAGGTGTCATGTTTAAATGGTTAGTCACTAAGGAAGACTGGGAGTGCATAGGTCATGGATTCAAGCCCCAACATAGCACATAAGTCCTTGAGCAAGGCATTTTATCTCCACATTTCATGCTTCTGTCCACCCAGGTGCTAAATGGTTACCCCATAGGATAATAATAAATAATAATATATTTCTATACCGCAAATTGCAAATTGACTCTAAGCGGTGTAGAAGGAAAATAGTTAAAAGTAAATGTGATTGGATTAGCATGTGCATGTGCATGAAAAGGGGTACTGGCTGGAATGCCCCCCCCCCCCCCTCCCCAGGGAGTGGAGAGTGAGCACTGTGTTGAGTTCAGTGAATGGGGTAATAATAACACTGTAAGCACTTTAGTCGGTTGTAACTGGTAAAGCGCTTTATAAGAAACAGTTACTATTATTATCGATCGTGTCATATGTCTTGTCTAAACTTAAAAGCGTGTATAAAAATGAAGGTCTTGTAGTTCCTGCAAACACGGTCATTAACCCCTTGATTATGATGTTACAATACAACACAGTCCCATGTAGAGATTGTGTTTGTAAGAAAGGTATCTTGGGTTAATGTGATTGCTTCAATCACGCTTGGTACCACTTGACTTATACCCTATGCCTAGGATATATACGTCCTATGCCTAAAATATATCAGTTTGGTTATGTCCACGTTTGAATTAATATCATAAGATTTATATTTGCTGGTATACATGTACATGTGTCTGATCTTAAAAGATTTACCAAGAAAATCTATTTTGCATACTTGGTACTATGCATCTTGTGTTTGTTTTATGATGTCTCCTTTTGTATTATTCTTTGAAGTCAACAAACAGAAGGATATATCAATTGAATGCATGAAAATGCATGTAAAGGATTGGAGGAAAGGAAGGCAATAAAACAAAAAAATGTTCTATCAAAATAAGTGTTTTGAGTTATCATTACTCAAGTGATGGGAATTTAGTTGTGTGTCATGTAATGTACCTATGTTCACCCCTTCCCTGTCTACCGCCCCCCCCCCCCCCTCTCTCTCTCTCTCTTTTACATTCTCTCTTCCCTCTATCTCTCTCTTCCTCTGTTCTAACCGTACAAGTTCTCTTGCTGACTTTAAGAAAGTATCATTACGATGGAATACAGACGAGGAAGGGTACACAAGTAGATTGTAAAATAACCAGTCAAATAAAAACAACCTCACTATAGCTTGCTGGAAATTATCTTTAACAAAAACCACAACTCCAGGGGCGGATCTAGGGGTTCAGTGGTTTAACCCCCCCCCCCCCCCCCCCCTTCTTGGCAAAAGCTAGATCGGCCCCTGAACTCTCATTTGCACATATTATAGTGACTTGGCCTATACATTTTCTAATCTTGAACATAAGTTTTGTTAGATTCTGTGAGAATTTATTTTTATATCATTTCAAGAACTAAAGCTTATATAATTGATTGTTTGATTGATTTTTATTCGACAAGCTTCCAACATAAAACAAGTAATCAGTTCATAAGTTATTTTGTTATTGATATTCTTATATATGTATATGATATGTAAAGCGCTGTGATACATTTACTGTAATGAGCGCTATATAAATGCAAATATTATTATTATTATTATTAATATACAATAATAACAGATCAAAAATAAGTCAGCTTGAACAGGATAACTCACGAAAGCTCGAGAGCTTATTTCCAGTGGGGTCCCTGGAAATATAAGCTCAGTTCTGTATCATGCCTGCTGCTTATCGGTACGCATAAACCAAACTCAGATTATAAATTATCATCATTTGATTTATTCTGATGTGGTTGGGTCCTGATCGAGAGGCTGAATAAGCATTCGAGACGACACGCTCCATCAATTAGCGTTTCAAGTCTTCGTAGAATTGGCTCAGAAGCGTCCATGACTTCAGGCAAAAATTGAATTTACGCACAGATGCGGGTGATTGAAAACATGCTACTATGGGAGTATATAGCCCAGGGTTACCTCACTACCTGTTCGTCACTTCTTCATCCAATCCCGAATCAGTTTGAGCTAATTAATGAAAATTGATTGATGATTGGACACAGAGCGTGACTCTGCAGCTAGTTATTTAATTTGTCTCTCTAGCTGAGTCGAGGAGAAGGTGCTCTAGGCTAGAGCGCACTGACTTCCAAACCTGAAATTGTGTGCCTTCTCACACCCTCTCTCTCTCTCTCTCTCTCTCTCTCTCTCTCTCTCTCTCTCTCTCGGGATATAGCAACACGTTCACAGGCGCTATCAACGATATCATTGTAAAAACCTTTTTTATATTTCAACCAATTCGGCTGGCGTTATTAAAATACCAGTTTATTTAAGGATTAGTTATTTCATTTCCGTCAAAATATGAAATTCTAACATTATAAAGATGCAGTATCTAGATCTATTTAGATCTATGTGTTCATATTTTACAAACATGTAAGACCACTTTTGAAGGGGGAATGAACCATCCCGTACAATTACCATAAGTCTCAAAATAAACAAACGGATAGGCCTAAAAATAAAAAAATAAATCACGGCTTTTATTTCATCTGTATAACTAAAGTAAATGTGGGCAAAAACAATAGAATGTCTGAAAGTGTGACGATATTCTTGTTTGTTTTTGCTATGAGAATTGTAACCTCCCTCTGAATACGTTCGAGGCCAAAGCAAGGAAATTAAGACCAAATACTAGTAATACCCCCCCCCCCCCCCTTCTGTCTTCATTTCCTTTGAGTGTGTTGTTCAAAATATGCGTGTGGGATGGGAGTTGAGGCTCCAGCAGCCCCCCCCCCCCCTTCCACCACCGATAATTTGAAACTGCATGTACCGTACCAACATTCGGGCAAACGTTATACTGTATTTTCGGGCAAAAGAGTGCACGTATATTATGTACTCTATCTCGTAGGCCTATACTTTATTAAATGATGACATTGTGTAAAAAAAGTCATAGAAATCAGTATTACATATACCAGAAATGGATGGCACTTTAATTTGCATGTAGTGTACAAAATGACCACTCTCTTCGTCCCCCACCTCCTCCCACTCCATGGTCGGAGGCAGGCGCGGATCCAGGATTTCTTAGGGGGGGGGGCCCAAATTTGAAATAAATTTGAAATTTAGTGTGCTGAAATTTGAAAATCGTGCGGGTCAATATTTAATATTTCGCTTACAGGGGGGGGGGTAGTGAGCCCTAATTTTTTTGTTTGGCCCTCGAAAATTTGAAAAAAATTAACGTGGTTTTAAACGTTTTTTCGCCGACCCCCCCCCCCCCCCCCCCCCCCAGATCCGCCACTGATGACACCATGACACCTCCATGAATTTGTCGTGGGTGTAAATCTCTGCTGATCAGGACAATGTTTAACAAATAAAATGTCTAAAAAGATAAGTCCGTAAAAAGTAGATAATTTGATATATTAGGCCCTTCACGTGATTTGTATATATACGTCATGTTCAATAAGTATTTTACAATAGCCTAGATACTTTAAAAGAGAAGAGGGCGACCAAAATATATAACGTGTTAGAAAACTTGTATTGACCGGAAATCACTGTGACCTGAAAACAACCTTCAGTCCAGTTCGGCCCTTGTCTAAAGTCCACGATATTTGTTTGCTGTACAAAATAAAACTACAACCAAATTGGATTTTTCGGGTTAGTTTTATAGATCGTTTTCTATGAGTATGATATTGTCAAAGTAGAGTTGTCATCGTATATAAAAGCAATCAAATATTCGTTGAAACAATCTGTTTGAATTATGGAAGAAACAGAAATTGACCAGCGGGCGATTAAAGTTTAATCATTGTTATTACTGGCCAAGAGTTATAAAATGTGCCAACAATAAAAAAAAAAAATTGTGTGGTGTACGTACGTGTTGATTCCAAAATCTGTACTCTTGCAGACAGAACTTGTATTTACGGCGCAATAATATTGCAGATAGTGTTGGCGACATGGAGAACCAACGCGTAACTGTAAAGGAGGTTGATCCCGAGAATGATCACGGAGGTGAAGTAAAGCTTGAGCGCAGGCTTAGTCTCTTGGATGGTATCATGATCAACGTCGGAGTAATGATCGGATCGGGAATCTTCATCTCGCCTAAGGGTGTCTTGGCCAGTGTCGAAAGCGTAGGTGCCACCTTGTGTATATGGGTGGCTGGTGGGATCGTTTCGGTCTTCGGTGCCATGTGCTACGCTGAGTTGGGCACGATGATCCCCGCATCTGGAGGCACTTACACCTATGTCCGCGTGATCTTTGGGGACTTTTGGGGTTTCCTCAACTTCTGGGCTGGTACCGTCATCGCGGGACCCATCGCCAATGCCGTTACTGCATTGATGCTTGCCATGTACTGCCTGGAGCCATTTTACCCCGATCCGGAATGTCCCCCACCAAATGTTGCGATCAAACTCTTCGCCATTGCAGCCGTCATGTTCATCATGTTTGTAAATTGCTGGAGCGTAAAGTTATCTTCTCTTCTACAGAATGCCACATCACTGTCCAAACTTGTCGCTCTCGGCGTCATCATCATCACCGGCATGGTCAAACTCGGGATGGGAAACACTGAAAATTTCCAAGAACCTTTTACATATACTAATATTAAAGGACTGGGGACGGGGTTTTATGCGTGTCTCTTCTCTTACGCTGGCTGGCAAAGCTTGAACACCGTTATTGAAGAATTAAAAAACCCTTCCAGGAATCTTCCAATCGCCGTCATAGCCGCTCCAACATTGGCGACTGTTGTGAATACCCTGACCAATGTGGCGTACTTTACAGTGTTGTCCTCTGCGGAGCTATTAAACTCTGAAGCCGTTGCAGTCAGTTTCGCCGAGCAGGCGTTGGGGAGTTTCTCTGTCATCATCCCTATCTCAGTTGTCTTGTCCTGCATTGGGTCTCTCAACGGGTGCATCCTGGGGGGTTCAAGGCAGTTCTTTGCAGGAGCCAGAGAGGGCCATCTCCCACGATTCCTAGCCATGGTTGGCATACGGCACAAGACACCAATTCCTTGCGTCATCGTTGCGTCGCTCCTTACAGCCGGTCTGTGCTTCGTTGACAGCGTTTTCACCCTGATAAACCTATTCAGCTTCGTCAGCTTCCTCTTTTATGGATTATCAGCGGTTGGTCTCCTGTACTTGCGAATCAAAGAACCCAATCGACCAAGACCTTTTAAAGTCAACTTTATCATTCCTGTCATTTTTGCGCTGGTGTGCACGTTTCTTACAATTTTCGCTTTCTTAGGGGCGCCTGTGGATTCTCTCATTGGCGTAGCCATCCTCTTGAGTGGAGTACCCATTTACTTCATCAGGGCCCGATTCAACACACAAGTAACATGGATGATGAAGCTTTACAGACATTACTTTGTTTTCTTCCAAAAATTAACGTTTGTTACCCCTGAGACTCATCACGATGCGTGATGAATGACCGTTGCGTATGAGCTAGCGTCAGTTCGATTGCGCTATTAGGCCTATACTTTTATAAGGTGCGTCATCCATTGACACACTCCTGCGTCAATAGCGTCTTAATTGCCACAGGTCTAGGGCAGTTTATCAGTTTCTGAAAAAGTGCCCAGAGAATTTTCAATTCTGAATAAAGAATATTAGAGACATTTTGATACAAATCTACAAATTAATATATTAATTATTTTGAGGTTCTTGTTGATTTGAAATGAATTGAAATAAATTACTCTTGCTTATTACAACTTGTCCACTTTTGCATTTTTGATGAAACAGGCTAATTGGCTTGCATGAAGGTTTACCTGTTGTGGATTTTCGTATTTCTCGATTGTTTTAATGTATCGTCATCAAAATCAATACAAAAAATTATTGATTAAATTCTTTTTATCTATCACTGATTCTATTCTTTTGTATCCGGTATCGCCCTTAACGACTAACATTGAATCGGTCACCAGCTAGATCCAGCCTCGGAGGGACCGCATTCGTGTGCCCAAAGTCTCCGGTAAAAGGGTACTTTTCGCGCGACAAAGTCCGACCCGAGATTTGTATTTAAAAAAAAGTGTGTGGGGGGGATTCGACTTTTCACCCGGAGATCTCTTTAAAATGAAGGAGTTTTTTTTTTTTTTTTTTTTTTTTTTTTTTTGCTCTCTCTCTCTCCCTTTGGATTCCTGAGAAATTTAAAAAGGGGGCTATAAAATATTAAAAAGGGTAGTTTTTTCTCTCTCTCCTTCTCTTTAGACTCCTGAGAAGTTTTAAAAGGGGGTTATAAAATATCTTGAATATCATAGATAGGGGGTACATTGAGCAGTGTTCCGGATTTAGGGGGGTCTCCAAGGCAGGAAAAGTCCGCGAAAGGGGGGGGGGGGTAGAAATGCTTGCAGTCCTGAGATATGGGCTCTTCCAAAGGGAGGGAACAAGCATTAACGTACCCTAAGTAATACTGGGTCGGGGCGGGTTTCTTTTATTCGCAGAATTCATAAGAAAAAATGCAAGTTGGTATTCGGGCAGGGAATGTCAGCCTCCTCGCAAAAATGTGCTCGTTTAACGTATAGCTTTTGTGTGGTATATTGCTGTCTGTCACGAAGGTGATCTTTAGTTTTTTATCCAGTCTATGGACTATTAATATGTTTGGCAAGGGGATTATTTATCATCGAAATGAGTGAGGCGCGATAGCTCAGTTGTAGGTCCATGGTAGAGCGGTGGTCTCGTAATCCGGTGACCAAGGTTCGAAACCAATGCGATGCGCTATAGTGCCCTTTGATAAGGCATTAATCCTCATAATTATCAGGTGCCTCAGAGAGGACCTAAAGCCGTCGGTCATCTGGTTGCTTACTAACAAGCATTTATTCTTTCTTAGCAGTCAGTTAAAATAACCATCACTACACGAAAATGAAAGGGTGATCAGAAGGAGCAGCAGATATTACCTCGCCTGATAGAGAAAGGGTGTGCGAAGTTCACCGGCGATTCCCTCCATTTCGCCAACTCTAAATCCTCTATCAAGCCTTTTTACACATGTCGAGCTAGCGAATAATAATTACATGATTAAAAACGCTATACAATCTTTTCAAGTGTACCGTCTGTCCACCTCCAGGGTCAGTGGATAGTGGCCATCTCGACATCAAATCAATTATTGCCAGCATGGACAACTCAAAGAACAGATTGATGAAGTTTTAATCGGTACAACTCGAGAGAGGGAGAGAGAGAGAGAGAGAGAGGGAGAGGGAAACAGAGAGAGGGTGAGAGAGGAAAGAAAGAGAGAGAGGGAGAGAGAGAGAGAGAGAGAGTTAGAGAGAAAGAGAAAAAGAGAGAGAGAGAGAGGGGGGGGGGAGTATGCCATTTTAGCCAAAGGTTAGGGTGGTGGACTACTGCACCATATGGCCTATAATTTAATCAATGGAATGATGAACTTCCCTTTCAACTTTGAACGTGTCGTATACCAGATCAAAAACAGAGATTAGCCCAATGATATAAACATATCTACAAATTAATGCTAATCTCGAAATGAAGACCTTCTCCAGCATAACTAAATGGTTTGGGTATTCTGTTAGCATGGTAAGATTGTACTCGTCTTTCAATCATAATTATTTTCATCATAGAATTCGCTTTATCAAAGTATAAAATTGTATCGGAATAACTACACCATTACTCAAAAGTATACTATTTTACATTCTAAAGTGCAAAATTAAAAATTAATCCATCAATAATAGGGAGCACGGTTGAATAAAAAAAGTGATAACACACTGTTTTTTCAGGAAATTGTTGTGACATTACAATTTATTATCGAAATTTAAAAAGTTGATATCTCAGAACATTCTTGATTAATCTAAAAAGTCAAAGAGATTGATCAATAAAGCTATGAGAAGATATCAACTTTATTTATTAAAAATAAATCATCATTTCATAAAAAGAGGTAAAACAAAAAATTTCTAACTTTATGATATAAAGTTCCTTTGAAATTAAAACAAGTTAAGATAACAATCATTTAGTATCATTAAAGGGTTTTATCTATCGATACACACCATCATATATAGAATCCTTTTTCTTGACACATCCAGAGACAAACGTGCTGATCCAATTTTCACCAACAAAAACATATATGTCTGAACACCTTCATGACCATGTCAGTAGCGTCTAACTTTACAATTTTTGGAGCTCTTTGAACTATCCGCTATCATCATTATCAAAATAATTGTTGCATAATAGTTGGTACCCTTTTGCAATTCCAGTACCCTGAGTAGGCTTACCAGTACCCCCCCCCCCCTCCCCCCACCTTTTTTTTTTTTTTTTAGCATGACCTGCCTCTGGACTGGAGCTAAATTGACTCTGACGTAAATGAAAGAACAAGGCGTAACTATTTGATAAGGACATAATACCTCTAACATTTCGTTTCAATAAAATCAATGGGATGACAATGTCTGATTCAGCTTCTTCGGCTACGGTTCTGCTTGTACATTGTCATAAAGTGAATAGTAACGATGACAGCATGCAACAATAGACTATTGTAATCCAACTAGACAGCGACAGGTGCTAACCGATATCCAAACGCCTTAAACAAAAGGCTATTCGCACCGTACCCAAACCAAAGACTGACATCTCTATTCTCAAATAAAGCTCAAAGTGGAGATGGATTGGTAGATCCGTCAGCGTTTTGAGGAGTTTGGATAATGTTCACGTTGGATTTCCCAGGGAATATACGAAAGAGGCAAGCTGGATTTACTATTAGTTGGATTTCACATGATAAGCGCCAATCAATATGACTTTTGTTGGCTGTAGGGCTAAAGTAGTATGCCTGTGACAGACTTGAGGTGTTTGTTTAGGAAGGCCTTTGTTCTGCCCGGTGGTACGCCGTAAGCGGAGAATCGGCACACGTCAAGCCCGCTTAAGCACGTGTCCCAAACCGCAAACAAGGACAACAGATCAGCGCGCCGAACAGGCGCGTACGCAGGATTTTTTCAAGGGGGGGGTTTTAACATTTATAAATCGGTCCGAAAATTTCGCAACGACTCAGCCAGCCGCTGAATAAGCGGGGGGGGGGGGGGGGGGGGGGGGGGGGGGGGGGGGGGGGGGGGGGGGGGGGGGGGGGGGGGGGGGGGGGGTAAGAGGACACATTTTTTTTTTTTTTTGGTCCCAAAAAAATCGCAACGACTCAGCCGACCGCTGAATAAGCGGGGGGGGGGGGGGGGGGGGGGGGGGGGGGGGGGGGGGGGGGGGGGGGGAGAGGACACTTTTTTTTTTTTTTTGGTCTCGAAATTGGAAAATTGACATTTTGCTCCGTTGGGGGGGGGTAAGGTCGCCTTTTTTAGGTCGCCGGGAATAATTTTTTTTTTTTTTTTTTTTTTTAATAATTTCAAAAAAAAAAAAAAAAAAAAAAAATCCAAAAGGGGGGGGGGGGGGTTTAGGTTTTAGGGGGGTTTACACACAAAAAATTTCCAAGGGGGGGGGGTTTAACGCCGTTCCTGCGGGACGTTCACGGGAACGGGTAAGAACAACCCCCCCCCCCCCCCTTCCGTCCCGCGCCTGCGCCTGGCGCCGAATATATCAAAATCTGGGCCAACATTTTCCCAGCGAGTTATATATTGTTATGTGGTTATGTAGCCCTATGTCTGCATGTGAGGACTTTTCATTCACCAGCATACTCAAAATTATGTTCATTCCGATGTCTATATGAACCAGATAGAGACTCTATTTGGAAGAACAGAGGCGAATAACTGGGGTGGAAGGTAACTCGTGCGCCGCATGATATCTCTTTGCACGTGTGTCATTACACACTCACGGCGTGTGCCTGCCTGGCCGAGAAATGCAAATGAAATGAGGATTACGCGGGAGACAAGAGAGAGAAAAATGTGAGAGGGGAAAAAAGCGACCCATCGAGTTTGTGAGAGAGTCACTGGGGCGTGCCGCGGACCTCCAAATCTGTTCGCTTCGGCTTGGAAAGACCGTGGAAACTTTGTCTTCTCATCTCGTCGCCTGCTCGCTCAATGTGTTTTGCTTGCTTCATTGGTAGCTTCTAAACCCATAAGCTGTCATATTGCCTTCAGGTTCGCACGCTGTTCGTGTGTCTGACCAGTCTAAACTATACAGATGAAGATGACTGTATATATCTTTCGAATTAACTTGAGATAACTGCAATACTCGTGGAAGAATACATGATTTAGTTCGTCGGACGATTCAACATCATTATACATCATGGCATTGGGGTGCGCAGCAGGGTCTCATATATCAAGATCACAACTCATTGTATGTATTATCGGATTTGTGGGATTTACTTTGCTTGCCCTTGGAGCTGTATCGGACTATTGGGTCACTTACGGGATTACTTCTGCCGTGTCTGCGGGGAGCAGCAATGGGTCTTCTCCTCCACCTCAGGCAGCCCTACTTCACCGGGAAGGCCTCTGGAGAAGCTGTCTCCAATACATCGCTAACAATTCAACTTCTGTAACAGGTAGGGGGTCCATCGCTCTGTTTCTTTATAAATGAATACAGTTCATGCATGTCAGTGTTTTGTGTGTGTGATAAGTAGCCCCCACGCAAATGCAAGGTGCTATTTTGAGGTAAAGTTGAATATGAGCGGGACTGATTCATTGTGCTAGTATGTGGGTTCAAAGTCTATCATTTCAAAAGAGAGTCATCGTACTCATAGAACATGTGCTCGCAATATGGAGTATTATATAGTTCATGTTGTATTTAGTGCATATGTAATGTATCAGCAGTGCAGTGGACGTGTGGCGTCTGTCGCATGGTCACACTTGTATCATCAGGATAATGCATGAGTGCCAAAATACTGCCAATTAATTAATTATTATGTTTTAAAACATCCAAATACACGAAGATTTAAATATATTTATGTAATATTTTCATTTGAATACCTTGTTTAGCCATATTATACCTTTACTCAAGATTCCGGAAGAATGCTGTGTTCTCAGCATGCAGTCAGGCTTACAGTGCCCATTCCTGTATTCATCCCCATAGTTAGGTCCTGTTGATTTCTGAATTCAGCCTTTGTAATTACTCTGTACCTGAAATAGCGCTTGTTTGCTCGTGGACCCCTTCCCCTGCTATCCTTGGCTAATCACTTGACAAACAGACTTTGCGATCTCAATAATAATATTGCCAACCTAACAATGCAGTGACAATCATGTCTCCAGGCCCAAACAGAGCTAATTGAATAGATACTAAATAAAAGCACTGTGATGGAAGTGGGAAGGGGATAGATGTTATGAAAGACAGATCAAGATATCTGATATATCATGAAGACGAAGATAACCATGATTATGAAGTGATAGAGAACTATCTCTACGACTTGTTCATGATCGCCCAGCTAGTATATATATGCCATTCAATCAGTCATTTCAATGCGAAACATAAAATTGCAGATTTGCAGACCCTATTAAAGTAGATCTATATTTTCAAACTTCTACGGATATAAAAGGTAGTAACAGTTCAGTCTCCCGTTACCGGCGTTACAGCTGCAGTGGGGAATAAATTTCTGATCAAATTGCAAGAAGAATACACAGTGGAAGTGTTGCATTGTTTGTGGTCTGCAAAGATAATAATAACGACTGTTTTTCACTTGCTTCAGGTGATACAGGTAAGTTCTGTAATTATCTGCTGCGAACGGGTTGAGATTTCATAAAGAATGTGTCACTGTTTTATGATAAATTACACGTATACAGTGCATACAGTCTAAGTCTAAACAGGTCACACCTCCCTGGTCTAAGAGATAATTTGTGTAAAGAATGCATACATTAAAGTGTTGAAATAACAAATATTGGAACAAATTTTCTAGGAACAAACTGCAAAATATGATTTCAAACTGCAAGCTCAGCTAGCTCAGAGCTGTAAAAGGAGGTTGTTTACTTCAGGATGTTGAATTTTATTACCTCCAATGTTAATAACGCGTCGAATAAACAAACTCAGAAATATGATATCGAGCGATTCTCTATTTTTCGGACAATTCTTTTGACGTCTATTGGAGCGTTGATAACACGGGAAATCACCAATTGATGCGGGAAATATTAGGTCTCTCTCTCTCTCTCTCTCTCTCTCTCTCTCTCTCTCTCTCTCTCTCTCTCTCTCTCTCTCTCTCTCTCTCTCTCTCTCCCCGTCATATCATCCTCGTACAGTGTAAGCGATATATGCTTTTTATACAGAAAAAATGTACATACAGCGTTTGTTTGTTTGCAAGATTTGGTAATGGGTCAGTAGGCCATGTACATGTAGATCTACATTGTACAGAAATATACCCGATAATATTTACAAAAGACCTGTTTGAATGCAACTTTAGTGACTTGATTTTGATTGATATTCATTTCCCTCAAAGTTTCTCCCCTTTTTTCGTTACAATATCGCTTTGTTTTGGTGGTAAAATCATAGACGATCATATGTAATTTGGCTGATGGGACGTTTTCTTACACTGACTGTTCATAACCACATTTCAATGTATAATTTCTTGGTAATGTATACGTGTTGCGCAAAGCAGGCAAGACACTGCAAAGTTGTGACACATTTAAAATAGTAACAAATACAATCTGGAATGTGTTTATACAAAGCGTGTATGGTTACTTAAAGGGAGCGGATCGCCAGTTTCCATGTGCAGAAGGCCATAATTCGCTGACACCAGACTTGGTGGAAACACCATTAATGGGGGTACAAATTTGCACACAGCAAACCCATAGTCCAGTCAAGAATTACCCCTATTCTCTCGGAGAGCTCGAGAGTCTTCGGGCAAATCAAAGCATTACATAAGGTCCAATGGTCATAAAACTCAAGGCTAACCCTGGTGATTGACAACACCTGTTATTGGGTAAACACCCGAACGGTGTCGAATTCCCCATGAGAGCCGACTACTCGGATGCTGTTCATGAACGTGTATTACAGAAAAGGGCTTTTAGAAATCGAGATGGTTTAAATGCATCGAACGTTGAATTCATGGATCATTCTGAGAATCAGACAGGAGATAATGTGATGAATCAATGCACGACAATGAACTACTTATATTCAATTTCATTGGTACAGTACATGTATCATCATCGGACGGGCTGATAGAAGGCTGGATGTACCTGACGTCATATTTCGCAGAATTTCTTGATTAAATTTCTCACAGATAATCGAATTCAAGGATAGACTATTAATTTTGTCCCTGCCTGTACTTGATGTACATAATATACATGAGACCTTTTTTTGGAATCCTCCGACGACCACGATTCAGGCGATGCTCAGTCGCTTTATATGATAGCTTCCTTCTCTCCTCTTATTTTTTTAAAATTTTGTTTAGTTTTGTTTGATTGCCAATTCATGATACAAGATTGATTTGACCCCCCCCCCCCTCCCCCTCGGTCATCTGTTCGTGCATATCAAAGTTCCAAACAGTATCAACTTTGAATCTGTTAATTTGAGGTTTGACTTTTTCACAAATTGAAAATTAAAAGAACCGCACATTATTTTCATAATCACTTTCAAATTTTGTAATATTCGGTGATTCCCCGTATAAAAATTATGTAGCATTGTGTGTTAGCTTATTTCTTTTCGTCATCGAAGTCAGAGAAATGGGTTGACACACGGACACGGTACTACATGTACATATAATGGCAATGGATCAGGTTTGCAAATGCAATGATAATCTTTCTCATTATGTAATAATGCGCTCGTACACGTAATGAGAACCCAGCTGTGTTGATTCCACGATAAATGTTTGAGATAACACAACAATAAAGCATGATTATCATGCCTAAACGACCTAGAACTGGATTATAAATGGGAATATACTATGTACATTGTACACTGTAGAATGTGGAAAGAATCAATACCTTCATTTCTTCTCTGACTGAATATCAGCATAACATGTACATGTACATGTATGTCTTAGATATTTGCTTCACCATAGCAACACTAAAACAGAGAGAAAAAAACTGAATACCCTTGTATATTATGTTATTACCCCTCTTACGTGGGAATCCCCGACGAGGAGATGGGTGATGATGGAGCAGGCGGAGAGAAGAAGAGGATGAGAAGGGTAAGGTGAAGGGTAAGGTGGAGGGAAGGAAGAGGAGGCGAGGGACGGGAAAAGGATGGGAATTGGGAATGGGAGAGAAAAAGGGTCCAGGGAAGGAAGAAGAAGAGGATGGAGGAGGAAGCAGGTTGAGGCGGGAGAAGGAAGAGAAGGGACAAGAAGGAGGAGGGAGAAGGGAGAAGGAGGAGGAGGAGGGAATGAGAGACAAGGAGGAGGAGGGAGAAGGAGGAGGGAATGAGAGACAAGGAGGAGGAGGAGGAGAAGAAGAAGTAGGAGGGAGAAGGAGGAGGGAGAAGGAGGAGGGAGAAGGAGGAGGGAGAAGGAGGAGGGAGAAGGAGGAGGAGGGAGAAGAAGTAGGAGGGAGAAGGAGGAGGGAGAAGGAGGAGAGAATGAGAGACAAGGAGGAGGAGAAGGAGGAGGAGAAGGAGGAGGAGGAGGGAGAAGAAGTAGGAGGGAGAAGGAGGAGGGAATGAGAGACAAGGAGGAGGAGAAGGAGGAGGAGGGAGAAGAAGTAGGAGGGAGAAGGAGGAGGGAATGAGAGACAAGGAGGAGGAGAAGGAGGAGGAGAAGGAGGAGGAGGGAGAAGAAGTAGGAGGGAGAAGGAGGAGGGAGAAGGAGGAGAGAATGAGAGATGAGGAGAAGGAGGAGGAGGAGAAGGAGGAGGGACAAGGAAGAGGATTGAGGAAGAGGAGGGTAGAGGCGGGAGAAGGAGGAGGAGGGGGTATAGGATGTACATACATTGTGTAAAATGTACACTATACGAAAGCGAAATACAATGTAGCTCCATGAAACTTTGTGAGCAGTTAGTATTTTAAAGCCACTGTTTCAAGTTTTGGTACTTCTATAATATCATTACATAATAATGGATATTATTATGCACAATGCTTGGTACATTGTCGACGGACATTGTTGTGAGTATTGCTAGAAGTGCAATCTACAAGTACATGTAGATTAATCATTTTTTCTAACATTCTTAATTTTTTAGTAACGAATAAAGTAACTCCCTTTTTAAACGAGACCCCTTGGCAATACACATCAGCGTTATTGATATTAATTGTTCTGTTATAATAACCCTCAGGGTTCAGACCAAGCAGGCATTTTATAATTGATCAAAAACGATTCGGGCAATCGAAGTGTTATAAAAACTCGGGAGCGTCGAATCAAATATGCCTAAGCGATGATGGAAGTAATTGTTATCCTGCACAAAATAATAGTTTTTCTCTTCAGAGTTTATAAGGACAAGGTATAGATTGTTCTTATCGGGTGCTTATCATTGGGGCAAGTGTGGTAATGTGAAGGAAGATGATAATTACAATGTACATGTACATGTATGGTCGGCACTTTACCTACTTCAAATTAAATGAAATTGGAACAATTTACAGTCTTAAAATGTAGTAACATCCCATATTGCTGTCATAACGTACAGTGTGTACGTCATAATCTTCTTCTTCTTCTTCTCCTTCTCCTCCTTCTCCTCCTCCTTCTTCTTCTTCTTCTTCTTCTTCTTCTTCTTCTCCTCCTCCTACTTCTTTTTCTTCTTCTCCTCCTCCTCCTCCTCCTCCTCCTCCTCCTTCTCCTTCTTTTCTTCTTTTTCTTCTTCTTCTTCTTCTTCTTCTTCTTCTTCTTCTTCTTCTTCTTCTTCTTCTTATTATTATTATTATCATTATTATTAGGATGTTTATTATTGTTTTTGTTGTTGTTATTATAATTATTATCATATTTATTATAATTATCATATTTATTATAATTATTATCATTACTATTGTTATGATTGTTGTTATTCCTTTTATCATCGTAATTGTCATTATTATTATTTTCATTATTATGATTCTTATGATTCGCTCCCTCTATCATGAAACATAAAACCATTTAACCATGCACTGTAAAGTGACAATCTAACGTGATTGATGCGATTGAATAGATGAGGGAGGAGAGCATATACTTCTAAAGACAATGAGTGTATTCATGTTGAACATTGAACAGACCATATAATGTTGAAGTCCTTTTTTTATCATTTATCATTGAAACGGCAACATCTGCGCGCCTTTTATGATGAGAGGGCTCTAGGCTTCAAAACGCTTTGTATAAGATGGCTCGCGTTGCGCGCGTCATAAAAAGTGATTGTGATGATGTCAATATCAAATTGCTCGTGTCTCGCTCCCTGGAGCTTAGGGAATGAACGAGGAGGAGAAACAAAGAAACGTCTCACTGAGATCAATTAAGAAGATTAATGAGTGTCACGGCTATACGGTTTTATGTCTGCTAGTCCCGAGTGGCTTCATTTATTGTGCTGTCGCCTGTTGTCGAGTGACAGGCGTGGCAAGAACATTATTTTAAAAGGGAAGGGGGTGGACCAGATGAATAACGGACATGTTTGCCAAGGAAATGAAATAAGTGAAAGATAAAAAGACTGGTTCTTTCAATTTGAAATACAATGTATTTCGAAAATTGTAAGGGTAAAGGGGGGGGGGTGAGGAAGCTCTTAACAAATCTTTGAGGATGCAAATACATGTAGCAATTATAGATGTATTTTTCGTCGAAAATTGTGTGTGTATGTGATAGCGGCCCTATACACACACCCCCTGAATCGCCGCCCCTATATATAGCCCCCGCTCTGCAAAGTCTAGCCTGTACGTAGGCCAACTACAGTATGAAATCCTTTTTCAGCTTTTACACTACTCTTTATTTTGTAGTTACTGTAGTTGGGTAAGTGACGGGAAATAAAAACAAGGGTCTAGCAATAAATTTTCACATTAATCATAACGATAATCAAAACCTTTTCATCACGATCTCATCTCTCTAGTGTACACGTTGAAACCTCCACTCCGTTGACACTTTTAACGATGTCACAAACAGACACGAAGTCATTACATGTACATGATAAAGAATGAAGAAGAGGAGAATAGAGAACTACTTCACTGCAGTTCTGTTCACGTGCATGTAATTCTTGTATCTCTACTCTGGAGCTATATTATATTGCGGGAGAGTTAACGGTTAAATGCAGTGCAGGGTATTAAAGGGATTAATTGGGTATGAGCCGGTCAACAATCTACTTAGCATCGTAAATTGAGCGTAACTAGGTGTTCTCTAATATCATGATGATTCATCCGATTAAAGAAATAAATCCGTTTGATATCAAACTCATTTACCTCCCTTTCATTTTCTCACGATGATTTCGCTGGGTGCTGGATTCTCACGAAGATTAATAGAATCTAGTCATTATCGCATAGTTTGTGATAATTATATTACTGTTAGTTGTAGATACTGTAGTCTTGCACATGGGATTTGTTTTAATGCCATTTTGTCTTGAATTTAACTGTTGAAACGAAATGAATAATTTCATAGTCAACAACCAGATTGACTTTGTAAAGTCGTATTCGTGTCATTTTGAGGAATTTTTTTGAAGAATATTAATTAAATTAAATTTATATATCATTCCTATAATGGCTTGTACAACCACAAGGCTTACCTGACCTAGCACGTTACAATCTGATTGACTTAAAATAGTATGAACTTGCCTGAATGACAAATGACCTGGTTGTTAAAATGCGGTCTCTTTGTCTCCTTTGTTTCTCATTCTCTGAATCTCTGTCTATTATTCTTTCACTCATAATGTGTCTCCTATTCTCTGTCTTACTTTCTCTATCTCTCATTCTCTATCCCTCATTATCCGTGTCTCTCTCTCTATAGCTCTCTTTCTCACTTTCTCTCTCTCTCTCTCTCTCTCTCTCTCTCTCTCCCTCATTCTCTATCCCTCATTATCCGTGTCTCTCTCTATATAGCTCTCTTTCTCACTTTCTCTCTCTCTCTCTCCCTCATTCTCTGTCCCTCATTCTCTGTCTCTCATTCTCTGTCTTTAATTCTGTCTTCCATTCTCGTCATCAAAACACATTGTGCAAACGCCACGCTTCTCCGGCCCCTCGATCAATTCCCCTCGTATCAAATACTCATTGTCATGCCCACTCCTCGAATGCTTGAATAAGTTAGTGACTGCATGTTGTAAAGCAGTAACACCCAGCATTCAGTTCATGGGATCCCGTATTTGAAAACTTCAAATATACGTATATGTAATTCGTTTTCAAAGTGAAGTGTTGGATGTATTTGACGATTTTTATTAACTTATCTGTAGCTACAGACCTGTGTATCTTCTTTTTTTTTAGCCTGATCAGTTATATTTTAAACTTGAACCAATTCATTCCATTCATCCTCACCGAAAGGAAGACAGAGTTAGAGTACAGAATAAAGTAATGTACATGTAATTTGAAGTAGTGTTTGGTATACCAACATACTGATGTACATGTATACCTAAAAGTATTCACCAATTCCAATTCTCCTTGTTCTATTTTTACAGGACACATGTGTTTCTTCGGTCTTTCTGCACCTGACTCGCTCTCCATGTCACAAGGCCTCAACTCACAGACAAGATATGAAGGTTTGTAATTTGTAATGACTGTGAATTCATTCATTGACTACAAAATCATGATACCATCGATAAATTTATTCAGTTTTATTTACATTTCTGTTGATATACTCAATTGTTATTTTGACGAAATCATTTTAATTTTGCAGCAATGGTAGATTATAGGATTTTATTAGATGATTATCACAACAAACCCTTTAGTGTAACCATACATGTAAGGGGTGATGCACCCATTCCGTTCTTCATGGTGTCACTCAGTATCAGGAGTGTACGTGCCATGATCGTACAGCAGTCCTTCCCTCGTAAGTCGTTAATAACAAACAGTTAGGTTTATTTTGCCAACTAATTAGTAGTACAGTGCATATAAGCTGACGATAGCCTGACTCACAAAGCTTCCCCATGTTCCTCTCGCAAACCCTCATCTCTGTGAATTCTCCACCACTCTGACAAACATTGTCATAATATGTTATGACATCCAGCTTATTATCTCCCCTAACTCCATTCCCATTCAGATATTACCGTTAGATGGCTGTGTGATACACGAACTGGAGGTTCTAATTAGTTTCATATATTGATGATAACGAGTTGTGATTGTCTCGGAATCGGGATGCCAATTAAATTCGTTCGCATGCTAATGATATGAAATGAAACGTTGAATGGCCTGGCCACTTGTAGTCTACTGTACCATGGCTCTCTTATCTAGGTATTTTTGTGTGCTAATCTCATTTAAGTCGTAGTTGGTTATTTTTTTTCGAAAGCAAAGTACATACATGAACATTCACAAAAATAGTATTTCATTTAATATGTGGCAAATCAATAGATCTTTTTATGAATTTCGAAGAGAATACATGTACAAAAAGTTTGGTTAACTTTTCAAGCTGATAAGTGAAATAAAATGGTATGATAATAGGCACAAACAAATAGCCTTTGGAACATGTCTCGTCGTCCCAATATACCTCCAGTAAAATTGGAACGATCTACATCGGATGACTGACATTTTTTCAAGATATATTAAATGCTCTTAAAGCTAATTTATATCGAAAATCGAAACTAATCGATCATCGATTCATTCAAAGGACTACATTAATTTTCTACTATTATTATTATAACTAGCAATTCATTCATATGAACTATTCAGCCGAGAGATCAGTCAGTACATCGTCCTATCTGAACTTATGACGTCATTATGACGTCCATTGACCGTCTCTGAACAATATTTTGATAAATGTTTTTAGTAACTGATTTATTCATGTGTTATGATATATGCTTATGTTTAATTCGTCCGAACCCATCTGAACCAGAAATATTTGAAAGATAGAATCATGAATGTATGGCCGAATTGGAGAATACAGTTATTAAGAGATATGCGAGCAATGACATGGAATGGAAACATTATAATCATGGTCACATAGTATGTAACGATAAATGGTGATTCTAAATGAATCAACATGCTCACAATGATAAATTTTCTTAAAATAAATGACCCCTGATGATTCTCATGGAAAGATATTGCTCTGCATAATATAGTTCAGTGCTTAAATCTAGTTTCATGCCCAAAGTGATAGAGCTGTACTGGAGCTAGGTTTGTTTCCTCTTAAAATGAAGGAGAACAACATCAAATTGTCAATTGATTTCAAATTCATTTTATACCTGACCATGCTGAGATTGTAATTATCAAGTTTATCGTGAAATGTTTTCAGAGTAATTTACCTCAATTCACCTTTCTATTTGTATTTTTAGTGAGTTTTCTGATTGCTACATGGGTGCTGTATGGCTTGGGTGTGGTCCTGTCGTTAATTGCTGTTGTCATGGCAATAGCTGCTTTGAGACACAAGAAGAATCAGACGCTCCTGCGAGGTGTGTCGGCCGTGTTTATCTTAGCAGGTGAGTCATCCCTAAAGACATAACTCGTTTTCCGACACAAAGGATACAAGTAGACAAAATATTATGGATGTTAACATTCCTCCTCCAAAATGTGACTTTCTGAATTTTGAATAAATGCGTTACTTTTCTTGGTTAGTCTGCTGTCAATTACGAAGTGGACAAAGATCTTAAAAGATCCGTTACAACTTACAAGACAGACTTATCATTACAATTTACAGTGAGGACGACGGCTTGACTAGTATACTGTTATGTGAATTGGACGTTATCAATTGTGTACAATACTTTCCGAGAAAAGATTATTTTTTAAAGATAAACAAATAACAATGAAACTCGAAATATTCTCTATCCTACGGGCTAAATTCGATAAAAGATTTGATTTCACAGTAATATCATTTTATAAAGTTTCTATGACACATAATTTACAAACATAAGGTAACATAAGTTATATTTTTGAAAGAGAATTCTGAGACTACACTTGTTATTTCTCATGGATATAACAGTTCGTATTTATTTCTTTTTTGTACAGCTTTGCTTGCGTTCTTGGGCTTGGTGATCTACGCGGTGCGGACATCAAAGTTTCCTAATCAATGGCCGAACGGGGATTCTCCATACTCCTCCTCATCTCTTGCCTGGGCCTATGGTATCTCATGGGTGGGGTTACTCCTCTGCTTCATCGCTGGGGTGGGGCATCTCTGGGTCATGAGGCGATATGAAGACAGTATGATTTGAAACCATCACCCTTGAAGGATCGAACTCCAAAGACTTATCCAATATTCTGGATGGTTGATCATTATACCAGAGTTATAGACGTTATGTATTAAGCTTGTACAAAACAAAAACATTCCCCAGTGCCATGGTATTCATATTGGACCAAAACAACCCGCTGAAGGTTATAATGTTGGTTAGAGACATGTTGACTGCATCTTTAAATCCGAATGGTGTTTGCTGCACACACTCTAGTCTGTATGGATTATTTATGAACCAATGCAGTATGGAGGGCCGATTGTGGCATAATGCTGCATGGCCTTTGAGTCGGGGCCACGAGGTTGTCTCTGGCTCTCGAGTATTATGATGGAACTTTTCCTATAGAACAAGATCCTGTGAAATAAAATAAAGATGAATGAAGGCGGAAATTCATCTAATGTACTATATGTTAAGGAAGTCTAAGATCTACATTTAAGATCCGATTTTACTCTGCATATGCCGCAAATAAGAATCGTGTAAAATGTGTCTATTTGCATTCATGTTCTTACCTAATGCATTTCAAAATAGGTGATATTTTTAAAGCTTTTGTTTTAAACTTGCATGCGATAATATGGATTATTTTCATTTGCATTAAAAAGGCGATTGAGCTGCTATGCTGTTCCAGTTATACAGGACAATGATGATATAGAAGTGTAATAGGCATTCAGTCATTATATCACAAGTCACAATACTGAAAGGAAAAATTGTCGTAATCTCGCTCAAGGAGTATTTTATTGAAGGCTTGCGCATATTGAGCACTATATCAGAAAACTGCTTTATTATACCGACAAATTTAGACCAGCTGCTAGTGTTGCAAAAAAATGAGAGGCAGATTCTGCTCTGCTAAAATATTAAGTGGAGGTTAAATTTCTTATTATTTCATCTACATAGATATAAGATGAAATCACACAAAAATGATGTCTTCCTTAACGTTTACAAATGATAAAAAATAATAGAACATCCAGAGCAGGCCCGTTATTGAACATAAGGTATTAATGACGTTATGACCTTTACTGTGTATTTATTGGGAAGTAAAAAAGAAGAATGTTAAATTTAAAAGACGCTTGTATGAGGTATTGCAGAGACAGAAGGTAATTCAATATTTTGATGTGTCATTTCATAGTTTCAGACGGTGAATTCCTATTGCATAACACGATAAAGCCCTTTTTCAGTTTCTGGTTAGTTAAAATTATGATTTGTGGCTCATGCTGCTCATAAGACGCCTTTGTACAAAAAATAAACGCTTTTGTAGAAGCTTGTTTTTAGTTATATGCAAAGATTTTTTAAATATCATTACAAAATGTATGGTTTCGTTGGAATCAGTTTCGTGAAACTGCATTGTATTAAGATATGCAAACCATCAACTTATAACTTCTTACCGTACTCTGAAACCTAAGTTTTCTTTCATCACGTGTGGGAATGTATACGACAGTAAAGTAAGCTTGCTTGTTTTTAGTATCAGAAGCACTCGTGTCTCTCTACAATACCATCTAAAGATAACCAATCATTATTGGTGTAAATATATGCCTACGTTTAATGGAAAAATATAATGTATTATACATCCAACAATTTTTCTAATTGTTTGTAAATCATGTAAATAAGATTTCTAACTCAAATTACTATGCTCTGCTTTTTCATAAAATGCTTTATATTGTATGATGTTTTTTTTGCTTTTGATAATATTTGTTTGTTTGGGAGTGTTTTATAAGCTTCTTCGATGTTGCCATATGTATCAAATCTCTATGTTTAGTCCAGTCCAGCAGTACTCCACTGTTGGCACGTAATGACATTTCATTCAGAAAATGTCCAATCTTAATAATGATTAGGGACCTTGATTGGAAGGGTGACGCTGCCGGGTGTGTCTTTTGATACCTAGTGAGATTCCCTTCTTTTGCAAGACAATTCTTAGCTTGAGTTACTTTCTCTTTTTGTTGTTGACCGTTTTATAAATAAACTTACATTTGTATGCCGACTATAAATCCTAACAGTTATACCTCCAATTTTAACCTTGATAAATGCAAGCCTTGATTTTTTATCTAATTATGATTTGCTTTTTTATTTTTTTAAAAACCTTGTATTCATTCTTACTACTTGCTATGAAAGCAAAAGTATTCACAACCCGAGAACTAATGCATTTGTTTTCCTTCACAAAATGAATTTGATACACATTGTGCCAGTTGTTTAGCAATGCTTGATGCAGTGTATGTAATGCATATCGACGTTAAAGAACAAATCATTTAGACCTTCAGTTTTCACAGCACATCATTATACTATTAGTAGTTTCATTTTTTTTAATGAAACAGAGCATGTGAAATCTGTACAAAAACAGGTGCAAAAAAATATATTTAAGACTATCTTGTTTTACCCAGTACTGAAACCATGTCCATTCATGCAAGACATTCCAATATTTTCTTATTGTGTCATGATAATTCTAAGCATAATTATTGTCGTATTGCTGCACACAGTGAATATGTGGTCACCTGTTGTCTTATCATCATTCCTGTCCGTGTCCAGACTGCATGCTCATATTAATCATACAGGACCATGAACTAGATTTCAACTCAAGTTCAACATTGATAATTCTGGTGGTAGCTATGACCAAATGAAATTGTATAGTTGTGAAGTACTGTGTATGAATCATGCGCAGCTTTTCATCATGATTATATTCGTTTGCAATATATTAAGTTTCTAATTTAGAATTAATCACGTTTCTGCAGTCTATTAGAAAGTATTTCCCAAATTGAGCTAGGAATTTTTATAATTGCATGTAGCTTTTTTAATAAAATATAATTGTTAAGAACCAATTTCATACATGCCCGATTCGGATGCATGAATTGCTTTTCCGTGACAGTAATTATAATACTAATGTATTTGTTTGGCGCATTTTACATTTCCATTTTCAAATGCGCTTTATAATAATGTTCTTAACAAAAAAAAGGGTGAGTTTTGACATAGTTTTTTAAAGGTATTGAGCGATTCCACATTCCACAGTCATTCAACAGTTAGAAAGCATAACATCATTGCATTTTGTTTGTTTTTCCTTTCTGTATATTATATTCGTCACCGAGAAGTCTGATCGTAACCATAAACGTGGCCAAAATGCACACAAGTCTTGTGTGGACGACAATAGCATTCTTGTAATGGTGTATAGCATTATTTGGAAATAAGTGATGAATTCTTCGGAATCAGTCAGTGCTGTTGAAAGTCTACATGTATTAATTATTGAATCAAATGAAGTTGAATAACAAAAATAATATAAGATAAGCGTGCTTTTGTAGTTTGTCCAATTTGTACTTTTTTGTAAATGTTATTTGAACACGATAACAACCATTTTCAAAAATTCAGCCTTCAGTTCCAATAGCCCTGAGTGTGTATCACCTATTGAACCTATAGGGAACGTGACAATAACGTATTATATGTAATCAGAATGTGATTTCTATGGGAAATACAATAAATTGAAATAAATGAAATCGCCCTTGAGTTGATTTTTGCGATTGTGTATTTTCCTAAATATTGACAACCACTTCACCGTTCTATACTGAGGAAAACGTTATTTTTTAAATATTTAAATGATACAAAATTATTTTAATCGACAATAGCAATCATAATGACTTTCAAAATGATTTTCTAACTGGAAAGACGAATTTGGTTGGATAAAAAATACTTTTAAGTGCCAAATACATTTGTCCAGGGAACAAGGTACATTTTCAGCTATTGCATGGATCAGTGTATGACTGTATTTCGACCACTTCGACGATTTCCTCTGACAAAAAAAAACACAAACTGCTCGACGTAAGAGCTCCCGTCATCCATTGTAAATTATGCACCGCTGTGTAAATGAAGGCAATTAATCACGAAGATGCATTTGCGACAAACCACGTTAGCTTGCATGCATCCAGGGGCCTATTAATGTTTGCTACCATTTTGGGATAGGTGCGTTCGCATTGGTCAATATTTAGACCTCTTTTATTGTTTCTCCTCGTCTCTTCTATTCTCTTCCTCCCCTTTGTCTCTCTCTCTCTCGCTCTCTCTCGCTCTCTTCCTGTCCTCCTTCCCTCTATCTCTTCCTAATTCTCTTACTCCTCGATCTTTCATCTTCATTCTCTTACTCTCCCTCTGGCACTCGTCCCTCTTCCTCCTCTCACTATCCATCTTCTTCTCCCCCTCTCCTCCCCTCTCACCCCCCTCTCACACCCCCCCCCCCCTCTCACCACCTCTCTCTCGCTCCCCCTCTATCTCCTTCTCGGCCATCCATCACTGCCCTTTTCCGTCTTCCATGCTATAATTTGTTTTACATATTAATGTTTTATCCCGCCCGCAAATACTTCCCTGTGGTATAAGGAAGCAGTATGTGACAAGTCATCCTGTTCAAAAGAAGCATTACCAACCAGTAATTTGTCCATTCTTACCGTTTTAAAATGGACCTTATACAAATGAATAGAGTTGATGTTTTGCACAAAATAATCTTATTGCAATATTTTTTTAAATAATTCTAGGTATATATTATTGTAGATTTGATTGATGTATCACGAATGACCTATGCATCCTTTTACCACATTCTTCTCTGTTCCTGACTCTCTCAACTCTCTCTCTCTCTCTCTCTCTCTCTCTCGTAATATGCCCCTACGTAAGTCAATTTATGCTGCCAGGTTACAACCGAGCCCGTTCCTGATAATTATTAACATCGAATGAAATCGATTCTGTCTCACAAGGACCCTCACACGGGAAGTCCTGCTGACAAAATACAAATATTCATCAATCTTGACAACGCCTATACAAATAAATTAGTTTGCAAAAGGCTTGTGTATCTAAATTTGTAATTTTTAGATCAAACTCGGAAGACGACTTAATTTTGTTTCCATGGTCAAATCAAAATAAACATGTACGTAACAGTATTTCATATAGTTGAGATTTGAGAAACAAATTGTGTGTTTGAAGCTATGGTTACTTTCTTTATAGTGATGTTAGGTGCGCCACTGCCCCCACTAACCCATGTACATGAGTGCGTATATTATGCAGATGATGTTTGTGCATGCTCATTTTGCTATGTTTGTATTCAATCTTACATAATCTTATTTGCTTTGGTGAAAGGTAAAACTCGTATAATTCTGATCATGTGGAATAAAATCAAAGCACCATTTCTACATTCTTCATGTTTATATCGTCAATATTATGTGTCGAGTTTATTTCAACTGAAGGCCTATAATGTTCTCAATGATTCTGAATCAAGATGCAAAAACCGAGAGTAGATTGGGAGATGCGATATAATTAGTGTGGAAAAAAGAAAGTGATTAATTACGAAATAATAAAATGCAATACACTTATTGCCGATAGTAGCAGAGGAGCATATAAATAATATTGATCGAGGAAATGGTATAGCGTTTCATAGAGTGATGATGATGCAATAGCGAGAGAATGGTGCAGCAGCAGTGGTGTAATGAGCAGAAACGTTTTGGGAGCCCCCCCCCCCCCCCCCCCCCCCCCACTCAGTGTTATTTAGGGTACGCGTATGCATGTTACCTCCTTTTGAAGACACCCCCTATGTCCGGTGTGTAAAGTCAATACGGGCCGGATTTTTGTGTACTACGAGCCGGACTTTGGTGCGTGAAAAGTACCCCTTTACCGGACATTTTGGGAACACGCATGCGGTCCCTCCGACCCCGGAGTGGGGAGGGGGTGCGGGCGGGTTTGGGAGGCAGAAAAAAAATTCGCAACACCACCAGGTGGCATCATGGGCAATTGTTTTTAGAGGGGGGTGCGAATATTGACGATAACGGTCAAGATATGGGCCTACAAACTACGTTATAACTCTGGCGTACTGTTTTTTGTCATGTTGATTATACATGAGGCTTTACATCTACCCACTATAACAAATTACTTTATTGCTTACATTAATGTTCTTCACACTACTGAGCAATGAGATGATAAGTTAATATCTCACCCATTATCCAGGGGTGGTGGAATGTCTTTCAAAGTGAGGGGGCGGCACCAACAAAAAGGGGCATTTTCTGGGAAAAGGGGCACCTACAAGGGGAAACCTCAAAGTGAAAATATGCCATTTTTAGACAGTGGTATATACCCAAAGGCACTTGTGAGAACGGAAAAGGGGCACTTATTAACGAAGTTAAAGGGGGCATATCTCAAATTTGAATAAGGGCTTTTGCCGGAAATGAAAAGGGGCACTTATACAAAATAAAAAGAGGCACTTGTCGAAATATAAGGGACACCTGACAGATTTGAAAAGAGGCAATTATTAGAGGTGAATGGGCATATATCAGACGGGTGGTAAGGGGCACTTCTTGTACCCGAAAAGGGGCACTCATCTGAGATGAATGGGGGCACTTGTCACAATAGAAAGGGGTTCTTATTATAAATGAAAGTTGGCACCTGTCGTAAGAAAAGGGGCACAAATGAGATTTTGATAGCGGTTATCAAATATGTAAATGTGGGGCACTCTAGGATTTTGTGCCTGACTATAAATTTTGGAATTTGTCATTTCCCCAAAAACGCATTTAAAGTATATTTTACACAATTTGTAAATCATTGGTATCGAATTTGAAATAAACCACTTTTTAATTTTAATTGAGGGGGGGGGGCATTTCAGCAACATTTGTAAATCACTGATATCGAATTAGATATCCCAAAAGCCCCCCTCCCCCCCTCCCATCAGTACACCAGTGTGCAGCAGTGGTGTATAGCGACGGTGTCGTTCTATTTTCTTTGGTGAGGAGGCACCTGCGATGTTATTGGGGGATGGGGGGGGGGGGGTACAGAACTTACTAGGTGGATTTCATTGGAGAGAACACGATCATCGAGAGAGGGGGTAGAAGGGAATAGTAATCTTCCTAGGCTGATTACCTCTTCTGTTTTCTTTCTTTTTAATTGCCATTTGATGTGGTCACATACCCGCAGTACAGCTTCATTACTGGGTGCGGGGAAAGAATAAAGGCAATTCTAAAGGGGTACATCGTACATGATGATGTCGGGGGGGGGGGGGGGGGGAGGGGAGGGGGACGCAAAAAATTGGACTGACAAAAAAAATACATTGTAATCCACACAAAAATTACACCGAGAGAAATATTTCTTTTATGGATATATTATTATTGATGATTTATCCATTGTTTAGCCTCTACAAATAGAAGAAAATCTTTGCTGCACAAAAGTGATCATTGTTCAAAAAAGAAATTATTGGTAATGTTTTTTGTACATAATTTTAGCCTATATCCCCTTCCATTTTCACTCATTACCGAGTGTTATGATCGGAAATTAAGAATAATCTCGAAATATAGACGACAAACCAGAGCTAAGGAGGAGAAAGATAAAATGTAAGAGGGCGCTTATTTAGAGAGAAAGACAGAGAGAGAGAGGGGGGGGAGAGAGAGAGAGAGAGGGGGGAGAGGGAGAGAGGGAGAGGGAGAGAGAGAGAGACAGAGAGGGAGAAAGAGAGAGACAGAGAGAGAGAGAGAGAGAGAGAGAGAGAGAGAGAGATGGGGAAGGTGTATACCACCTGTCGTTGAGGGGGGGGGGGGGTAACACAGTTTTGCAGTGAAACCATCAAGAAGATGGCGCTATACCAAACAATATTAGGAAGCGATGAAGGGCCCTTTTCTATAGCTAATAATAATAATAATAATATTGGCATTAATATAGCGCTCTTACAGACGTACATGTGTATCACAGCGCTTTACAACATATTATTATTACCCCGGTCATCGGATTCAGGCTTACCCACACACAAGGTATGCACATTCTCCACTCCCTGGGGAGCATTCCAGCCAGTCGCCATTTTACAAGCGCCACTTGCTAATCAAACCACATTAGCTTTCGCATCCTACCGGGTACCCATTTTAACACCTGGGTGGAGAGTGGCAAATGTAGATCAATGTCTTGCCAAAGGACATTAGTGCCGCGGCGGGACTTGAACCGCGGACCTTGTGATCCACAGTCCGGTGACTTATCCACTCGACCACGACACCTCTAAGCCTCATGATTTGTAATGTGGTTAAAATAAAATGAAACCATTCATTGCTTGGACAGGAGAGGACATTAGACAAACATCTGACAAAAAAGGAGAAGAATAATTATTATATATAGAACAGGGAAGTTAGTTTTGTCTTGATCCGTGGGGGGGGGGGGGGGGCGTGATTTTGAGGATGAAATGCGAGTAAGTAAGGCCTCCAATTTGAATTAAGATTTGAATGAATGGATGGATGAGTACATGGATTAATTAATTAACTAATGAATGGATTACTTGCTTGCTGGCTTGCTTCTTTGCTTGAATGATCGATTAATAAAAATAGGGGAATATTCATGGGAAATCACAGCAGAGCTAAAGGGCTGAGTTACAGGGAATATATCATTTCTCCATGAAAACGAATATAAAGTAGGTGGGCGATGTGGAGATGGGTATTCATCTTCTGCTTTCTTCCTCCGCTTCTGTCTTTACCCCCCCCCCCCCCCCCCCCCCCCTTACTCCGGGTCAGAGGGACCGCATTCGTGTTTCCCAGATCTCTGTTAAAGTAGTACTTTTCGCTCGACAAAGTCAGGCTCGAGAGTTTTATTTTAAAAAAAGCGCCGGGGGGGGGGGTGTATTTGACTTTCCACCCGGAGATTTCGTTAAAAGGGATGTTTTTCTTTCTCTCTCTTGATCTTGATCTTTAGACTCCTGACAACATTTTAAAAGGGGGGTTATAAAATATCTTGAATATCATAGAAAGGGGGTACATTGAGCAGTGTTCTGGATTGAGGGGGGGGGGGTAGCTCTCCCAGACAGAAAAAGCCCTCAAAAAGCCCGCACTATGGGGGGGGGGGGGGGGGCCCGCGCGGTTCAGAACTTGTTGGGAGTCCTGAGTTGGGGGTGCTTTTAAAGGGAGGGGCCAAGCATACGCATACCCTGAGGGGGCGGGTTCTATTCCTCGATAGAATTGAGTTGTTTTTCCTTCTTTTTCTTTGTGTGTGATAGAGTTGAGTTGATAAACAAACATGCATTTCTGACATGATGACATGATATTGTACAAAAATGATTGTCTAGTATTAGCCTGCATTCAAGGGAAAGTAAGTTTCTCATTTTCTGAATGAAACTTTATCGTAAATAATAAGCTTATGTATTATTCAAATGGTAGAAAATAGTAGAAATTTTATCCTTATTGCTCACATAATACTCAATTATTTCATCAAAATCATGGTAAAATAAATTTTCATTCAAAACATGCATGGACATCCAATCCGCGTCGCCGGCCTCAGCCTCGAAGACAGGCTACCGTACATTGGTCAGGTGTTTTCTCTTGACATTCGATACAAAATACCCGGCATTTGATTGCGACATCCATGTAACTTTTGCTTGCCACATGCCACCAGCACCACTGACGCCACATCCAGGTAAGAAGTTGCCAATTTTCTGCTTTGCAGTTTTTTTGTATGATACGCGAAAGTAATTAATATAGATATCTTGAATTGATTGCACAGAAAGTTGATTGCAACAATTGTCTGCCGTGTCTTCCGTCATCTTCATCGCACTTTGCCGGTGGCCCCGGCCGGTTGGGCTAGCTTCTCCGCCTCTGCTGGGGCATGAGGATCGAGCTCGATCCAGGGAGCCCTATTCCAGAAACGCCATTGATGGCTGAGAATTGTTTTTACTTGCACCTTGTACCTTGTACATAATACACCAACTGACTGCACTGCACAAGAGCACCTTGCCAGACATTTCAACCTTGACGTTATATCCTGACTGATGGATCCTGTCAAGTAGACCTAGGCCCTAGAACTAGTTCTAGATCTAGGCCCTAGATCTAGAAGCACAAATTAAAAATTTGCTTACCTTGCAAAAGAATCCTGTTTACAATTACATGAACTGACATACGGTTTAAAATGTTGAGCTCTAGTCTAGCTGGAGTTCGAGAGGTTGATCCTGGCTGGAAATGCGTACCATTCAGGTGTAGGCCTACGCAAAAGAAAGGCTGATTTTGTGCTGCTAATTTGATGCCAACTTTATGAAAATAGCGCTTGGTTAAGCGTAAATAGGCTGGCGCGTGGAGTTTGCTGCAAATCACTCATGACATATTAAAAAGGTTATCATTTAGTAGCATTTACACAAAGCTTTCTTTTGGGATCATTAACCCAGTACCAAGTAAGTAACAATCGTAGAACCAGATATGACTGTATTTGTAGTGTGATCTATCATACTTCTATTTTTTTTATTCATTTCGATTTCTGACAGTAAGAAACACTGAATGGTGCCTGGTCTGTGAAGCTTTTCAACGTACTAGGGATTAAATGGAGAGACAGCCCCTTATCTCGGGTCAAACTCAGCCAAGATCATACAGTGATATTGATGTGAGTAGGTTATTTCTTGAATAACGAATGCTTGCTAAATCAGCATCAGTTAGAATTCCCAAATTTGATGATGAAAATGGATCCATAATTTGTGTTACATACAACAGCATAATCCAGAAATCAAACAATCAGATAAATATTGGCCTTATTACTGGAAAAGAACAAGTGATTTAAGTATTTTGAGTAAACGCTTTGTTTTGATTATGCTATATAGTTGCTTTCAAGTTCATATGCAATAATTCTGTGTATCATTTGAACCACATTCCAAAAAGAACTGTGCTGAACAATTGTATGTATAATGCCCTATGTGTAACCAAGTCTTTGAATAAGTCTCATGAATTAATTATTGAGGGGTACATTTTTACTTTGAATGTTTGTTTTTATTTTTAAATTGGGCATAAGATATAATTTCTTGAAACAAACTTTATAATGAATGTCCTTGTTACTGTTTCATGAATGAAAACAGTAAATCTTAGTCCAAAAATACTGGCATGCTTATTTTCCTCAATTAAATTAAATTAAATTTTCTCTTGTCATGATTAAATGGGATCTAGGTTGGCCACTCCCTCCAGAATGAGGACCAATCAGAAGCAGAAGACAAGCCCTTCCCTTCTCTCAGAACTTCTATGAGGAGGAGGTTACCATGGAAACAAAAGGTTTGTTAATAGAGAACGTTAATGTGAGAGGGAAGAGTGTTTGGGAGAAATGGGTAGACAAAGATGGCAAGATTATTACAGATGAAATAAACCTGTGTGTTCATATTGAGAATGGTTGCAAAGCTGCTTACAGCTTGAGGAATCTATTCTAAATTCTGCCCTCAAATCCTTGTGTACTTGAGGACAGAGAAGTTATTTGAAAGTATTTTGAATGAAGTTTTGTAGTAAACTTTAGTCCTACAACAAGAACTGTGCCAAAATGTTCCCCTCGCTAGAACTTCTTACTGTTAGTGCACAATAAAAAATAAGGTAATAAGATAAATTAGAAATAGTGATTGTTTGTCTTGGAAATATTGCATTTTGCAGTGTGTAGATTTATGTGGTTTTCTCAGTAAGTTTGAAAAAGGATCCTTAATTTGCACATTTTATTTTTGTAATTTCAAGATTGTTCAGTCTCATAGTTTGAGTGAGAAATGTATGTGACTGGTTCAGTCCTTATGCGTGGCTGTTCATAACATTTTAAAATCCATTAGATCATCTTCAAATTTATTCAGGACTCTCAAAAGATATGATGAAATATACATTATCTTTGATTATTATTTGTTTCTGGTTTTTTCAGGTTGCTGGGCAGGAGAATGAAGACATAGACACGATGAATGTACTCTCTACAAAGTATGAGGTATGTACTCAATAGGCCTGTCCTCATCAGCTCGAGATTGCCAAATATCCTGCTATTTCAAGTTTTTAACTATCCCGGTTGCGAGGTCAAGTCTCGAGCTGATGAAGACGTGATTTGTAACTTCGGGGATTATTTCCCAAATGAGAAAAAGCAGGCTATTTGGCAATCTCGAGCTGATGAGGACAGGCCTAATCTAAGTGATTGTTAGGTATGCACAGGTTTATCATCAATTCACACTCATCAGGTTGCAAGTTTGAACCTCTGCCTAGTGTTTATGTCCTTCTTTAGCAAGGAATTTTACCACTACCAGTTTTAGTGCTAAACCCACTTGTGCTAAATTGGCAACCCCCCCCCCCCCCAGAAAACCCAAATAGGATTTTGTTCAGTTGGTGTTGGCAGCTCTGTAATAAGAGGCGTTGATCCGCGTATCAGTCCATGTTTTTTTTGTAAAATACAATTTTCTTTCAATAAAATACAACTTTGGGGATTCAAGAATACAGTTTTTGAATTCCAGAAGTTGTCAGGTCTGAGTATATGTCTATGCATGTACCAGTGTCTCCATTATACATGCAGTATATACAGATACTGATGTTGTGTATAAATGGAAAACTAGAGCCAAAGTAGCAGTTTCAGGTTCATTATCAAGTATCAAGTGGTATTTTTTGTCTGTAGACCAGAGTCGTTTGAGTGATCATGTGATCATTGTTTCTTGTTTTGAAACTAGCTGTTAGTTATGATTTCTTCTTTAAAGTGGCATCATACAGCATGAGTTCAAGTTTGAGCTTAAAGGGAAAAACTATCAGTCTTAGGAACAAATTGTAAGGTTTATTTGCTAATCTTGGTTTCACTGAGTGTTAATAATATACGATTTATCTAGAATGTAGTCAAAATAATATCACTCCTGATGACAGATAGTCAACCTGTTCGAAATGTTGAGCCACTCCCGCCACCTATCCTCTCCAACTATAAGCTAAGAAAGATAACCAACAATCCTTTTCAGGACTACACACCCTCTCTCTCACATGGTGCACCCGCAAGCCTACTGTATAAAATAATATCATTTTTTGTGCTGTTTTTTCCTTGTTTTACAGAGTTTGGATTATGATGAAATTGAGAATTTCCTCTACTTGAAAGAAGAGAAGAAGATCAGTTCTAAGGTAAGGACTCGGCTCAGCTCAGCTTCATTTCATTTCATTTTATTTGCACATTTGATAAAAATCACAATAACTAACATTTACAATACAAAGTCAATTCCAACAAATAACACAACAGAACAGCAGTATCAAAATGTGGGGGGACATACAAAGGCCAAATGCCTATCAAAGGCTTGTACCTAAACTATATAAATAATTGAATAAAAATTAAGTGGTACAATAGGAAGACAGAGGGTGTATGATTTAATAATATTAGATTTATATATTCTTTTAAAAATAGATGAGGAAGGGCGATTCTTTATTTCTGATGTTGCTTGATGTTCATAACATTTGTGTCATTCCTACACCTCTTCTGTGACACGAAAGGCAAATCGTGCTAAAGAGTTCAAATTGTTGGACAGAAAAGGTCTTGTTCTTCAGCATCGAACAAAAACAGATACCTACATTGTGATATTTCATACCAAATCTATCTAATACACAAAATTCTAGTAGCAAAAATGTACTCTATAAAGTGACTCGGTAACATTGCCTCAGATTATGAAACAAAATCCTGGATGTAGCTCATGCTGCAATCATAATTATAAATCTTTAGGTCAGTCAGGAATCCCATGACTCAAATAAGCCGATCGCCTGTCTGATTATCAAGATATTTATGATTGGAAATCAAAATTTCATTTATTGGGGAAAATGAGTACGGTAAAACCGAACATTTAAAGATTTTTACTTTTTTGAGGCACTTCATGATCATTTTGAAGGGCTTCAATATTACACCATATCACAGACACTGATATCACGTAGGGCCATGCATTTCAGATTTAACATTGTTAAACGATGCCTTTAAAGTTCATTTATGACAATTATACAAAACCTTTTCCTCTTCCATGAATAGTTATTGAAAATAAGAGAAAAAAAAGTTTTAGTAAGAAGTAAGCAAATTTAACAAAATGTTTGTAATCTTGAGTTGTGCCTAAGGATGAAACTCACAAGCAAAATCAAATGAAATTTACACTGAATTACACTAAATGTTCAAGAATGTAAATATGAAGTATAAGAGGATTTTTTCTCACAAGTGAGAACGAGATATATACTTCTTACTGGTTATTGCAATCAACTGTTTCCTGATTCTAGATTGGTATGACGGTTTGTGCTTATTTTCAGAGTGTTCATGTGCTTCAGAAGGAGCTATCACGCTGGTTTGTGATGCTACTGACTGGCATTGTAACAGGGCTGATTGCAGTGCTTATTGATGTGACCATCAAGCTGCTCTCAAGATTATTATTATTATTATTATTATTATTATTATTATGTTTGTGCATCTTTTCAGAGTGTTCATGTGCTTCAGAAGGAGCTATCACGCTGGTTTGTGATGCTACTGACTGGCATTGTAACAGGGCTGATTGCAGTGCTTATTGATGTGACCATCAAGCTGCTCTCAAGATTATTATTATTATTATTATTATTATTATTATTATGTTTGTGCATCTTTTCAGAGTGTTCATGTGCTTCAGAAGGAGCTATCACGCTGGTTTGTGATGCTACTGACTGGCATTGTAACAGGGCTGATTGCAGTGCTTATTGATGTGACCATCAAGCAGCTCTCAAGATTATTATTATTATTATTATTATTATTATGTTTGTGCATCTTTTCAGAGTGTTCATGTGCTTCAGAAGGAGCTATCACGCTGGTTTGTGATGCTACTGACTGGCATTGTAACAGGGCTGATTGCAGTGCTTATTGATGTGACCATCAAGCAGCTCTCAAGATTATTATTATTATTATTATTATGTTTGTGCATCTTTTCAGAGTGTTCATGTGCTTCAGAAGGAGCTATCACGCTGGTTTGTGATGCTACTGACTGGCATTGTAACAGGGCTGATTGCAGTGCTTATTGATGTGACCATCAAGCAGCTCTCAAGATTATTATTATTATTATTATTATTATTATGTTTGTGCATCTTTTCAGAGTGTTCATGTGCTTCAGAAGGAGCTATCACGCTGGTTTGTGATGCTACTGACTGGCATTGTAACAGGGCTGATTGCAGTGCTTATTGATGTGACCATCAAGCAGCTCTCAAGATTATTATTATTATTATTATTATTATGTTTGTGCTTCTTTTCAGAGTGTTCATGTGCTTCAGAAGGAGCTATCACGCTGGTTTGTGATGCTACTGACTGGCATTGTAACAGGGCTGATTGCAGTGCTTATTGATGTGACCATCAAGCTGCTCTCAAGATGGAAATACCAGACTGTCAGAACGTGTATCCTTACTTACCCATTATAAGCGTATTTGAAGAAGGAGCCCGGCCCCCCCCCCCCCCCACTCCGTGATCGGAGGGATACCATGCATGTTACCAAAATGTCTGGTAAAGGGGTACTTGTCATGCACCAAAGTCCGGCTCGTAGCGCACAAAAGCCTGTTTTACACACCGGACTTGGGGGGTGTTTTCAAAAGGAGGGAACATGCATATGCGTACCCTAAATAACACTGAGTGGGGGGGGGGGGGGGGGGGGGAGGCGGGCCGGGAGAAGGAGCCAGGGGAGTGTTTCACAAAGATCCTAAGTTGAACTTAATTCTAAGTTGGACTTAACAATTATGGAAAGTTGTTAACATCTATGAAAATATTTTGTAAAAGTGATTTGTAAAAAGGCATAAAATGTTTATTCAAATCATTCATATTTTCTATTATCAAGGAGATTTCATATTCTTGATGTGGAATTTATGAAAAGTCTAAAATTCATGAATTTTTGCTTTTGAATATATTTTATTTTAAGGCTCAAATGGCTCTCCATAACTTTAAGTCCAACTTAGAGTTTAGTTTGACTTAGAATCTTTGTGAAACACCCCCAAGGGAGCAATTCCACTCCTCCTGACCTATCCAATCAAGAAATGCATCCACACACCCCACACTAGTAGTAAACATATAGGTATCACTCTAAGTCAAGAAACACACAAAGTGTAGACATAATGTCAAAAGACTTACTCTTCTCCCTCAAATAAGTCATTTTGGGCGATTGCCCCACCCCACCCTTCTGGAATGCAAACAAGGGCCCCCTTTCTAAAAGTATAAGGATCACAGTAAATTGAATTTTTTTCTCCTCCTGAAGCCCCCTTAATAGCATTAGGCAAGTTTTTAAATTATTGGGCTATTTCAATTACAACATTCTATTTGAGCTAAAACTTATGCATATTGTGTTTTAAGAAAAAATACTTTCTTATCAGGAATTTGCTCTACATGTGTTGTATTTTTCAATTGAATTCAAGGATGGCAGATGCCACTCAGGGATAAATGTTCGACAAAGCAAACCAGTTTACCTTAACAGTGTTTCATACACAGTATTCATAACAGACAACTATAGCACCGACATCATCAAGCCATTTGCTGTGTGGCTAGCCATGTGCGTTGGCCTGGTTTTTGTGGCAGTTGTTCTGGTCGCTTATGGAGAGGTATGTGTCAAAGACTTTATGCTGCTGGTATGAAGAAAGATTGTAAGAGTACATGAACTATCCCTAGTTAAAGAAAAGGTTGAGTTCTGGGAAGAGGTGAAAACTAATTTGTGAGCGTATTCATTGTATTATGCGAGTGTGGAAGAACATCAGATAAAAAATGTTCCCTGAAAAGTATGGCTCTTCAAATGTCTTAATATTCTAAATATGGCATGTAACATCATAAAAATCGGGACAGATTTTTGTGTACAGTGCTTGTAACTTAACCAAGACTGGACCAAATTTCTTATCGTTTTGATGATTCCATATGCTAGATGATCAACCTTTTCTGATCGATTCCACAACGTTTCTTTTACAATGAAATCGCATGACCAGAACTCAACTTTATCTTTAAGCTTGGATGCTAGAATTTGAATGAAAATAAGTGTTTAAAGCAACAATGAAACCAGCAAAATTATTTGATAAACCATGATTATTCAAGTGATGTGCTGAAGTAAAATGCTTCAAACTTATCTCTTCTTGAGCTGAGATAGAGACAGATAGAAATAGAGAGAGAGAAAAAATGATAATAATTATCAAAGCAGTAAACCTGATTGATTTGCAATGAGATGTTGCATTGTATGACAAATTATGTGCTAAATAAGTTATTTGATTGATAGTGACTCTCATTTCTAAATTCAGCCTGTAGCCATGGGAAGTGGTATACCACAGATCAAGTGTTACCTGAATGGAGTGAAGATCCCCCATGTGGTTCGCTTCAAGACATTAGTTTGTAAGGTCACCGGGGTCATCTTTGCTGTGGCAGGAGGCCTCACAGTTGGCAAGGTAAGACTCATGGGACAACAATTGATCACTTATCTTGGACTTACCATAAAATATTGCCATTCTTTGAATAGATATAATAATAATAATAATAATAATATATATTGCCATTATCCATTTTAATTAAATGCTCAAGGCGCTTCAAAATATTAGGGAACACATTACATCATGACAAAGAATTGTGTACATTTACATAAGAAAGAAAATGCAAAAATGAAAGAATGAATGAATATCAGTGAATATGGTTGAAGATATTTGTATTCATTGTTGCAGACTGTCAAATGCTTCTGATGCTAAACTTACTCTCTTCACATTGATGTATATTTCATATGTGTTGTAATTTGTAGGTTTCATTGTAATTTTTGTTTTGTTTAATATGTAATTGTTAGTCATTGTATTTTGTTTGTTGTAGCGCTTAGAGACTTCGGTGGAAAGCACTTTATAAGCACTGTTTTTGTATTTTTGTATAAATCTGACTGATATGATAGGAAGGTCCTATGATACACGCTGGAGCTGTGGTAGCTGCTGGGGTATCACAAGGAAGATCAACAACCTTCAAAAGAGATTTCAAGGTAAGTTAATACTTTCAGGGACCGTTTTGCAAAGCCTTTTTTCAATGATAAATGATGAAAATCTGTGACAAATCTGCAGATAACCAATCAGAAGCAAGGATTTTACTAGCTTATAACAAAAATTGTCAGTTGTCAGTGATGACAAGTTTTGTGAAATGGGGCCCAGATCATCAATATGTATCGATTGTCACTTTAAAGAATGAACAACTTGAAGGTCCTTCAAATATGGATGTAAGCATCTACCAGCAGTCTCACCTACCCAATAGCAAAATATCTCAGTTATTTTATGTGAAGTACTGACTGATGCTTACTTAAAAAAATAATGAAATTGAACATGCTACTCTGTGATCAGTAGTGGTTTCTATTTCTGAAGTGATTTTTATAATGCTTTCGGAAACTTGAAGAGAAGAGTTTTTGTTGTTGGTACCTCTTGAAATGACCAAAGTTTATTTAGAAGTGTATCTCCCAAATGATACTTAAACGTTTGTAAGAAAATGGTAACTGCTATCATTAGTAATGAATAATATTATGATCTTGTACCATATAGCTGTTCCAGTACTTTCGTTCTGATCATGAGAAACGAGACTTTGTTTCTGGAGGTGCTGCGGCAGGTGTAGCAGCTGCCTTTGGGGCACCTGTAGGAGGCGTGCTCTTCAGCTTGGAAGAGGGGGCAAGTTTCTGGAACCAATCCCTGACATGGAGAATTGTAAGTTTTCTCTTCAAAAGAGGCCATAGCCGAGGGTTCAGTGACACAAAGACATAACTCCATATTTTGCCAAAATGAGTATTTGATATCAAATGTACAATATTAGTACTCTTCGAGCTCTTGGCCTTTTTGTCATAAACTGTCTCAATCTGTATAAGGGAGTTTACAGATACAATCTGCGCATGGGCAGATAAAGGTCATTTGTACAAAAATGGTAAAACCCACAGAGATGAATACTGGATATGCGCTCATGAAATTTATGTAACATTATTCTTTTATGCACCAACGGTACATTCTATGATACGCAGGTGGAAGTATTTTTTCAAGAGGTCAAACAAAAGGTATTCATGAAGCACATCTAGGACTTTGGCAGTTATTATTCTAAGATGCTCAAAGTGGAACTTCTCCATGTGTAAAAGATCTGTGGATATTTGGGGTCATTTGTACCATGTGCTATCTGTAAACTCTCTTATTAGGTCACTTTATCATATTTCTGTTTTTCATATTTTCTCTCCTCCCCTCCCCCTCTCTCTTTTTCTCCTTCTTGATTATAGTGTAAAACGGGTAGAGAATTAATTTGTGATTATTTTGCACTGTACAAATTTAAATCTGTTATTATTTTCTCTCTCCCTCTGTCGGGCCTACTCATTTTTTGTTGTGGTTTCACTTTTTCTACCTCTCAGTCTATTAATAATATTTCAATTGTTTCTGTTTGACATGTTATTTCATTTTGATTATGAGTGCCCTTGGTGTGTATGCTTCCACAAGATATCTAACCGGATCTTGTATTTATCAGTTCTTTTGTTCTATAATTACTAAATCACCCTCAAAGTAATTCATGTAAGTGGCAGCATGTGTAGTATTGATTCACATACTTTTACATGTATATCTTTATCTCACAAATCTCATCAGTTCTTTCATTTTATGATGAGTACACGTTAATCATGATCATTTGACTCATCACACAACTATTCCCTTTATCTAGCAAAAGTAAGAGTCACTTCATTATCCTCTGCTAGGTGACTGAGGGTGGTGTTTCACAAAGACTAAGATTGACTTTAAGTTGGACTTAACTATGACAGGCCATTCATGCCACTAGTTCCTCTAAGCCATTCCTGACATTGGTTTTTTCAAGGGGTGTATAAACCGTGGTCATAAATCAACTGAATTTACATTTTTTGATAATTCATTATTGAAGGAAAAAATATTATCTAAAGATCGTAATTGAAAGACAAATAGTGAGAGCAACCAGTGGCATGAATGGCCTGCCATAGTTAAGTCCAACTTAAAGATGATCTTAGTCTTTGTGAAACAGGCCCCAGGTCCCTCCCAGTGCATTTGTCATTCAGCATTTTACATAAATCCGTGTTAACCATTCATATTGTTGTGGTTGGCATTTTACATATTTACATTATCATCTTCTCTTTATCTCTCTTTTTCTCTTGACAGTTCTTTTGTTCCATGATGAGTACATTCACCCTCAATGTTGTGATGAGTGCTGTCAATGGAGATGCTTGGAGTCTATCAAGCCCTGGACTTATCAATTTTGGAGAATTCACAATCCCAGTAAGACCTTTTTTTAACTTTCAATTTGTTAAATACATTCTGACATTGTTCTCATACATTTAAAGTCAGAGAGTTGCAGTTAATACTTAAGCTAAGAAATGGACCATTTGAAATAATCGGGGGGGGGGGGGGGACGATGATTATCCACTGTACAATAAAACTTTAATGATGTATGTTTGTGTGTATCCTAAGCCTAGCCAGCTAACATACTAAGCTTGATAGCTACCAATGGGACATTTCAATGCCATCAACTATTGTCTTACATATCTGTCTGTCTGTCTGTCTGACTTTAGAAAGGTTGAAAGGTCTTTGTATCTTAATTAATGTCTGTGTGTTTGTATCTCTCAGCCTAACAAGGTAGCTTATCAAGCTTGGGAACTACCAATCTTCATGGTGATGGGACTCATAGGAGGACTCCTGGGGGCGCTCTTCAATGCTATCAACTATCGTCTTACCATCTTCAGAATGAAGTAAGTAATCTTGCTCTAAAAAATAATTTTTCGTCCAAACTTTTCCAGAAAACTTTTGTAGATTGAAGCAGCTGTCTTAAGACAGGACAATTCTGGTACAATATTGATAGGATGGTCCACATATAAGTTGGGAGAATATTTTGATGCCTGGATCCAGGATATTGGATGCTCTTATGATGTTAATGTGGACTTGTGTTTTGTCCAATGTCATAAAGGCTTTTTCAGATATGATGCGGTAATCCGCTGCCCCCCCCCCCCCCCCAAAAAAAAAAAAAAAAAAAAAAAAAAATCAATAAAAAAAAGAAAAATTAAAATGATGTGTCAGTGAATGGCAACTGCACACATCAAAGGTCCTGCACATATTTGACTGAGCTCTATGTTATATATGATACAAAAAATGTGAAGCATAGTACACCTTTTGTGTCATCATTAAAAAACATGGCAGTATTGCCTCATATCTGAATAGTGCTTATTAACCCTTACTGTACTGGGCTATTTTGAGCACCTCGATCATAGGGGGGGGGGGGGGGGGGGGCCTGGGAGGCCCCCCCCCCCCCCCATGATCTCGGCCATCGAAAGTCTGATGAACACAAAAATTTGTAGATATTTACGTAAGGAACAAGATGGTATAATTAGTTTTTTCCTAATATGCACAATTTTTTACGTTATAGCCTAATTAATTATGCAGAATGCTAATTTTATGCATTTTACAGAAACTCTACATATTTGTCTGTAGACTTGTGAAGAATGTTGAAAATGTATTGAATAAATGTTTCCTTCATCTCAAATTCATGAGGTTACATTATTTTTTGATATTTGAAAATGCAAAGTTAATTTGCATACCATAAATTATGAATACGCATTCATAAATATCAAATCTGGAACTATATTTAGGGAACCAGAATCATTACAAAAATTGTCAGACTCCACTTTTTTAATGTTAATTGAACTCATTATTCATATAAAACTTCTTTTCTAACACAAAATAGTTATTTTGATGTAATTAATAATGATAATTTATGCAAATTTGATGCAATTTTCAAATATTTATTTTCTTTTGTATTTTATTGTTTTTTTATTTCTTATTATATCTATTGTTTTATTTCTAATGTATTCTTTTGTTCTGGAATACATCAAGTTACTTTGAGAAACATATAAAAGCAAAATGATATCAATTCATATCTCCCACTTGGGAAGAAATACATCTAAACCTGTATTCACATTTCTGCTTGTACTGTACATGAATATATGCAATTAGAGCACATTTGTGATGACATGCGCATACTAATTGTTATGTAATACCTTACAGGTATATCCGATTTCAATGAAAATGGTATCAAAATGTGCGTAAGACTTGAGGGAAAAAAGTCATGAAACGACAATTTAAAATTCCAAGCGGTTGCGGCGCAATCTCCAAAAATGTCGAGGGGGGCTCCCAGGCCCCCCCCCCCCCAGTACAGTAAGGGTTAAGGCTTATCACAATCTCAGCTCTAGAAGTGGTGAAAGTCAATGGGAGTTTTCGTCATGAAATTATCTTTAAATTATACCTCTGGTGAATACCAACCATAATCACTCATTCATTCGTTCATTTATTGGTCCTGTGTACATGTACATTCAAACATGGAAATTGTTTTGTTTTGCTCAAATTAAATCAAAGGCGCAAGTAGTTAGATGGTCATTGCATTTCCAGAAACATAACAATTCTTCTTTATGCCGGCTGTCACCTTGTTCTGTAGATACCTGCACTATTCATGGTCCCAGGTGCTGGAAGCCGTGTTAGTAGCTGCAGTGACTGTGACTGTTTGTTTCTTGGTGATCTATATCAGTTCTGGTTCAGACTGCAGACCCCTGGATAATACTCAGTTCCCTCTCCAGGTATACATGGGCTCTGGTTTCTGCTTTGTTTTGTATTTCATTAGATATTTTAAGTACCGTAAATCTCCGTGTATAAGGCGCACTTTTTTGCCGCCAAAAAAATTTGAAAGTCGGGGGTGCGCCTTATACACAGGTACAGAATTTTTTTTTTTTTTTTAATTTTTTTTTTTTTTGATTTATGCCCTGGCGCTATGCCTGGCAATGTCTCCCAGCTCAGTAATCAGTGTGTTGACTCACCATTCGGAAACTACAACAACACTCAAATTTGTCTGTCATCTTGGTTTGAAAGTAATCTTTCTAATAGATCTCAATATGTAGTTTATAATAATAATTCCTCAATTTTTTTTCTATTCATATCATGCATGACTATTGATGTTTGGCATAGAACACAGTGCTTCTGCTAGGTGATGTGATGAGGCTGGTGTGGGACACTTGGTATCATGAAGCCTTAGAGTCTCGACCTATTTTTAATTTACATTGTTACTATTTATTGTGACATGTAAAATGAAGGTCCTTCCCCGCGTGGGTTTTCGGCAACAAAACAACAACAACAACAAAATGAAAAACATTTTTTTTGAGTATGAGTTTTTCAGTTAAATTTATTTTTACCCTTCAGTTGTTGACAAACAAATTTTGTTTACATATTTTATAAATGCACTTTCAGACTGTCTACATTTTGTAATAGAATGGGCATTTAAAGAAGTTGTGTGATAGGTAGTTAGAATACAAAATATTTCTGAAAAGTGAAAGGTTATTTTCTTTGGGAGACTAACTAGCAACTTTTTCTTCAAAGAAGTGTCTGTACATGATAATCAAAATTGAAAAAATCACAAGCTAGTACATGCATGTTAAGTTCTCAAAGTTTAAAAGGGATATGTCATCAGATTTGCTGCACTTCAGCCAATATCTACATCATAAATGATGAAAATGTATTTCTTGCCAAATTCTCACCGTTAAATGAAGAGGTTTACAAACATAATAATAATAATAATAATTTCAACTCATAAAGCTCACATATCCATTCTAAATGACTGCTCAAGGCGCTCTGTACAGTATAAAAATAATTATACAATATTAAGACTAAGACATAATTATACAATATAAAACTACGACATAATTTTACAATATTAAAACACTGACATTTAACAAATGGTGCTTTATGTTTCTTCTTAAATATTTCAATTGATGGTGATTGTCTTGTTTGTGTCTCATTTGCAGTTATTTTGTGGCGACGGAGAGTACAGCGCCTCTAGCACACTGTTCTTCAATACACCTGAAGAATCGGTTAAACTTCTCTTCCACAAAGAACCAGGTAAACTTTACCTTTTTAATACTCTAGTGTTCTTGATGCGATATTAAAGGTATAGACCAGTTTTTGAAACGTCCCCCTCTCAAAAAAATTTAATGGAAGCTTTTATTACCAATCATGTGAAAGAATATGTTTTGACTAATACATGATGATACAAATTTGGTAAATTATTATATCTATCCGGACTTGATAGCTATCGTGTAGTCCCATATACATCTTTCTGTGTACAGTACTGGAAACTTTACCAAGACTGGCCAAATTTCTTATCATTTTGATGATTCCAGAACCTTGCAGTACACACCAATACTTATATGCTAGATGATCAACCTTTTCTGATCGTTTTCACAACGTTTTTTTCACAATGCAATCCTATGACCAGAACTGGTCTTTACCTTTAATGACTAAGCTGCTTTAAAAATCTGTAGCTCGATATGGCATGTTTATATCCTAAGATTGTTGTTAAGTTTGGATGTGCTCTATAGATGAGTTTCATATTAAATGTATGTACAGAACTATCCTGTCTTTTGTTTATACTGACCGTTACTTTCTGGCTTGGTAGGTGTTTTGTTTAAGGTGTCTATTGGTTAGTGTAAGGAATAGTAGTATTGATTCCAGGTTCATATAACATACATAATCATATAAATCATTGAAATGACTCTATTCAGACTTGCTTGATGTATAGGTTGTACTACACATGCTTGGGCAACAATTAGTCCACAGTGTATATCTTACCCTATTAACACATTTTATCTTCAATCTTGGACCAAATACTTATACTATACTTATCCCCAATCATAACACTAACCATAACTCTGTACCTGACCTTAATGCCACTTGTTTTCCTAAACTTGGACATATATTTTTGGCAAAATAAAGCCCGCAGGAATTGATGGTGTAGCATAAGTCATAGTCCTCATTTACTGTAACATGAGTGACCACTGGTCAATAAAGAGTGTGACAAAATTTGTATCGTTTATTGCAGGTTCATATGATTTAGCTATCCTATCGGTGTTTATTGTGACATACTTCATCCTGGCGTGTTGGACGTATGGTTTGAGTGTACCTAGTGGTTTATTCATCCCATCATTACTGGTAGGAGCTGCCTGGGGTCGTATCTGTGGTATTCTCATCAATATGATTCCAGTAGTGGTAAGTTTCACCTTGGGGTGCCAGTACCCTCATGTATCACAACTAAGATTTAATGAGGGAGTGTAGCAATTTGTTATATTGATAAAACAGTGTTACTCTGTAACCTACAGCGTGTGAGCACATTTTCATTTAAAGCCAGTCTGCACTAGTTTGGCCAGGAGGATTAGACCTCCCTGCAAGGTCACTGACCGGTGGTTATCTCATCAACTCAGCTCTAAATTAACATAAGAAAAAGGGATCATGGGGGACCAACAGGCACTGATCAGGCATTGTTTGCTATATAGAGGGCGCACGTAGCTATAAGTAGCGCAATGGGGCTTAAAGGATTAATAGAAAAAAGGCTATAGTACAGTTAAGGCTTACAATTTTCCTTTAAAAAAAATCATTATAATCAACAGTAATAATTATTTTATACTTTATTTATTACACGTTCTTATCTCACTCAGATACGGCATGATCAAGGCTTTTTTTCTTACGTTAGAAAGATTATGTGTAAATCAGAGAATGATTAAAATGTATAAGAAATGTACTACCAGAGGTTTTCTTTCCCTTGTGAATTCTAAGATTTTGATAAGAGCAACTGATATCTACAATATCCCTTCATTCTGTGATATATTATTTAAAACAAAGCTAATTGGGCTGAAGAATGTGAAAGATGTATCAGTGGGTGCTAAGTAATAGTGTGGTGGATATTTTACCTGACTGCTAAGAAAGCATAAATGCTTGTTAGTAAGCAACCAGAGGACCGACGGCTGAAGGTCCTCTCCAAGAGACCTGGTAATAAGGATTAATGCCTTACCAAAGTGCACTAGCGCATCGCCTTGGTTTCGAACCCGGGTCACTGGATTTCGAGACCTCTGCTCTACCGACTGAGCTATCGCGCCTCTAAGTATAGAATCAATACTTATCACCAACTTATATTTGTAGTGCTTATTTCATGTTGTGATTTGTTTCTTCTTCAGAATAATGTTGCATCAGATCCAGGCATCTATGCTTTGATAGGAGCCGCAGCACAGTTAGGTAATTATGCATTCTCAATTATCTTAAAGCCCCTCTAAAGTGTTGGGAGCCCCCCAAATTTGATGGCAAAATTTCACTTTAATTGTATTATAATGTGAAAGAGGATGTCATGTAATACACATTTCTGCAAGGATTTTCAAAAGAAACAGAAAACCCAAATTGTATATTCTCTCATCAATATTTGTCTTTAAACACATTTTTGTTTTGTTTTGCAGAAGTGTGTAATAAATAAAAAGGGCAATAGTTGCTGGCCAGTCCTTTTTCTTTTCTCTTCTTTTTCACATGTTTGTGAAAAAGAATCAAATTTTTTTAAACCACCCTACCAAACTGAAATTCCTAATTATGCACAACATTTTTTGAATACTTTAAAAGATTATTGGTATGAAAATGCAATAAATAAAATATTAAGTGGTAAAGGCAATTGATATGCATTGGCATATTGACTATTGGTTGTTTATTAAATGGATTGAGTAACTTTGTCTCAGATTCTGAAACAAAATCCTGGATTTAGCTCATGCTGCAATGATAATTATAAACCTTTAGGTCAGTCAGGAACCCCATGACTTTTACAAGCCTATTGCCTGTCTGATTATCAAGATATTTATGATTGGAAATCGAAATCAAATTTTGTGTTTTCCTAACGGTTTTCATAACACTACAGTCTATTGGGGAAAACGATAACCTGTATGGTAATACCGGTCACTCAAAGATTTTTATTTTTTTGAGGCACTTCATGATCATTTTGGAGCGATTTTTTTAGGGCTTCAATATTACACCATATCACAGACACTGATAACACGTAGGGCCATGCATCTTAGATTTAACGTTGTTAAACGATCCCTTTAATCAGGTGGTGTTGTGCGTATGACAATCAGTCTGACGGTCATCCTGATGGAAGCTACCGGTAACATCTCCTATGCTCTACCCATCATGGTCGTCCTGGTCATCGCTAAGTGGATCGGTGATATCTTCAACCATGGTCTCTATGATATCCACATCCAGGTTCAAAGTGTGCCGCTGTTACCATGGGAACCACCTCCATTAGGCTCTACTATCCGTGCCACGTAAGCAGGCAAACATTCTCAAATTGTTTTAATGAAGAAGAAAAAAACATAAATTTGAAATAAATGGGACTGAATTTCATACTCAATCCTTGGCCTGAAATTTTAGAACAGAATTTAGCCTTAAACTCTCTGATTTCATGCAAAGAATGTCAAATAGTGAGATTGATTACAGACTAGGTCAGTATGTCACCTGAGTGGTCAAGGTCCTAGGATAATACAAAGTTAATAGATGAGGGTGATTAGACACTTGTTGGTTGAGTTGAGTTTGGGTCTATTACAAATATTTATATCGAGGGTTCAGTGACACAAAGACATAACTCCATATTTTGCCAAAATGAGTATTTGATATCAAAATGTTCAGAAAAATGTGGGCTTTCTACGGAAACACAAAGACTTAACTCTACCCAACACCCCATTGAAGTCAATTGCTAGTGAAACATAGACTTAACTCCTTAAGGCCCAAGTGCTCAGTGACACATAAACCACTTCTTCTCAAAATGGCCAAAATGGAGTTACGTCTTTGTGTATACCATCTTCTATTCTGAGTTGGGATTCACGTTGTGCAGGGTCTATTGTCTATTGAAGCATTGTATACTGTATTCTGTTAAATGTTTTGAAAACTAAAACTGTTTTCATGCAGACTCCCAAGTGCTCCTGTATACTTGCTATGTAATATTGTCAAGCCAATATACATGTAACAATCTTACATTTATCTATGTCCTGTATCTCACTTGTCTTGTATTACATTGTTTTTATGCTGAAATCATCTCAGGGCAAAAATGCACTCTCTCCCCCCCCCCCCCCCCCCCTCAAAAAAGAAAGAAAGCATACTTTGCAAACATCTCAACATTTGAATTTCCTTTGAAGAAATTTTCTTGGCTTGAATAACCCTATAAATGCGCACCTTTTCTACCTTTTACAGTGAATTAAGGAGTGGCCATGTGAGTGCATGTACATTTACAGAGAGAGAGAGAGAGAGAGAGAATACCACACATCTTGTTTTGTTACTTGTAGAAGTGTCATAGTCGAGTGAATTAAGCACTTGACTTGAAATTCAAAGGTCATGGTTTGATCCCCGATACGGCAGTAATGTCCTTTGACAAGGCATTAATCTTCATTTGCCACACTCGACCCGGGTGAGGTAAATGGATTCCTGGCAGAAATTTATTCCTTGAAATGCTGGAGCATTGTAATGGCAGCTAGACCAAAGCCAGGGTAATAATTAATGCGCCTCGGAATAGAATTTCTAGATAGACGGCGCTATAGAAATGCCTATATTTATCAATTATTATTATTGCTTATTTTGATTTGTACAGAGAAGTGATGAGTGACCCCGTCATTACATTCAACACAGTAGAGAGGGTCTCACTTATCTATGAAGTTCTGAAGGATTCAAGTCACAATCATAATGGATTCCCTGTGGTCGACCCTGTAAGTATACCCCCACTCATTATGATCATTATTTGTTTCTCCAATAGCATCCTATACTCTCTTTATAAATACATCCATGTCTTATTCATGGTCAAGATCTATTTAATAATAATAATAATAATAATAATAATAATAATAATAATAATAATAATAATAATAATAATAATAATAATAAAAACGTTACTTATAAAGCGCTTACCACCGAAGTCTCTAAGCGCTATTTAGTTGAACTATTTTAACTGTGCAGTTATGTGGGACAAAATTTTTTTGAATAAGGTACCCTTCTGATTCTTGTCCATCTTTTGCAATCAGTGATCCAATATTATAACAAATTTCAAATGTTATCAAAACACTATGATACTGAAAGACTTTATAAATAATCAATATACTATCAAGCCATCTAAAAAAGTCTACATGGTAATTGACCAATCAGATTGCAGGGATTCTTCTACCCATCAAATAATATAGTATTTACATGTATATTATAATCATTTTCAATGTGTTGTTATACTTTTTGTAAAATGAGATATTGTGGAAACCAATAAACTATCTTTCTATCCACTATCTAAAACAGGATGGTGAGACGCATGGAACGTTTAGAGGCCTGATATTGAGAAGCCAGCTCATAGTGCTTCTCAAAGAAAAGGTAACATTTCTTTCTATGTTTTCTACATGTACAGTTATAAAGACACATGGAAAATGTTACAAGACTCTGTAAGATTCAGTTGTGACTAGATTCTGCAAAACTTATACTTAAGATGGGACTTGGGTCCAGTGCAGAGTTCACGAAACTATCATAAGTACAAGTTCATCGACATCCCATTGAAACGCATATTAAATCGTATACATGCGTTTCAATGGGGTGTTGGCAAACATGTTCTAATGACGGTTTTGTGAAACGTTACCCTGGATAACAGTCATTCCTGTGGAAATGGAGGGCAGACCATCCGATCAGAAAATGCCTGATTGATCACAAAAAATTTGTGGGGGGGGGGGGCATTCTGCCATTGGTCGTACTTCATCTGGACCGTCTCAGAGCTGATTAATTGTTACCTGATCATGAATGCTTTACAATCGTTTACAACTAATTAGAAACAAATTTTTCACTTTAGTTGTAAGGCCATACTTGGTATGCGAAGCAAGCTTAAAGACATCGTTGATCAATGTTATATCTGAGATGCATGGCCCTACATGGTATCAGTGTCTGTGATATGGTGTAATATTGAAGACCTAAAAAAATGCGCTTCAAAATGATCATGTAGTACCTCAAAAGAGTAAAAAAAAATTGAGTGACCGGTTTTACCGTACTCATTTTCTCCAATAGACTGTAGTGTTATAAAAATGCAAAATTAAATTTCGATTTCCAATCATAAATATATCTTGATAATCAGACAGGCTTGTAAAAGTCAAGGGATTCCTGTCTGACCTAAAGGACTATAATTATGATTGCAGCATGAGCTAAATCCAGGATTTTGTTTCAGAATCTGAGACAATGTTACCGAGTCACTTTAATTAAGATAACCATGTTTGCTACCTTTCTATGCACAGGCATTTAGTTTGTGGCCTTCAAGTCAAGATCCTCGAGTCCTCCTTCAGATTGAAGACTTCCGTGATGCCTATCCACGCTTCCCGGACATACGAGATATCAACATATCCGAGTTAGAGGGAGATTGTACAATAGACCTCAGACCATTCATGAATCCTTCTCCGTACTCTGTTAGGAAGGTAAGAAAGATAATAATAGTTAGAGAAAGCAATCCTTCAAAGGTAACACGAATAACTGTATATGAGACCTCGGACCATTCACAAATCCAGGGAGGTATTTCACAAAGACTAAGAACAACTTTAAGTTGGACTTAACTATGGCAGGCCATACATGCCACTGGTTGCTCTCACCATCGGTCTCTCAATTATGATCTTTAGGTAATATTTTTTCCTGCAATTATGAACTATCAAAAAAAGTTAAATTCTGTAAATTTGTGACCATGATTTGTGTGTCCCTTGAGAAACTAATGCCAGTAAAGAGTGAGAGCAAACATTGGCATGAACAGCCTGCCATAGTTAAGTCAAGCTTAAAGTCGATCTTAGTCTTTGTGAAACGCCCCCCATGTCTGTGCAGTGTGAGGGAAGTAAGAAATATACACTGAAATCTGCTGAAGCGAGCATCTCTATAGAAGAACACTTGTCTTAAGCAGTCGCTTTCATTGATATACAAAATATTGTAAATATTGATAATTTGTGAATCGTTCTGTAATTCATAATGCCTATTTGTCTATCAAATGCATGTAATGTAAAACGTTTGATAGTTTTAATATAGATTTGAGGCATGATGTTATGCCAGAAAAAGCTTCATTTAGTCTTGCAAGCTGCTGAATATTCCATAGATCATATCGAGGGGTCAGTGACACTAAGACGTAAAACCGAGTATCTCCTTTTGTCTTCACCACACATGGGAAATAAGATCACTGGTACTCCTATTCTAGTCGGTGAGGAAGCTGTATCTCCCAACAACAAGGCTAGAAATCTTGGAGTAGTCTTCGACAGAACTATGAGCATGAAGGATCACATTTCGCGTGTCTGTCAGTCTGCATTCTACCATCTCCGCAGGATTGCAGAGATCAGACACTGTCTCACCAGAAGTGCCGCGGAAAACCTCATTCATGCTCTAATAACCTCAAGGCTGGATTTCTGCAACTCTCTCCTTGTCGGCTTACAATCATCAGCCATCAAACGTCTCCAGGCGGTCCAGAATGCTGCTGCTCGCCTTCTGATGGGAATCAGGAAGTTTGACCACATCTCGCCTACACTCCATGAGCTTCATTGGCTGCCAGTGCACTGCAGAGTGCAGTATAAGATCTTGCTGCTTGCATTTAAGGCTCTACATAACTTGTCCCCTGGCTATGTATCTGCTCTCATCAGTGTACGTCAGCTATGACCAGGACTACGCTGTGCGGGACTCGTTCTTCAAGTGCCCAGTACCCGTCTAAAAACATACGGGGATAGAGCCTTCTCTTCATCTGCTCCGCATCTTTGGAACTCTCTACCTGTCCAACTTCGAAATTGTAACAACATTGATACCTTTAAATCTGAACTCAAAACCTATCTTTTCCGGCAACATTGCGAATAATATGTGACATATTGAGGGAGCCAGGCGCCTTTGAATGCTTTTGCAGATAAATGGCGCTATACAAATGCTGTTCATCATCATCATCAACTCCATTTGGGCCATTTTGAGAAAAAATGGTTTATGTGTCACTGAGCACTTGGGCCTTAAGGAGTTAGGGAGTTGTTTCGCTAGCCATTGACCTCAATGGGGTGGTTGGTGGATTTAAGTCTTTGAGTTTCCTGGAAAGCCCACATTTTTCTGAACATTTTGATATAAAATACTCACTTTGGCAAAATATGGAGTTACGTATTTGTGTCACTGAACCCTCGACATTGTCCATGTGTGATATAATAATATTCAACCTATGCATTTTATGAAATGATGGGCTTATTTCTGTGCCTTTGTTGTAGATATTGTGAGAGATTCAGTTTCTTTTTGTTTTTTTGACAGGACACATCTTTACCCAGAATATTCCGTCTGTTCAGAGCTCTTGGTCTAAGGCATGTCATAGTCACGGATGATTCCAATAGGGTAGGAACACATAGTCTTTAAAGCTCACATTTTCTTAATGAAATTCTTACGTTGACATAACCTCAATTAATTCAAGTTTAATAACTTTGAAAAGCGAGTAAAATGATTCATTATGTAACATTTTGAATATTCCCCAGGGAATAGACATAAATATATATCATTAGTATGTTTCATTTCTTTTTCATTTTTTTTTTATTATTCATTTCAGTTTCAGTTTCAGTTTATTTTCATATTTCTCACATGTTGTATAGTATATCATTACATATAGCATGTTACATTTTGAACTCATTTTAGGATGCGTTTATACAACAACAAAAAAAGAATGATACATAAGACTAAGTTGAATAAGGGAAGAAATTTCAAACTTTTGCCATTCAGTTTCTGTTATTACTCTGCTTTCATACAAATCAAATTATTACAAAGGTTGGTTTGCCCTTTAAGAAGGACACAGGAATGTCAATGACATGAAATTGAAATTGGGTAATTCTGTTTCCTTGGTAGAATTTTACAAAATAAATTTACAAATAGAAATTTTCACAATCAGACAAGTAGTTAAAATATTGATTAATAATTACAATGTGAAAAAGAATCATATAATTTATAAGTGGGTAAAATACACGATTTTCAGTTTTTCTTATTTACCAGTATTCCGAACAGAAATTCATTGGTTCCAATAACTGAGTTTATGTGTGATTAACCATCATGTGATGAAAATGTGATGTGAAATTATTTCTTCTTCTCTTGTCTTGCTTTCTTTCAGGTTGTGGGCATGGTGACAAGGAAAGACTTGGCCAAGTATCGTTACTGGAGTCATCGAGGCTCCTGTGGCATTGAAGAGTTACACATAGCTAGGTGATCAGCTACCTTGACAACTTGGCTACTATGACGTCACACTTCGGTACTCTATAGCATTTGGAAAGGAAACAACATAGTGCAGATACGAGTCATGCAAGTTGTAATGACTGAAATATTGAGGAGCATTGTGATTTCCTTCTGTCTTCCATATTTATCAGAAATGTCTGATTGGGTGATAAAGAGTTTGGAAACAAATAGGTTTCATGAGCATTTCATATAGCTTCCTTACCCTTACACCTTTGAAGTGCTTCCTGTGTGTAATGGTAGACCACTCAGGCTGTTCAGAAGCATCTAATGATCTGTTTCTCATGAATGGACTTGTAATATTCATGAAAAACCTAACAGATGTAGCCTTTAACCACAAGAATATAAACACATTTTTATGCAAGATGACAATGTATACATATTAATCTGGATTATTTAGTGAAAATAGACTTTCACATGGTCACTACATTTTTGTAAGTCTTCAAACTTTGCCTCACAAATATGTTTTCATGGGCCCATTATGTGGCTATTGTTCACCTTTCATTGTCCATTTCAATGTAAGCGCTGTTCTATTTTATCTAAATTCACATTCATATACCTGTCTTGAATTTGAACATAAAGACAATCTTTAGTTTGTCAAAATTTCTCAGATACAACATAAAATGTTGGTGGTTAAAACTGTCTACAGAATTAAAATAGAAAAATAGAGAAAATTATGATACATACTGGTACATGTGCAGTATCCAACATCGGTGACTACACCCCTTAATACATAACGTTGAATATATTAATGTAACTTTTTATTTGTATTAAAAACACACACCTTTGATACAGCAGTGACAGAGACAGCATTCTGTAATCCACTTATACATATAGGTTTAAAATCCATGGAAAAGAGAGCACATACAGGAGTTTCATTGGAATATTTAATATTTTAAGAGTTGTTAGTGCCTAATTGTGTTGGATACTGTATATAGGTGCATTTCACTATTTCATTGAAGCGCACATAATACAATGTAGCTGTATAACTTTGTACCAGACATATCCACCTATCACAGTCATGATGGTGTAAGAATTGCAAGTTTAAAATACAATTGACAGTGATCATAGTCCTTTCAGAAGTATGATGGACTTATGATTATATATACACAAGGTATTATTGAAATACAAAACACTAGCAATACCGGTAGGTCAAATTCTGCATTGCTTGTATCGCACATTTTTAGTACAGATAACAGAATGAAGTGTATAAATATAAGATACATATTTTTAAATGTGTTCAGAGTTAGTTTCATGATCTTGATAACGTTTTGTAGCTTAACCATGATGAAGTAACGTACAATTAGTATATTCAGTGATAGCAAATGATCCTACATGTAATGTGTATTGTTTGTAATGACATGTATGTACCTGTTTGTATATGAAATATATATTGTATTTAATACTATGCACGTTGTGTGTTCCCAACTCTGCTGTAATTATGATAAGTGTTCACATCCAAAGATGGAGACAGTGCTAATTTTCTGCTATGATAATGATTGCATTTGAATATAAAATATTTCACAGTAGACATTATTGTGCTGTATATTTCAATTAATTTATGTATTTACCCTAATATCTAAATTAATACTGGTGTATCTATTATAATAATAATAATAATAATAATAGTTCATTCTTAACTTATATAGCACATTTCAGGACCACAGGCCCTCTCAAAGTGCTTTACAGATAAGTATATTATTACCCCGGTCATCGCATTCAGGCTTACCCGCACACAATGTATGCTGTAAGTCTTATGAAGGGCTATTTGATTTCACAATATGTTTTTGTATAGACATTGGGATTGTATGATCTTTGATTTTGGATAAAATTGCTAAATAGATTTTGAACAAACTGGATCTACCTGTGCATTGGTATCCAGTGACAGCTTCCATAATGTAATTATTATTCCTGCGTTATTGTACCTTTAACTATTATTGATTTTTGCAGAATGTGCCAAACTTATCATACCTGAATTATGCATGGCATATTTATTTAATTTCTCATGATCCCTAAAAATTAATCTTTTATCATTTGTTGGGTTTTGTACATGTATTTCTCAAACATTCAATGATGTTTCCTCATCTTTCAGTTTAAACAAAGTGCCTTGCCTGCAGGTTAACTTCACTTCATATTTGCATATACCCTAGTACTACTGAATTTTCTTATTCCAATAGGCTTAACACAGTAGACCATGTGGTAATAGAATCAAATATGATTATTTCTGATTTTGCAGCAGATGGTTTTATCATAATTTCTTTCTTTTTTGTTATGCCTCCGCCACCGAAGGTGGTGCCGGAGGCATCATGTTTTCGGGTTGTCCGTCCGTACGTCCGTACGTCCGTCCGTCCGTACGTCCGTCCGTCCGTACGTCCCGTTTGACCGTTATCACAATATCTCAAGAACCATTTAAGATTTAAACTTAAGACTCTGGAATAGTATTTATCACCATAGGAAGACGATCTGATTAGATTTTGGAGTACGTAGGTCAAAGGTCACAGGTCACAGAGGTCAACTTATGAAATTCCTTGTATTGAGTTTGTTAGCGCGATATCTCAAGAACCATTTGAGATTTAAACTTCAAACTTAAGGATAGTATGTATCACCATAGGAAGACGATCTGATTAGATTTTGGAGCACGTATGTCAAAGGTCAAGGTTTACAGAGGTCAACTTATGAAATTCCATACATTGAGATTGTTATCATGATATCTCAAGAACCACTGGAGATTTAAACTTCAAACTTAGTGATAGTGTGTATCACCATAGGAAGACGATCTGATTAGATTTTGGAGCACGTAGGTCAAAGGTCAAGGGTCACAGAGGTCAACTTATGAAATTCCATACATTGAGATTGTTATCATAATATCTCAAGTACCACTGGAGATTTAAACTTCAAACTTAATGATAGTGTGTATCACCATAGGAAGACAATCTGATTAGATTTTGGAGCACGTAGGTCAAAGGTCAAAGGCCACAGCGCACATTATGAATGCAAAAACAGCTTGTGATCGCGTTATCTCAAGAACCGATTGATGGATTCATGCCAAAATTAGGTCATGTTTGTTACTTGTAGAGCCAATGAACTGAGTAGATTCTTGGTTCATAAGGTCAAAGGTCAAAGGTCATGGGCCCATTATGTATGCAAAAATAGCTTGTGAACGCATTCTCATTAGAACTGACAGATGGATTACTATTTAACTCAGAACATCTTGCAGAGCCAATGAACTGAGTAGATTTTATGGTCATGAGGTCAAAGATCAAAGGGTCATATATGTATATGAGAAATTGCTTGTAATCACAATATTCTGAGAACCTGTCAATGGATTACCATTGAACGTGAATTCAATTTTTTTTTCTGTTTTGGTTTGTAAAATTGCTCTATAACGGAGGCATCATTTTTGACTGCGCGCAGTCGAATTCCATCTAGTTTTCATTTGGAAATACTAGCTCGGCCATGTTGGTTACCTATCTAACTTTTCTAGCCATTTCGGGGATGTAGAAGACATGTTTACTTTCACTCCATTTTCAAAACAACTGTCAATACATTGAGTGTTATTGTACAATGTTCATTCTAATTGGGATAAGAGATTTAATTTCATGCCCCCTTTCTTCGAGTACTGGTACTTTTTTGTTCGGAGGCTAGATATCTCACATTAGAAACAGCTAACAATTTACCCTGTATGCCTGTATATTTGTCATATATGAGACTAATGCTCTGGAAACTGATGTAGACTAGTTCTTATTATTCAACTCGCCCACTTTGTAGTCCAGTGCCCCCATTACACCATTTCCCCCTCAATGCCACTGAGTTAAACTCTTGTATAGTACACATAGTTTGCACGCCTACAAAATCAACTTGCCAGATTTATTTAGTTTTTATTGTTGATAAATCTTTAAATCTGAAACATATATTATTTTCTTTCTAAATAAAGTCATCAGCAATCAGCATATGAAAGGTGAACATGATTTATAATAACTTGATCAACATTTAATATACTTTTGATTTAATCTGTTATGTTTTTGTTGTCATCCCTCTGAAATATTAAAATATTTGTGGATGCTCTACATACAGGTATTGAATTAAAGAATTGCATAAATCATACACTTAATCTAGATTATACAAAGTATATGAAGACAGATTGAATTTCCCCCAAATGTAAAGGTACATGTAGTTTGATCAGATGTTCTATTTCATAGCAAGTTTATAACTTATTTGCATATTATTTTACTTGAGAGGCATTATATCAGGAATTACAATTTATATCTGATTTGGTATTAAACTATTCATTTACAGTTATATACAGTGATGTAGAGCTGTTCAGTATTTGTTTTGGCAATATTAAACAGGCAAGTTTTGCTTTAAAAAAACATTATTAATCACAAAGATATGAGCTGTATGCTTGATTCATTTATATGTCTCTTGTGCACCCAGAGTTCATATAATAAGGATATGTTCACTTTTCACCTACGCAACCTATTCTTCAAGCACAATGTGACCTTATATGTTTAATATTTTAAATATTGCACCTATCGTATATACTGTAATCTGGTTAGGCTATCATACTTTAATTGCTATTCATGTAATCAGATTGTTTTGTATATCTTTTCACCTGTTAAAATGAATAAATGATATATTTTTTCTTCCAGAATTCTACTTCATAAATGGCCATGGTTTCCCATTGTGTTTTCGTTGTACTCATTAATCTCGTCTCTTCATCTTCGATCTACCAAAGATGTCTTGTATTCCATAATCATTTTTCTATATGTTAGCTAAAGAAAATTACATATTACCCAGTAGGGAGACTCTGATATTACATTTTATTGAGCTCTTAATATTCCAGTGGCCATCCAGGTTTTAATACAGAACGTTAATGTATAATTCTAGAAATCAGGGCCTTATTCTAGCTAGAAACAAACAAAATGCATAGAAATGCAATACGGTCACAGGAGTAGCTGTATTATGAACAGCATGAAATTTTGCATCAATTAACAAGAGTGGGATATAAAATGGAGAGAAAACACCTAGAGTGTCGTGTTATACCAAGGATTACTCCTTAGTTGTACAACCCTGCCGCCCCCACGTGGACACACACCCGCTGACCTTCCAACTCTTAACGGGCTTGATAATTCATTTCACTCCAAGATCTTGTATACTTCCAGTCGGTTATTCTTTTAGATTCTCTGAAATTTACAGATTTGTAAGATCAATAAAGTGTTTTTTCTGTCATTCAGTGGAAATTTGTAAGAAGATGAAGTGCATGATACAAAGTAGTTTGGTAAATATATGTTATACTGACCACGCCTGTCATTGAGATTTTCTGTACAACCAGGGCGCATAAATCTACTGTGCAAATTACATCATGTAGTAGATGACCATTGATAATAGGACCAATTCCACCAAATAAAAGCCATATAATTTATTAATATACAATTTTTCCTAATTATTATTTGAGAAAGATATATATATATATAGGTCTACTTTTTTTTCTTTTTTTTTAGAGGGGAATCTAATATATGCTTACTTATTTGCTATGGCTTGAAGTGGGTCTTTTTTTCTAAGAAATCAATTCTGTCTGTTACTTTTCATGTTATACGAACTCTTGGTAAATGACTTTATATTTATAAAGGTTTTAAATACACAATTATTTCGTGCCAACTAGATCTATACTAAATACTAGGAAGTCACTCGATCATGATTTTGAAGAGCGCCATCATGTGACATAATTGGACAGGTAATTTCGCTTGTAGTACATGTGGACTAGGGAGGGAAATTATCCGACTGAAAAATCATCAAAAAAGACAAAATGAGTGCCCGATTCATTCCTCCTGATATACAGGATAATCCAACAGGATGGGGTCCATGTACTATTCCAAAACAATTCAAAGATATTCCTTATCAACCATTTTCAAAGGGTGATCGTCTTGGAAAGGTAAGTCCACCTTTCTTTTCCCGCAACTTCTCCATATGTTTTGTGTGTGAATGGAATACGCATATGAATCAATGAACGCAATGTGCAGTGTGGATGGTCGATGGGAGCAGTGATGGTGCAGTGCAGGGCGTGTGTGTTAATTTTGTAAAAATGAAAGCTATCTCAATCTTAATGTTTAGTAGTTTGGGACATAGTTGTTGCATGGACTCATTTTCTAAAGACAGAGTGGGCTTTGGCAAAGAGTACGACAATAAACATTTCCCCCTTTTTTTGCCAGAGTTTCCCATTCATTCACTAGCTGGTCCGAGAATTAGGATCGTCTTCGTAAACGCGAAAAAAGACGTGTCCGCATAAAACAAGTGAAGCGATCCACGGCGAGACGGCCCGGTGGCCAAAACCGCCCCGCCTAGTACCGACTCAGAAAATGTTAAAGTATAGCTTTAGTTCTTGAAGTGTAGAAAACGAAGATAAATCAAAGTCACTGAAACAAATTCTTGATTGGAGTTGAAGATTTATTAAAATAAACGAAGAATTAATAAATCACGAAGTTCATGTTTTGGGGCTGGGCAACCCAATCGAAACAGATTAGCAACTCATGTCGATCGTAACGGAAGAGAGGTCCCGCTCCAGAGACGCAACTCGGTTTTTATCCCCCCGAACTGACACGCCTCGTCCTTCCAAAAATTGAGGCGTGTCACACAGACGCTTTGCGTAATATCAATCCACTTATAATTAGTTTCCGTATTAAAAGGTCCTATATTTCTTGGCGAATTTACCCCCTCGGATATAAGGCGCTCCGGATGATCCGCATCTCTATTCCTCACATACTTCTTTCACGCACCCACCTGTGTCTCTTACATTCTAATCTCTCAAACAAGAGATGCAAATCACCCGGAGACCCAACAACCCTGGAATATAACAAGGGATAAATGTTGCTATGTCCGTCCACACTAGCGAGCCCACATGCTTCTGGCTATTACACACCTGTAATCCTCACTTCCCCTCTCATACTATTTCGATAGTGTGAACAGACCCGGCAACAAGGAAAAACCCTTCCAATTGTAATACAAATCTATTTCCTAAATTTGCCTAATTAAATTTAAGTCAACTGTGGCGACACGCCCAGCGACACCTAATCCAATCGGCCAAGCCGAAAAAGTAGAGCCAAAATTAAGAGCGCAACGTCTCGGAACAGGTGTTAAAAATAGCATACAAGGAATTCACCATGTATGTTTGTAAACATAGTTCTAGCGAAATCTACCAGGAATTTGCCTTGTACATGTACGTCAATGAACCTTTGAGGAAAACGTAAACACGAGAATATCCATATCATTACAAACTCCCCTACTGAAACGATCTGTCCCATAAGATCGCAACAAAAAAAAATAGAAATTCTCGTCATATATACGTTCCCCTCCAAGTTACACACACGTACATGGCTGCCCAGCCCTAAAACATCTACAATAACTTCATATACATCATATAAAGCCAACATGGCTTCCAAATTACAATATATAAACACACATATCAAACTGGTAATCCAACTCACAAAAATACCCACTAGTTCAAACATACTTAGAAATATCACCTCCCATTAATGACACCCTTTGCATATTAAAACAGCATGACAATATTTTGCAAGTAAATGCACAACCTTAACGCAATAGTCAATTAAACAAACCCTCAAACTCCAAAATTTTCCTTTTTTTTCCCTCCTCTCTTCATCCACATAATTAACCAATTATGTGGTCCTGCCTAAAGAGGCAATAACAAAATTAAAATTTTAATCCAAAAACCTATTATAAATTCCTCGAGTGTCCTATTCGTGCATGGTTAACAAAAACGCCCAAATTTCCCTACAGCAGACTATGAAACCTACCACTATCATGTCTCCAACTACTTGTAATTATAGCCTGAAACTGTTTGCGAAGCTTAGGGAAGTGTCACAACCCCGGCGGTCAGAGCCGGATACCCCAGACCTCCTCCAACCGGTTGTTGGGACTTCTCCTGCCACTTGTAAACATCCATATGTAATCAGAAATTACTTAAAAATTGAAATATACTAGTGATAATACATGCACATTCTCCGAACACTGGAATAGACAACGATACGTGTAACCGGAAAAATATAAAAATTTGTAATATGCAGACCTATGGAATATACAACCAATCTCAACACGTAATTAGGCAAAAATCACCATAACCATAAATGACCCCAAATAAAATCAGGACGGGTGCCCAGCCCTAAAACAGTAAAAGTTTGATAATTAAAATTATTAACTCCCCAATTTGATGTAAACGACTAATTACCGTGATAATTAACCGTCAATATTACGGTCCCTTCAATAAAAATACGAAATATCCGACTGTTCATAGAATATCTCAAAATTTGTAGATAATCAGCGCAAAACTGATTTTGGTAAATTAAAAGGGTTAGAATGTCTACCCTTAGTTTGTCTTTGCGACCTTCTTGGGATGGCACCATCCTGATTCCCTGGAACATTAACATTATCATCTCCAGCTCGCCCTGCTACATCCTCCCCTACTGGATCTATACCTACTTTATCAAAATTAGGAACCAACATATACTCTCCCCTACTGGATCTATACCTACTTTATCAAAATTAGGAACCAACATATACAACATATATACTAAAAGGCCCTAGATCTTATTAATTCATAGGTCTTATTTCTACCTTGATGTCCCCATTCATCATGACATCCTACCAACACATTCTTACGTAAACATTGAGGAAGTAAAACTTGGAATATCTCCCCAAATACAGGGTCTAGCACTCTTCTTACTAACAAACCATCTTTCAATGAAAGGCGAGACCAATGAGTCAACCATGATTTAACATTATCAGGTTCTGAAGGATGTTTGAAGTATTCATCACCGGGTGCCCAATTTTGATGTATCTAATTGTATATAATGCCATACGCAACAAGGCATAGAATCAATTATCATATATAGATAAAGTGTTCTAAGTTCAAGACATACCAGAGATGTCAATCCGCTGCCTGCATCCGTCACCCTCAGAAATACTCCCTCCTAGATGATGTCTGAACACGCCTTAGATCGCCGTAGATACACAGTCTTGTAGTCCCTCTCGATGGCGATGATGTTGTGTCGCGTCGATGTAGTTGACTGCAAGATTTCACGTCTACGGAGATCACAGGACGAACCGTTAGGCTACGCAGAAAACCCGTAGACCAGCTACGAGACCAGCTGAACGTACCTAGTTTCCCGGCACCGCGGCCTTCTAATTCACCGGAACGATGCAAGCATGCAACACTGAAGGCATGTGCCGCCGACCATGAATGAAGTGACGATATCACCTCCCCGCTGACACAAGCAGCGAGCCCCTTCAAGATGACACCCACGCGGCCCTAAAGTACTACCGTTTTCCCAGCATAAAAGAATCACCAGCTACGCTTCCACCGTCGCTTCGTCGCGCTGTAGCTCTGCGGAAATAAGCTCCTGGGCCCCCTCGTCAGGAAACCACCAGCAGAAGAAAATTTCACTCCTCTCAATACTCTTCGATGCTGAGCGGCCGACAAAAAAAAAAGTTAGTTCGAAGCCCAGGGGTTCTTGGACTCCGTCCTCGTGACAACCCCAACAGATCCACATATAACTAGTTGACGGATGTGAGCTAACAAAAATCTCTGCAGCTCTCCGCTGACGTCGCTAATATATCTTGAAGTTCAATGGTAATGGTTGAAGTGATAAACAAGTGTCTTACCCCATCCGTACTACCAATTGAAGCGATCCACGGCGAGACGGCCCGGTGGCCAAAACCGCCCCGCCTAGTACCGACTCAGAAAATGTTAAAGTATAGCTTTAGTTCTTGAAGTGTAGAAAACGAAGATAAATCAAAGTCACTGAAACAAATTCTTGATTGGAGTTGAAGATTTATTAAAATAAACGAAGAATTAATAAATCACGAAGTTCATGTTTTGGGGCTGGGCAACCCAATCGAAACAGATTAGCAACTCATGTCGATCGTAACGGAAGAGAGGTCCCGCTCCAGAGACGCAACTCGGTTTTTATCCCCCCGAACTGACACGCCTCGTCCTTCCAAAAATTGAGGCGTGTCACACAGACGCTTTGCGTAATATCAATCCACTTATAATTAGTTTCCGTATTAAAAGGTCCTATATTTCTTGGCGAATTTACCCCCTCGGATATAAGGCGCTCCGGATGATCCGCATCTCTATTCCTCACATACTTCTTTCACGCACCCACCTGTGTCTCTTACATTCTAATCTCTCAAACAAGAGATGCAAATCACCCGGAGACCCAACAACCCTGGAATATAACAAGGGATAAATGTTGCTATGTCCGTCCACACTAGCGAGCCCACATGCTTCTGGCTATTACACACCTGTAATCCTCACTTCCCCTCTCATACTATTTCGATAGTGTGAACAGACCCGGCAACAAGGAAAAACCCTTCCAATTGTAATACAAATCTATTTCCTAAATTTGCCTAATTAAATTTAAGTCAACTGTGGCGACACGCCCAGCGACACCTAATCCAATCGGCCAAGCCGAAAAAGTAGAGCCAAAATTAAGAGCGCAACGTCTCGGAACAGGTGTTAAAAATAGCATACAAGGAATTCACCATGTATGTTTGTAAACATAGTTCTAGCGAAATCTACCAGGAATTTGCCTTGTACATGTACGTCAATGAACCTTTGAGGAAAACGTAAACACGAGAATATCCATATCATTACACAAGGATTGTTCGTATTTTTGCAGACTTTGCATATTTTCGATGCGAAAAAAGGATTCCGTGATGATTTTCTTGATGCATGTTACATTGACATTGAACAGAGACTTTCATGTTATGAGCAATCAATCCTTGGGAAGATGGTAAACCCATAAAAGTAGACAGTGAACAGTGGGGTTAATTTCTTACACGGAATCCGTTTTTCGCATCTCCAGCGCTTCGTTCGGGAACCCGAAACCCGCAAAGCGTCGAAAGAAAATGTCCTTAGTTTTAGGACGTAATTTGTCCGTGTTCACGAGGATATCCTTGTTTTGCGGACGTTCCTTATTCTCAGACTAGCGCCCCTACTGTTCACATTTTCAGTCTTTAGTCTTTCTGACACCGACAAGTTTGTCTTAACTTTTATTGATTAGCGATTGGACTTTGTTATCCAATTTTTACCAAATATGGATGGAATCAGTTCCTAATTTTATCATTAGATCCAACAGCTTCAATTTTGAGCTTCAATGGAGGGATGAGTTCTACTGACAGTGACTAAACAGTACAGATGCGCACAGGTGGCATGGCAGAGTTCGTAGCCCCACCCCCTCCCCCCTCCCACTTTAGAGACTGTCTCCCATTATCCCATATCAGAGATTTAGCTTACAAAGAGAAATATGAAACAACATCAACAACAAGGCAGGCTTTCCCAACCAAAGTTTTGCCTGTATGAGGTCAGGATCCCATTGATTATGACTTACCTTTGTGTGTGTATCAAAATTCATTTTGTTATAAAGGTAGAACATGAATTTTTAAAGCAGACAGTTCAAAGAGGAAATTTTTCATGAGGAGTCGTCTTCTTATACATTTTCAAATTAAGCCAGTATTATGCAGCAAATGTAATAAAGAAAATTGTTTTCCTGATTAGGCAAAAATAGGGTTTTGGGGGCCTTTGATGGTTTTATTTTTTAAATACTTTATACAAAGAGAGTTTGGATTTTCAATATTTTGTTTTGTTTTTGTGTTTGTGTGCAGGTATCTGACTGGACAGGTGCAACATATCAAGATAAACGTTACCTAGGTAAGGAAAGTGTTCAGAAAACAAAAATCAAAAGGTGTTAAATTGGAATGAGGAAGGAGAATGAACTGATTTACGCAAAGGACAAAGTCCGTTGCAGCAAGGTTCTTGCAAGCACCTTGCAAGTACCACCTTCAGTTTTCTTATTGACATGAAAATATTTCTAGAGAACATGAAAAAGAAAAATTCTGCAAAACCCCGAATAATTATTGATCCACTCGGAGCATTGATTCGGCAAAGGATTCTTTCATATATCTGTCTTGAAAAAAAATACAGTTCCCATGCTCATTTTGACTGATAATTATTATTTCAATCTATTTTTTAGGAAAGTACAATTCTCAGTTTGGATCCGGTAACCAGTATACCTACGTTCATGAGCAAGATGAATCATCCTTCCAGCTGGTGGATACCTCCAAGGTTCAGAAGCCTATCTATATGAGGAACAGGATACGATTCAACCAGGTATAACATATACTGTTGTCTGTAGATGACCTTAAAGTGAACGGTAACATTGTTGAAGACTGATGACAGAAACTGCATATTTTTGTATGAAATGTTGCTTATTATATTCCTTCTACTCTACTATCCCTCTAACATGCAAACAATCCTGAAAAAAAATCTTGAAACACAAAGATATTTGTGGTTTTCTTTGAAGGCATCACCGTGCAACACCCTAGAATAAATTCTCCTAACCAATTTGAGAATTTTCCCACCCATTGCATGAAAATAAGACAATCTGAATAAGGAATAGCATGATTTGTGATGCTTGGTTTGTGTTTTAATTTCAGCGTAACTTACGACGTGAGAGGGAACGCCGTGAGCAGCGTGCGACAGCCGGTATGCAGTCTCTGACTAAAGCTCAGAAGGAGAGGCAGAGGCAGGTCAGGAGGTTGCAGAAACAATACGGAGGTCGAAGGTGGCCAGATAAGAACCAACATGTAAGTAGAGTCTTTTTTTTCTGCCTCCGTTATGAAGTAGACGGAGGAATTATGTTTTCGGGTTGTCCGTCAGTCTGTACGCCCCGTTTGTGGATCGTGTTATCTGAAGAACCGATTGATAGATTCATGCAAAACTTGGGTCATGTATATGTCTTGCAGAGCTAATGAACTGATTAGTTTTTGAGGTCACAAGGTCAAAGTTCATGGGCTCATTATGTATGCAAAAATAGCTTGTGATCACATTATCATTATAACCGATGGACGGATTACCATCAAACTCGGGGACATGTATGTATCTTGCAGAGCCAATGAACCAATTAGATTTGAGGGTTATATCTGGATACATCTCGTTTTGTTCTTCTTTTATTTTCCCATTTTTTTTAAGGTAACATGTGTTGCTTAATGATTTTTAAAAAAAAATCACTTTCATTTTAGAATACTATGAATGCATTGTTTTCCCCTTGCAGTCGCACTCACAGACTGATGAGATAAAAGCCAATGCAATATCATGAACACAAGACATGTTTAGAAGACTGGAGTTCACATCGTAAATTTGAGTCTTGCATGTCATGTGTGACATTTATATCTGAGATTCCACCTATCTAATCGATGGTGAATGAAATTACCCCAATATGCAAAAGATATTGATACATTAAGAGGACATCATGAAAGTGAATAATCTAGCTAGACTTGGAGGCATCAAGCTGGAACAGTGAATGTTTTTCCTTTCTAAAGTCTAAAGCTTCTTTAGAAGAAATGTGTGAGTTCATGTGAATCACAAGTAAAGAATAGCTTCATTTATGTTTTTCTTTTAAATTGTATGTTGCTTTAATTTTCCTTGGTCTTCATGTAGTTACATTATAGATTGAAATAATAATTCTGTTTTCCTTCTTGACGTATAGAACCAGATGAAATCACGCAGTGCGTCTGTGCAGGTCCGCGGTGAGTGGGGAGTCATTGAAGAATTGGATTTCCCTCGACTCAACAAGCTACGTCTACCCACCGTTGAAGATCCTGAAGATCTGTAAGTCTGATGATGTTCAAGTGTGTAGTCTACACTGCCCTAATTAAAGTTCTGGTTTAAAAAAAAAAAATTCTCACAGAATAAAATGAAACTTACACTGAATGTTCAAGATTACAAATAAATGTCATTTGCCAAACAATTTTGGTAGAAAATGTATACAAGCTGAGTAATGAGCATAGAAAGAAAAGGAAATCAAGGTAAGTAGGCCCGACACCATATGTGTAGTCCCATTTACATCTTTCTGTGTACAGTGCTTGCTACTTCAACAAGACTGGGCCAAATTTATTATGATTTTGATGACTCCAGAACCTTGCAGTGCACACCAATACTTTACATGTACATGCTACATGATCATCTTTTTCTGATCCATTCCACACCTTTTCTTTCACAATGCAATCGCATGACCAGAACTCAACTTTATCTTTAATGGCTGGTTTGGCCATTCTGTACGAGAGCAAGTACATGAAGGGCTGCAACATCTTTCTAGTTTACATGGTTCAATGTCAAATTCATTTTTGTTGGGGATGTATTTAGTGTCTTTCGATCAATGATATGATCTGTCATTCAGATATATTCAGTCTGGGGAGTAAGTTCTTACCATCTACATGTATATATTCTATCCAGTAATCATGTTTTAGTTGTAATTTAAAATCTTTTCCAGAGTTTTGAATTGCCTCCTGCTCTAGTTATATTTCCTTTCATTATAAAAAGCAATGTTCATTCCGGGAACCTGTCTAACATATAGTGGTACAGTCAAACCTGCTTTAGTGACCACCTGTCTACAAAGACCGCATCTTTTGTTTCTCTTAAAAGTGGTTTCTCATTGAAACATGTACTAAAGGAACCTGACTACAAAGACCACTTTTTCCCTTGAGCGGTCGCTATAGACGGGTTCGACTGTATAAGTTCATTTTGTTGAGTGGCTGATGATTCATGAAGATTTAGTTTATTCCTCATCATCTCTTGCTCTCTGTCGGTAGCTAGTCTTATTTAATGACATTTATTTTTATTTTTTAGTGTTAAATGTGGAGAGCTGGAGTACTACGACAAGATGTTTGATCGCGTCACCACTAAGACTGAAAAAAGACTAGCAAGGGTCAACAGGTTGTTCCACAAGGTCACCACCACCGATGACCCTATCATTAGAAAGGTCAGTTACAATCACAGATATCTCACAAAACATGTGTCAGATGGATTTACTAGTGTAACAGGACTCTCTGTGCAGTATTGTTGGAAAATTCTCTGAGATTTCATTAATGTTACATTTCAATGTTTATTATTTTACCTGTCATCAAATATTGTTCTTAATATTGGTTCTTCTTTTCAGGCTCAGTGAGTAAAACTGACTGGCATTCCTGTTTCTTCACACCAATAATTTTGTACATGTTTTCCTGATTTATTTTCTGTTCCTCCCAGCTTGCTCCCAAGGGTAATGTGTTTGCTACGGACATCATTCTCGCCAGTATTATGTGCTGCCCTCGCTCTAACTACTCCTGGGATATCATTGTACAGGTAAACACAAATGTCTTTTTATTGTCATATTGGTAATCATTGAGTATTGGTCACATGAAACACCAGGGCCCTGTCTTACAAAGAGCTGATATCAATCTCAACTATGCACATAAAGAGATAGGGGACTGCAAACTTGGGATTGATTGGAGGACTAGCGATTGATTTGGAAGTCTTTGGGGCCCAGAAAATACATATGGATGAATCATGACTGGAAGAAATCATTAGGTATAACTGCTATTATATTGGAACAGTTGATAGTAGCTTTACAGAGATTTTGCTTTGTAGTGGTAGAAAAATCTTATCCTCACATTGGCATGTAACCGTTCATTTGAAATTGAATTGAGTTGACAATTATTTCTATCAGCACATTGTATACCCTCAAAAAATGGAATATTGTAACTAATAAATATATAAAAAATACTTGTCAATTGCGATAATAACATTCAAAATATAAAGAAAATATGAGTGTCTTATTTTAATTGTTTGCAGCATGTTGGTGGAAAGCTGTTCTTTGACAAGCGAGATGATTCAGAATTCGGTAAGTATTGACTATGTTTATGAAGTGTTGCAGTGATGTGAGCACTGAACATGGAGTAGTCTCAGATTTTCAGAATTCAACGCTAGCCTCCCTATCTTTTTGTGCACTATCTTGAATTTGTGTTACTCTTCATTTTTTTCAAACTTGACTTACATTGTTCACATTATCTTAAGGCTCTCCTGTTTTCTTGTTTTATTTGTAGCCCATTCTAATTTTTTGCCAATGATGTTCAGTTATCCCTGTCTGAATTCAGGTCAAATCCTGATATGTGGATATCATTTACTTATCCTGAGGCAACTCCTTTTTTTTAGAGAAATATTACTCTTCTTTTTTTTTCAAACTTTCTTTTTACATATTTAGTTATTAGAATATATTAGGCTTTGTCAACAAGAAAGTGATTATTTCAGTTCAGATGTATTTTCCTAGCATTGAGCATACCTAACTCTTTTTATGATATTTTGCCTAACTCTATGATTTGACCTTTGACCTCTCAGATCTGCTGACGGTGAATGAGACAGCGATGGAACCACCCCAGGATGAGGGAACACACATGAATTCACCGCGGAACCTCGGCTTAGAAGCAACCTTCATCAATCATAACTTCTCTCAACAGTGCCTCAAGATGGTTAGTCACTCTACACAATGGCATGCCCAAAACAGAGAGAAAATTTTTTTAAAATTGGGGGGGGGGGGCTACTTTTCAAGCTTGTTTGCATTAAAATTACACTGCTAAATTTGTTTTGCATTGAACTCTATGCAAATTTTTGGGGGCTCTTTTATGACTTTCGGGGGCTCTTTTTAGCATTTTGGGGGCTAATTTGCCCCTAGCCCCTGTGTATTTTTTCCCTGGCCCAAAATGTGGCTATTTGGAGGTATTTTGTTTCTGTGCAATGTAGAGCAGGGCATCATTTCAGGAAACCATCAAAAGTACAAGTTTGTTGACGACCCGTTGAAACATATGTATTAAATTCAACACTTGTTTCAGTGGAATGTCGGTGAACTTGTACTTCATGGAAGGTTTCATGAAGCGATGCCGAGAACTTCTTTCATACCATACTTATCATCAGTAATGTGATGATTTCCTGGGGTGGTTGTGGTGGTAGTGGTACCGGTTTTGTTGTCGGTGGGGGTAATGTTGTTTGCCTAAGATGTGAGAGGCCTTACATCACTCAGAGTATAGATTATTTAGTTGATTAGTTTGATTGGTTGATTGGTGTTATTTGTAGCCCATTCTAATCTTTTGCCAATGATGTTCAGTTATCCCTGTCTGAATTCAGGTCAATTCCTGATATGTTGATAGCATTTACTTATCCTGAGGCAATTCCTTTTTCTTTCAATCCCACTATTCCTCTTTTTTCATTGAAGCATTTATTTATAATAATGGTTTTCCTAATTGTTTATCATTTTTTGAGAGGGGGGCGTTTCTAAAATTGGTCTTTACCTTTAATGATGTTTGTATTTTGTTTGTTTCAGGGAGGTGAGAAGTTCAAGTTTGAGGTTGATAATCCTTTCATCCAAGATGAGGAAGAATCATTAGTTGCATCAGTTGCATACCGGTAAGTCATCCCTCTCAGTCATCCCCCTCAGATACAGCTATTCTTAATCTCCTTTTTTTCCTTTTCATGATTAATAGTATCTGCAGTTCTAAGGTCTGTATTAGAAATTTTGCTTGTCTGAATTGCATCATATAATATTGATTGACATTAGTTTTATGGGCATGTTGTTACTAAAGTTAGATATGAATTCTAACTAGTTGTTGCATCATAGTATAAATTAATCTGTCTACTTGTGAGAAATAACATTTTGAGGGGAAAATAGAAAAGATTGATTGTCCAAGTTTATTTTAATATGTAGAAATTAAATAAATGTTAATGAACGACATACTCACACCTAAAATCCCATGAATCATCTGTGAACACTGTGCATTATGTACACTCAGTAGAAATTACAATGTTGTGTTCATATGTTTTACAGGTATCGTAAGTGGAACATTGGAGACGATTTGAACGTGATAGTCCGATGTGAACATGATGGCGTGATCTCAGGTTCAAACGGAGAGACACAATTCCTGAACATCAAGACTCTCAATGAATGGGATACTAAGGTATGTTCACTCACCTACTTTTACACCATAGTTACTGTACCAGTTGATATTCTCACTTGCAGATAATTGCATGGATTACAGGAACACAGACATTTTCATGTGTTGTTGCTTGTGAGCTTTTCTTACTTTTTCTCTCACTCATAGTTTCCTATTTTTAGAAAATTGAATCTATTTTCAATGTGATGTAATGATTGAATATAAAATGAGAATTTGTCAATAATGATGATTATCCCTTATCCTAAGCCTGGATGGGAATACTTTTTCACTTTCCTGAGGCCATGTTTCTATATTTCTGGAGATGGTTTAGATCGATTCTGTTTAACATGCACTCAGAAATAAGACCATAACTTGTTAAACCGTTTATGTTAACAGCAAAGCAGCGCAGAGGAATGGCGCCAGAAGCTTGACTCACAGAGAGGAGCTGTTCTTGCTACGGAGCTCAAGAACAACAGTTTTAAGCTCGCCAAGTGGACTGTATGCTCTCTTCTTGCAGGGTCGAATTTCATTAAGTTTGGGTAAGTCTATCCAAGGAGTTGTCTGTGACAATAATATGGTTAGGTTAATAGGGTTAAAAGGAGGCACGATAGCTCAGTCGCTAGAGCAGTGGTCTCGTTATCCGGCGACCCGGGTTCCAAACCAAGCCGATGCGCTAGTGCCCTTGGGTAAGGCATTAATCTTCATTACCAGATCCCTTGGAGAGGACCTAAAGCCGTCGGTCCTATGTTTATTTACTAACAAGCATTTATGCTTTCTTAGCAGTCAGGTAAAATAACCACCACTATCAACCTCTATCTATTTTTGATAGCCCTTGAAAATGAAGAGTGATGTGATTAGGATAAAGATTGATGATACATTTTATCTGATTACTAAGAAAGGAAGGTATACTTGGAAAAGAAGTCACAGGTTGAGCTGTAACTCCAGTCCCATTGAAGGGACTTAGAAATCAATGATGAATGTTTTGTTTGAAAGGCGAATTAATATGGTTTCCAGTCTGGGACCCTCTACCACTGAGCTATCAAGCATACTTAAGAGATGATATCCTTTGCCAATGATGTTCAGTTATCCCTGTCTGAAAACTAGCATAAAGCTTGGTGTGTTGACAGTCTTTACTTTTCCTGAGGCAGTTTATGTTTGGATATTAAAAAGACCCAAAGTAATAATAATGATATAGATTATTTAGGAGCGCTACAAACAATAAGTACCATAGCGCTTACAAATACAAATATATGAAAAGAGGACAAAATTTTACAGTCTCACAGGAAGTAGATCACATAGATTAATGGGGGAGAAGGTAAGTTTGAGGGATCTTTTGAAGGTGGCAAGACAGGTAATTCCCTTATGGAAAGGGGGATGTTGTTCCAAGTCTTTGATGCGGCTACTGCAAAACAAACCAACCCAACTAGAGTAATGATACAATACCATCTGAATTTTTTTGTTTTGTTTAGGTATGTTTCCCGTATCAACCCTCGTGATTCCGCCAAGCATGTGATCTTGGGTTCTCAGCAGTTCAAACCCAGTGAGTTAGCAGCACAGATCAATCTCAACATGGATAATGCTTGGGGTATCCTAAGATGTATCGTTGATAAATGCTTCCAACTTAAAGAAGGAAAATACCTCATCCTCAAGGATCCCAACAAGGTAGGAACAAATCTATTTATTCATCAATTTAATTACTTTTCATTGTTCTTGAAATAGTCTTTTTGTATGGGCTACATTCTTGGGGCTGTCACCTAATTGTGTTTTACAAATTTCACTCTGCATTGTCAATTTAGAGACTTCAATGATTATTTTCAATTAAATTGCTTCTATTCATGAACAGGACAATGTACTGCGACTGAAATGGACTTCAATTTTCCAGTGATTTTTGCACTCTGTAATTTTGATGATTCTGGATAAAAATATGAATAAAACATGACTTAAAGGTGACACTTAAGTGCATAGGGTTGAACGGGGGTTCACAAAACTTGTCATCAATGACAAATGACAGTTTTTGTTAAAAGCTAGTGAAATCCTCGCTTCTGATTGGTTATCAGCAGATTTGTCACTGATTTAAGTCATTTGTCATTGATAAGAGGCTTTGTGAAACGGGTCCCTGATGAGGATTAGAGGTTAGAGAACTGCTTAGAGATGTCTGCTGCAAAATCTGTATTAACAAAGTGATGTGCAGATAGATAGGAGCAAGGAATTTAGATAACCTACTAACTAGGATGTACTACTTCACCATCTACAAACTCTCTTTATCTTTGTATTTTGACTGATTTTGTTACAGCCTGTGATTCGCATCTATGACATCCCTGATAACACATTCAGTTCTGATGAGGATGAAGAGGATGACGATACTGATGATGAGGATGGTGATGGTGAGTAAAGTAATCCTGTATACTTTCCATCGTCATGTTTGTGGGATCTACAGCCATGAATGGTACTATACAGTGCGTCCCAGAAAAAACAAAACCAAGAATTATTGATGTTTATCATAACTTAATCACAATCATAATTAATAAATGACAAATATTTGTACATCTCAGATCCTTCTCTTTCATTTGATGCAACTCATATTATGCATATTTCACGCACGAATGCTTAAAAACTGAGGGTACCAAAAAGTCATTTGGCGGGCGGTATCTCAATTTCAAAGAGAAAATCACTTTTCTAGAAAGTTCATTTTCTGCCCTTTCATATCGTTCCTATTTTCACGAAGTGACGGTAGTGAGGAAAATCTGCACGCAAATTGCATGCGATTTTCATTCACTACCGTCACTTCATGAAAATAGGGACGATATGATGCCTCAATCAGGAAAAATGAGCCAGGAATTAAAACAAAGTTCTGTTTGTTTAAACTTTAAAGTAATGCTTGCATATTCATTATTTGATTAAACAAATTTGTTACACTAGCTGCCTGCTGTAGCAACAAACGGAGTTGACAAAAGACTTAACTCTGTTTCCTTGACAATCATCCATGCACAAAGAAGACAAAAGACTTGATGCAATATGTCAATATTTTTTTCCTCATTGGGCTGGGTCATTGTTACATACATTAGTCATAACAAGCCATTTTAAAGTGTTGATTTTCATGTCACAATTATACCTATTATTTAGACCTTATGTCAATTCACAATGACGGAGACAATTTGTTCTGTATATCAACCTTCATTATTCATGAGCTTTGTTTCAATTTCAAGAAAAAAAGGGGGGAAAATGCTTTTCTTAGGAAAAATACAACAACCAAGTGTCTTTTCATGAGGCAGAGTGTGGCTTTTATACCACAGGGTAGAGTGTTTGTATTGTATAAACATGTTATTGAAGAAATTCAAATTTTAAAATGGTTTTCTTTTTGTTTTGTTCCTCTCCACAGATGAAGGTGATGATGAGTAAAACCATGGACCACATCAATCACACAGATACACATCAAGTGTTCTATATCATTAGTAGTTTGTTAAATCAAATTTTAAATCATCCCTATCTTTTCCTGACTTTTGGTGTACCTTTTATCAATTGTGTTGTAGATTAGATAAACTTAATTTCCTGAATTCATATTTAAATATACTTTATGAAAAGTTAACATCAGTTACTGAATACATCAATGCAGACATAGTTAAACTATTCAAATTTAAAGTGAAATTGGAAAGGGCTCATGGTTTTGGGTAATATCTTCCTTGCAGGTGTTCAGAAAATTGAGAAAATGAAGATTGGTTTCTCGATTCCCTCCCCCCCCCCCCCCCCCCCCTCCCTCCTTACTGGAAAGACTTCTTTTTTTTTTAAAGTATGTACATGGCACAGTTTCTCTGTCTTGTATTGTTGAAGAGTAAAGTTTTGAAGGAAGTAAAAAAAAAAATTTTTCAAATAAAGTGTATATTCAATTTTTCTCAAAGCATAAACAATATAAGCAGATGTACAAAATGATGGATACATACATCTGACAAAGAAAGGTACATTGAAAAATAAGATTCTAGTATTTAGATAAGTTCAACGTACCTCCATCTATCACGAAATAAAATAAACCCATCTTCTACTATCTAGATTGTTTGTTCAACTTTATAATGATATTTAAATTTCTTTTGTAAATCAACCAATCATTCCAGTTTGGGAAATGGGTAGAGGAATATCAATGATAGATTATTTCCTTCAATACTCCTCTCCTTGAAGGGTATTGAAGAGCATTTGCTTATGCCACCATCTCTTAGGGGATGAGATAATATTGTCTGGTGCTGATGCTGTTTAAAGTTCATGCTCTAGATCATAATGTATTATTCAAATTTGTAATGCCCAGTGATATGAATTTGAAACTGCTTCAAATGATCTCCTATCCCTGTTTGAGCCATATTGAAATTAGAAGTCCCTGATATTTATTACTTGCTGCCGATGTAGATTGTAATCTGTAGTGCATGTTTAAAGAAAAGGATATACAGTGAAACCTGTCTATAAAGACCACCCAAGGGAGACAAGAATAGAGGTCTTAATTAATAGGCAGGTGGTCTTAATGTACAGGTTCCTTTAGTACGGTACATGTTTCAATGAGAAACCATTTTCAAGGGAAACATAAAGTGTGGTCTTTGTAGACAGGTGGTCACTAAAGCAGGTCTGACTGTACAATCAAACCTGTCTTAGTGGCCACCTGTCTATAAAGACCACCTGTCTAGAGTGGTCACTTTCTGTGTTTCCCTTGAGGGCCTTAATAGACAGGTTTGACTGTAGTTACATGTGGGGGTATTTCAGAAAGGTTTAAGAATTCACCTTTAGATTAACAACTTTTGAGAGATTGGAAAGGAATACATCTATAATGAATATTTTTTGGAAAGGATGAGCAGAATTATTATGTTTTTACATTAATTATGACACATTAATCATAGTGTAGCTGCGATGTATCATGGAATGTGGTGAATTAGCATTGTGCAGCTATTCTAATTACATGCATACAAACCCATGTATCACAAGGATTAGCTTCCAAAGCTCTCTACCTGTTCAACTACACATTGAATGAGATTAAATAGGTATCACAAAACTGATTGCTGTTCTTGATCAATGCTTGTTGAAGAGATTGAATGCAATGAAATTCAAAATCTTATCAATACCTCCAGTTTTTACGTTGCCCAAGATCCAGACAGGTTATTGAGGTAATGTTTTCAAAAAATAATTTACAGTACAGTCGAGCCTGTCTTGGTGGCTACCTCTCTATGAAGGCCACTTGTCTATAGTGACCATGTATTGCCTCCCTCCAGGAGGAAACGTGTGTAGAAGAACCTGTCTATAAAGGCCACCTATCTGCAGTGATCACTTTTTGTGTTTCCTTGGGTGGCCTTAATAGACAGGTTTGGCTGTATATGGATGGAATGTTTGAGCAATTGAAACAACTTTAATGTTATTGTTTGTTGTGCCACATGGAGGGGAGGGGGGGGGGGGGTGAAGTATTACCCCGTAGTAGCATGATCACACTAAATTCTAGAATATTTGGAATATTAAAGAGGACATTAAAAACATGTCATCCTTAATGACATGTACTATCATTTACATATTTCTGTATTTTATTTTTGTGTAAGATTACTTAATTGTACTCTACATGTTACTTGGCTGTGGAGTGTGTAAAGAATGAGAGATGGTCAAAATCAAGAAAGAACAGGGGGCGTTTCACAAAACTTGTCATCAGTGACAAATGACAGTTTTTGTTGTAAGCTACTGAAATCCTTGATTCTGATTAGTTAAAAGCAGATTTGTCACTGATGTTTGTCATTGAAAAAAGGCTTTGTGAAACGGGCCCCTGAGTTGGTCTAAGGAAGGAGAGACGAGATCCATGGATACAGAAACAAGAACTTGATATGGAAAATGTAGAGAGTAAGACAGCATTAAAAATTACAAGTTTAGAAATAACATAAATAAGAAAGAGAGGGAGAGAGGGTAGATGAGAGGCGGGGGAGGGGGCATTTAAGAAAAATGTGGCAGAAAAAATGGAAATTAAGATGGAAGAGGGGATGGTTTTGGATGTCAGGTAAGAATGAGTTATGAAGTTTTGAGAAAGAGAAAATGGAAGATGATAAGGTAGGATGTAGAAAGGGAGGAGATTAAGTGGAAAGGGAATGATCAAGACTTTATTGGCAAAATAGAATTAACAATGAAGAGAGGAATGGTGGAGAGAAGAGATACGTACCCCCCCCCCCCCAAAAAAAAGAGAAGTATCTGTTTGGTAGGGTAGGATGCCTGACGTAAGATGGAGAAGAGATCTTTGTCAAGATAATTATGATACTATGTAAAATATGCCTAATACTAATAGTGAACCGTGTGAGTAAAAAAAAAGTTTACACTCAGAAAATTGTCATTTTAAAAGTCAGCTATGAACGTAGGGTTATCATACATGTTTTGAAAGAGTATTATATCCCGAATTGTTTGGTATCATTTTGTGTGGTATGTGTTCATGCTTGGATGAACAGGAGGCATGATACCAAACGATTTGGGATAAAACACTATTTCATAAGATTTATAATAATTTACTGTTCATAGATGATTTTCAAAATAATTAGCAATTTTTTTGACTCACACTGTAGTAGCTCAGGACGTACGTTGTATTGTCAATGTGATTTCATATTGATTGTAAGTGTTTTGATTAGTTCTGACCTCATTCTAGAAAAATCAGCGATCATAATGACATTTTAATTGAGTGGTTGTTTATTGTTGATGTGTTTGGGACATTGGTCGTTAAGAAGAAACAAGGCCAGTCATTTCTTCGCATAATCGATGATAAACGTGGTGGTGTGAGGAGCTTTGTTCGTCGAGTGCCCGTATACACAACAGCAGTTTTTGAGCGATAGACGCATACAATTTGACTCCAACGCATCACTTTTCCCTTCGTATATAATTGCAAGCAAGTTAGTTACTGATGATCAATCATCAATAGAATTTCTTTTCAACGACTATAGCTAATATATAGGCGGTTTGCTCAGCTCATCAACAAGGTAAAATATATTTTTTTAAACATTTGTAGTATAGTTTCTTTTTTCCTAAGTCAATTGAATATTTTTTTTTTTCTTTTCTTTGCCTCGTCAGAGGATTTATTAAGTATACATTGTTAAATTTAAAGATACAATACTACAAATCAAATTTACATAATCACAAAAGCATCATTATTTGCAAAACAAAAAATTTAAATTAAGTTTTGATTTGCAAAGCAATTGAATCATCATTAACATAAAAATTATACTGATAGTTTTGTTTCCCCCTCTTTTTTCTTAAATAATGAGTTCTTTTGGTAAAAGCTTTCTGGTCATATTTATTTTTCGCTTACTTTCCAATCTTTTTATAATTTCTCTGTGGAAAATTTGTTTAGAAGCAACTTTTCTCTTGTCTATCCCAGTCATATTTCGATTAACAACCAACTTATAAATGGTCAAAAATGCTACAGTACAGAATAAAGTACAATGACTTTCACAATCTATTTTGAGCAGGTGTTGGATACTGAACGTCAGTATCTTTACTATATATCGTAATATTTCTTTCAGATGTTTAATGAAGGGCATATTTAGTTTGCATTCGATAAATGCTTGATTTATATCTTCTTTTATATTACATTTTGGGCATACATACATACATACATATTATTTCTATTATTAAAGCTATTAAAGCTATCTATAAATTAATTTAGCTTCTTATGTTTTATATACCAACAAAACTTTGTAACCAATATAATTATGTATTTCTTATGCATGTATATTTCAATTAAAAAATGATGGGGGAAAAAGGAAGAAAAAAAAACTAAAGCTAACACTTTATATACAAGTAGGCTTTTTATTAGTTTACGGAGTAGTGAGAAAATCTCGTCGAGAATTATAGTGGGGAGTAAAAGGGTATGGAATCATAACCTGGTCGTCAATAATGCTTTAAAATCTTGAAGATGTTAGTACAATATTTTACCACACAGAAAAATCGATCTTCATCTCCAAATTGAGTAGTGTATTTATAACGTTTCCTATACAATTATTACATTGTCCTGCAAAACTATATGTCCGTTTTTTTTTAAGGGATTTAAAATGCAAATTATAGAAAACGCAAAATGTTATTAATTTTGAAATAAATGAACTTTGAAAAGCGTATAATTTATTTTGATTTCATAGAATATTATATAGCCTCCCCCGTCATATCATGATGATGATGGGAACTAGTTTTATGTCATATATATCTTTAAATCCACCATCAAAATTTGCTTACTTTCAATCTTCATAAGTTCCCCTCGTAAACCCGTCGTTACAAAACTCGATAATTTTCAGTATTCTTACTTTTTGCTTCCATTCATTGAAACGTTGATTAATAAGCTTCCATGACCTGGTATGAATAAACTTATGAATAAAGAGTTGGCTACTTGTGATACTCCCAAGACCTGTTTATTATACAAACAAAGGTTTTCTCTCTTTCTTTGCCCTTTTACCAATATTTGTTCCACCATATTCGTATTATTATCCATTGAGAGTAGTCATGCTATCAAGCTTTGCTTACTTTGTCAACCCTCCTGTTTGATGTTTTAGATT